CAGGAGTTTTGTTATAATTTAATTTGGAGATTTAGGCTAAAAGTCTTAACCTGTAATTTGTCAGATCATGTCACGTTCACTGACGAGGTTTCAAGGGAATTTAAATGTCTTTTTGAAAAACTTAGTCTGGCTTTGCTGATTTTCTGTCAGAAAATGGTCCAGTGTTTCATGCCTCACATGAACAATATAGGCGACTATCACATGAATCAGACTACTATCAGATTCTTCAATGTTGCAATAGGCCTCTTGGCAGCCTCCCTTACAAGTTCTCCTCTTGTCTCCTCTTGTCTTTTTATTGGTTTTGGAAGAAAGTCCAATTCTTTGCACTCACACTCAGTCTGTTTTATGTTGTATCAAGTCCCTTAGCAGTTCTTGAGTGTTTTTTCTCCCAGACGGTTGGTACATTTTGACAATGACATTCCTCCCATTTGCAGACCACGGCTTTCACTGTGAAACGTGAGTAAAAAAAAAACCTCAATGAGAACTCAATCACTTAAATGAAGGCAGCTCCATACTGATTTTTATGTACCATGAGGTCGAATGTGGTGCTTAATTCTGGGGATAGTTTATGTGAAATCAAATGTACTGGACAAATAATTTAGATTTTTGATGAATGCGAATAGAGAGTTTGTTCAAAGTAGATTGCTAAACAAGCAGAAACATTATGAAAGTCACTTAATATTTTTGTGACATTTTGAAGTTTAAATTTTAGAAACTTGAGCAACCGGTGATGCTTCCTGAGCAGGAAGTAAAGGGTGATATAAACGGACCAATCGGGTGATGACTAACATAAAACAGGGGAATTAAATGAAAGGGGAAAAAAAAAATGAAAGTCTGCAGGTAATATGACATTTCCTCTGTTGTCTGTCAGCTGATGAGTAAAGAGGCTGTGGGCTGGAGGTTGTTGGTGCCTGGTTAAATCACAGCTTGCGTCACACTTCACAGCGAATCATCTGTCAGCACATATTACAATTAACTTCAATCCCAATCGGCAAGTTTGAACTGTGTGTAGTTAAACGACTGCAAATCTGCAGAAAGTTAGCGCAGGAGCAAATTACAACTGTAGGCATGGCTTTCTACCCGCATACTGCTTCAAAACATACGGCAAACAGAAATGTGGTTCCAGTGCGTTGTTCTTCACATAGATAAATTCAGTTTTTCTAAGCGATTGGTCTTTTTCAGTTCTTGTTCCTGGCCAAAGCATCAAATAAAGAGCAGAAAACACTTAACAAAGAATCTGTATTCTAGCTCATGCTCTGCTGTAGTACCGAGGCAGGATGAATTAATATCAGGATAGAAAACTTGATCCCCTGTCACCCAAGGCACAAAGCAGTCTCAAACATATCTGGGTGCCCCAGCTGGGACCATGGAGGCTTATCATTTTGCAGCCATGTAACACTCCCTCTCTTCCTGCCTGCCAACTGCAAAAGCAACTCAAAGGCATCTTATCACCAGGAATGGTTTTCCTTACAGTGTTTAAGATGTAAAAGGGAAGAAAAGAAGAAGAGGAAAAAAGAGTGTTTTTTAAGGTCACAAGCAGAAATTCTGGCACATTATTATTACTGATTATAATATGGTTGCAGGGGGAAGCAAAGATTTCTTTTATAATTTCTTCATTTAAATGAATTATTCTCTTGGTTGTTTTCAGGCAAACCAAGTTCACTTGAATACACAAGTGGAAAACGTAGAAGGCTCACTTCACATTTCCTTTTTCTTTCCACAAAGGGTACGCTTCGCCCACTGATTCACAATTCAGCAGTTTAGCGTCAGTCATCAATGATTTCAAACATGCAATGAAAGAACTACTGCTTACATAAAACATACAGGATTTTTTCTTGTAGAAAGTACTCCTAGTCCAGTGGGTTTTTTTTTTGCCTGTCCACTTTCTATCCCTTTTTGACACCCAGCTAGTAATGACAAATGGCAGCTCATGTGGAGCCTGGTGCTGTTGGAACCTTCGTCTTCTTAACAGGAAGTAGTTCCTCTCCACTGTTGCCACATGCTTGCTCAGGAGGAGTGACAACTGGCTTTTTACCAGGTTACTATGTTGTAACACAATTTGTAACCAGATTTATGCAATGAACTGAAGAAGGCCCGAACAGGATCCTTTCTAACTAGGAATAAATTTGCTTTGTGAAGTGCCTCGAGATGATAATTGCTGGGAATGGGCGCTGGACAAATAAGTTGAGCTGAACTGACAAATTAAAAAAAAAAAAAGCAAACAAACACACCTCTTTTATAAGGTCGAGTCTCCTTTGAATGAGCGCTGCCCTTTTGTGAGTGGGGGATTAGAGGCAGCATTTTTAATGAAGACAAGTAGGGATCTAGGCTGATCCTTCGCGAAAGGTCGCAGATCAATAATCCCGACAAAAGTTGGAAAAAATATGTGCGTGCTCGCAGACGAGAACTCATAATCTGTTGGTAATTAGCAAAAAAACGTCTTTTTCCGTCTCGAACTAGAAAGTTCTGTTGATTATTGTCAAGCTTGCATAACTAACGCCTAAACATGTAGATGCTCATGCAACTCATGACTACTGAATGCTGAAGTGTGTAACTCTGGTAGAGGAAAAAATGTTGACGAGACTAAACTGAGGACAAGTCATGACGATTTGAGCAAGTTTGACCAGAGCCAGATTACAACATGGACCACAACAGCATGTTGGAGGTTTTGACTTGGCCGCTGATTTTCCCAGATTGAACACTGGAGGGACGCTTTGCACAAACATGTCTGGAAGATTTACTGAGACTGTTTGTGTGTACATTTTATGTACCATGGCTTGTCAGCAACCATTGTCTGCACAATTTTATAGCGCTGTTATTTTGTAGGTCAAAACTTCCTGGATTTGTGCAATAAAGTAGCAAAAAAGAAAGCAATGCACATTTAGTTTTCAGTGACAAATCTGAACCTTTAAGATTTGCAGTTGAAAATAGGTTATTAAATCTTATTATCAGATTTACTGTAAGGACTAGCTTTATAACAACATCATTACAGTTTATGTGACAGTTTTATGTGGTCCTGCAGTGGGTGTGGATAAAGAACAAAACATTCATGACTTCTGCAATAATTATGTCTTCTGACATTGTATTTTTTGATCTGCATAATTTTGTCCCAATGTAAAAACAAAAAGAAAAAAGGCTGACATTGCCAACAGTTTGTGGTTTTGTATTTCAAACTTTCAAGAAACTTACAAAATTGTCAAAATGCAAAAGCCTCTCCAGTGAGACCCAAAGTCCAAGATTGAAAAATCCTCCTTGATGCACTGAGTATTTACAGATTTACTGGAAGGGCATTTTCTTTAGTCCCTGTTGCCAACTAGAGGAGCAGAATATGCATGCAGTGAGCTGTAGCAACAGGTCTTTGGAGACCGTGTCTGCAATTAAATGTCTAATTATAGCATCAGTTTAAGCTGCATGTAAATTAGCCTGATGACTTCTCCTGATTCAGAGAGGCATTCCGTCTGGGGCAGGATGTGCAACCTGGAAGATGACTACATATATGTTACTGCGTCAAAAAATATGCTTTTTAATTATAAAAACACCCAAACCAAGACCAGACATCTAAGCTAGTGACAGCTGAAGTCAGAATAAGCGGCACAATATTTTGGTTTGCTGCAGATTCAACTGTTTGTTTGATTTGTTGTGTTTCAGTTGCACGAGCTCGTCTCAGAAAATATGTTATGTAAATGTCATGTATTTACATATGTGGTGCAACCAACAGCAGCTGTCATTCAGCTGCTGCTAAAATATCAATTCAGTCTGTTTTGGTGAAAAAAAAGAAGAAAAACAATCTTACCCTACACTGCCCCCTTAAGGCCAATCCAAATAATGAAACAAAACAATTTTCGAGGATGTGTTAAAATGAGTGAAGTTGTTGATCTATGGGATTTATACCTTAAAAACTGAAATGAAGGGTGTGAAAATATTAAAATGACAAAGATGATCAGTTAGGAGAGCAAGGTTTTTAATAAGTACACCTGAATGAGAAGCATCCTGCTTCCCTTTGTACTCAAACACACAGACACGCTCTTCAATTCTGCTCTGGCTTTAAAAGAAAGATATATATAAAACACCTATTTTAGATGACTTTAGATTTCCCAGCCAGCATTTCAGCTGTGCTTGGCTCCTTTCAAGACTAAAATCTCTCTGCAATAGAAGTGCCAAGAGAGATAAAAAAAAAAAAAAAAGAAATCTAAGAATTTAAGACGTTCGCCTCCAAGGGCTGTTTGTGCTTCACCTCAGAGAATACAGAGAAATCAATGCTCGGTCTAACCTATTTCCTCAAAGTAAAATTGCCTGAATGGGGCTCATTTCCACCGTCTTTTACCTTGTCTTGTAAATACAATTGGGGAGCTGCAGACTAAATGCACCTGGGGAAAGGCAGGAACAAAGGAATATGAGAGAGGGGAAAAAAAGATTCTATCAAAGTATAATCAAGTGCAATGCATGTGCACTGAATAAAATATGCATGACAAATTGGCTTTGGGAAACTCAGAGCATGCCGGCCCTCTGAACCTTAGCAAAGAAAAAAAAAAAGAGCAGCTCATTGAGATTCCATTCATTAAGAGCGTCGCTCTGCAGAGAAGCAAAGAATGGGAGCGACAGTCAGGAAAAAAAAAAAACAAAACAAAAAGAGGATGAGGGTAATGATTTCAGATAACAGAGGCTGGAAAACCTATTCTAAAATACTACCGCACTAAATTACCTTGCAAAAGTATTAATAGCCGCAGAACTTTTCCACATTTTACATGTTGCAAAACTCAATGGGATTAACAAGCAAAAACAAAAAAGTGTGAAGTAAATTTTTGTCTGCTTCGACTCGGGGTGAGCTGAATATGAATTCCCTTTTAGATTTTCCTCCCATCCTCTTTAAAATCTCAATGAAACGCAGTGAAGTCTGTAATCGGAAAGTGACAAAATGTAAAAAAAAACTCAAAGGGTGTAAATACGTTTGCCCTGTATACTTTTTGAACTCAGAATAAATCACCCCAGACACATCCCAATTGAGGATTTAGTCATTTATTTACAGAGTTATTCTTTGCCTTAATTCAGTACAGAATGATGAGAAGTCTGAGCATCAAAAGTGCGGTCAAAGCAGGCCATCATTTTCAAACATGATGCATCAGAGAATTCTAATAATTTTATTTCTTTTGTCTCTTACAAGTACAAAGCCACATACGCATGTAAAGCATACCTTTTTCTGCCCCCTAACGGGCAAATTAATACCACCAGACACGCATAGAAAAGAAGCATGATCCTGCAGGTTTCTCTCACCACTTTGACAAAATCTACCTAAATGGAGTCGGGGAAGCAAGCTCTCCTGGAATCTCGCAGAGATAGTTCTGAGGCTAAAACATGAAAAAAAAAAAAATAATAATAATATATAGATAGGGAATGTAGAGGATTTGTACAGTTATAATGCGTCATATGATATCATGATAAAAGTAGATAACTTCTTTTGAAATCTTTGTCTCATCAGTACAATTAAAGACACCAGAGGTCCGGCTTATTATTGCAATGGCTTTCGCTTTAAAGTTCATGGGTTGTTGTCACATGTCGTCTCCTCGTCGATCTGCTGCAGCACGCCTGGATCACATGGATGTTGGCTGGCCAGCTGAAAAAAAAAAAAAGGAACATCATAATTTAACTTAAAAGAAAAATGAAAGTCACAAGAGCCGGATCGATTTCTTACTTTTGACTCGCATGTAGCAGGTGTTACAGAAGAGCTGCTTGTTTCGTATTCTGACTTCGGCCCCAGCCTCGGAGCCTCCAAGGTCGGACTTGCAGTCGGTGCACTGTGAGGGTTTGGAGAGAGAGGGGAGGTAAAGAGCCGCGCGGAGGCTGTGGCGAGCAGAGACAGACCAAAGGCCGTATTCATTCAAACACAAATGATTAGAGTAGTCGCAGGACATGCATCATGATAGAAAGTAACAACACAGGTGCAGGAGATCAGATCTGATTCAAGGTCAAAGTATCCAGACATGTAGAGAGCTAAAATGTTTGAGCTGCTGGGAAGAAATCAGGATATTCCCCCAACCCAGAGTTAGTAGAACTAGGAAAACAAGTTCAGATCGACCGAGTTAGTCTGTGAAGATCAGCAAAGGCGTGCAGACGACACTCTCCGCCGTGGCGCAAGGAGTCCACCGGCTCTCACCTTGAAACAGCCCAAATGAAAACAGAGCCCGAGGGACTCGATGATCATGGCTGCTCCCTTTCCCAGCGGGGTGTCACAGAACGTGCAGGTTTTCCTGCCACTCACTGACCTGGGTTACAGAATCCACAGCTGTGATTTTAGAGCCGGAGCACACATGCGACGAGGCATGTGCGACTGCATGCACACACAAAACACACTAGTATACATTTACACTGAATTCCTACCGAATTGCTTCAGACTGGGTGGACCAAGCAGACCTAAAGTTTTATCACGATATTTTGTGGTAACAATGAGAGTGATCGTAAGAACGATTTATTACATATTTTTAGGTGACTTTAAGGCCCAGTAGCCACATAAATAACAGTGTCTTGTGTTACTATAGTTCCCACATTAAGTGCATTTAGTCACGTTTTACAATTTAGTCGTATTTATTGAAACTTTATTTGAATAAACACTTCAAATAAAAAACTCCAGTTCTTTATTTGTTCAAATTTCTCCAGTGTTTAGGAGAAAATACCGATCGCAACAACAAACAGTTTTGGGTGATTGTAAACATCATTAATTGGAGTTTATTGCGACAACAATGAATCTAAATTCTTATCTTGGAAAAATTCCATCACAATAAATGATAAACAATGCGCTAAATATAAGTTGATTGTATTTGTGCCTTTGCTGTGGATCCAGAATCTTCTTTTTATAGAAGTAGAAAAATTAATTCAGCTGTAAGGGAATCTTTTACAGTGCTGGTCAGAAGTACATTTTCATTTATTAGCATTTATGTTCAAATATTAATTAGCTTAAAGGTGAAGCTGATGGATATGTGGGTGAAACTTATTCTTCAATATCACATCCACTTTGTGCAAAAGCAACCGTACCTCAGCATAATGCTGCCACCAACATACTTCACTTTGTACAGGGTTCTTAAGATTAGAAAATCTCACTTTGACTCCTCCGAATATTCAACTTACCGTAGCCAAATAAGTCAAACCAGAAACCTTTTCCCCAGAAGATACTTGGCTCCCCCATGCAGACTCAACAAATAACCAGAAGTACATCAAGGAGAAAGATCCAGAATCCCTTTAGCAACCACTCCTCACCTCATAGAAATAACACATACAACCCAGTGTAGCAGTATTCAGGTACAGGCAGGTTCCTGGGGGCCTCAGGAAACCGGCGCGTTTGGTTTTTACCTGTTCCGCTGCTGATAGGCGTCAGGTGCGGGCTCCGGAGTGGTGACTGGTGACGGAGTGGACGGGGAGGGGGACGGACGGGACCAAGGGGCCGAGTAGGATCCTGCCCCACCGCGAAGGGAGCCCGTAGAGAAGGAGGGGGGCAGGGTGGAGGAGACTGGCCGACGGAGCCCTGATGCTCCAGAGTAAAAAGAAGAGCTGCCAGAAGAGCTGCCAGAGTAGCCAGAATACGGCCGAGAGTAGTTTGAGGCAAAAGAGCTGCTTCTGGGAGTCCAGGACGAACGCCGAGAGTCGTAGGAGGAGTCCAAGTTGTCAAGAGATTCCCCTCTGAAAAGCCAACCCACACCACACAACCCCTCCGTTAAAAGATGTTAGTTGAAGAAGTAAAAACCATCTGACTACCAACCGCTCTCAGTTTTTCTAACAAAATGTGCCGAATCAGTGTCGGTGTGGTAGCCAGATCGTTTCCGCTTTAGGACCCGGGGCCATTAGTGAAAGTACAGGAACAACCAGTAACCAGGACATAAGAGGTGTCTGTCTACCTGCGCATAGGCGGCACTTCGCTGTCCCTGTTGACGGCCGTGCCGGCGGCGCGCTGGCGGATCCAGCTGTTGTCCGTCAGGAGAGGTGTCTTCTTCTTCATCTCATTCAGGATCTGCTGGCGCTCCAGCTCAGCCTGCGACAGCGGCTGCTGACTCTTCCCATTGGGAGCTGCGCTTCCCACCGATGCACCGAGAGGAGAGATAAACAGTGTAGTTATGCTATGAGTAGTGCACACCAAAGATGTTTGGCAAAAGTATTTATACCCCTTGAAGGTTTTTATATTTTGTCATGTTACAACCATAAGCTTCAATGTCTTTTACAGAGACAAAGTGGTGCATGACTGTGAAGTGGAAAGAAAATATTACACTTTGTTTTTAATTTCTATTATTGCTATGTAATGACCTGTCAGAACTACCTTTTTGTGCAATTGCAATTTTTTTGGTCTGAATATTTCCACCAACTTTGCACAGATACAGATTTTTTTGCTCAATCATCTTTAAGAAATAGCTCAACTAAGCTAGATTAGATGTAAAAAAAATGTGTTAAAGTGCTTGCAGTGATTTCCAATTTGATAAAGGTCTTGCTGACTTTGACTGGGTCGTTCTCACACACAAACATGCTTTGATCTAGACCGTTTTATGTGGATGTGGATTTTGTCCTATATTTGCCTTCATTTACCTCATGAGCTTCACAGCTGATACTGTGGTTAAAACTCTCCTCGCCTGACCTGTTTGTTTGCAAAAATATTGAAAGCCTTGCATCATTTCCTTTCATGTCACAGTTACAATTTACTTTCTCCTAAAATTCCTATTAAAAGCACTGATTGTGACTCTAATGTGACAAAACACAAACGTCTTTAAGGGGTATGAAAACCTTTCCAAGTTGTTGTTCAAATCAGACTTCAATCATGTCTGGGAAAAAAAAAACTACGCCAATCTGAAATATTGCAATCAAGAAGCTTCTGTTCGGCCACAAGTGCAGTAATTGAGTCACTTTAAGTGGAAGGCAACTGATTAATGCGCCCATGTAGTCAGTCCGATGCAAATCAAACAGCTGTAAGTTTTGATTTGGTGAAACGGCAAATCAGTCGATCATAATGGAAGAAGACTGGTAGGAATTGATTTAAAAAAAAAAGAAAAAAAGCAGAGGCGGTGGAGCTTCCAGAACGAAGTCAACCTCTCTCTGCCTCTGCGTATCTGAGGAAGTTTCTCCTCTCCAGCTCTGATGCAGCCTTCTGGCTTTGGAGGTGTTTTCTACGTGCAATCCTCAACTCCTCTTCCAGCAGCCTGAGAGACACGTCCTCTGGCTGCCGTAGCAAGTCTGCATATAGCAGGACAGAGCTCACACACACGTACACACACGCACACACACACACACACACACGCAACAGCCCTACGTGGAGCCGTTCAGAAAACCACCTGGTGAAGAAACAAATGAGCCAAACTGACCTCTCCTCTGAGGTTTGTCGTCATCATCCAGCTGGGGAGATGACTGGGATTTTGTCCTGTCAAAACAAAAGGTTAATATTATAATTAGTGAGAAATTATTAACTATAAAGTAATCAATAAAAAGCTATGGGAGATTTACAATTCTTGTCAATAAATTCCCCTACTATTTTCACAATAATATGTCAAATGTTGGAACTTTATGTTTTTTTTCACTTCATTAGCATTTTTATATCTCAAACCTTCATTAAATTTTTAAACTTAGGAAGTTGAAGTGGAAAGTAGCAAACTCCAGAGAAAACAAAAGCTTTTTTCCCCTCCCTTTAGGTGAATATCCAACACTTTTCAGTTGACTTTAATGAAAAGACGTCTAATTACAAACATACATTCAGAACTTTAACTGTACATCGCCACCATAGGGAAAAATGTCATACCAATTTTAGGCTTTTAATGGTGAACTGGACCCATTTTTTAAAGGTGGAATTAACAAATAACATTTGATTTGATTTAGACAAAAATTAGGTGCAGACGTTTGAATTCAGGGATCTTTTCTCCATTCACCACATGGTCAAAGGTGTAGTACAACATCCCCATTCATTTGTAGTTCATCGTTCTAGATAAAACTAGGTTTTGGAAGCCATTAACATGCTTCGAGCTGGATATCTTTCTGGTCAGAAATAATGTATTTAACAGTCAATACACTCTTGTATTGGCTGTTAAATACAATAATGGCAAAAAGAACTGCTAAGAGGATGAAAAGATGGTCAGACATGTGGGTGGATTGATCAATGGATGAATAAACAGGTATATGGACGTGTGCACAGATGTTTGGACGACTAAATGGACAGAAGAAAAGCTGCGTGGTACGGATGGATCCTGTAATACTTTACGTAAACATCAATCTGAACTGGTGTTAGTAGCTTATGGGGCAAACAGCCATGACATGAAGCAATGTAAAAGCAGTGAGGATGGGTTAATGGCAGCAGGAACACTGACCTGTCAGTAAAGGACAGCTGTGGCTGAGCACTGTCAAAGTCGTGGGAGACAGCGGCCCTTTGGTGAGCAGCAGTGTGTGCAGACAGGTGGGATGATGGAAGCGGGGGGGAGGGGGGGGAGTAGAGTAAAGCACAGCAAATGCATTAGTTGCAGCTATGTTAATGCACAGGCGACAAAGCGCATCAAGTGACACGAGGACGCGCGGGTGAGTGTGTGTTAAGAGCAGCAGCACCACGGCACTGACCATCTCTGCTGCTCGAAGGCTTTCTGCCTGCGCTGCTGCTCCGCCACCTCCTGCTGCCTTCGCTCCTCCTCTCTCCTCCTCTGCTCCTCCTCCCTCTTTCTTAGCTCCTCCTCTCTCGTCCTTTGCATTCTCAATTCCACCTCCCTTTTTTCCCTCTCCTCCCTCTCCTGCATTTCTCTTCTCTTCCTCTCCTCCTGGAGTCGCTGGAGCTCCCGCTCCTCCTCTTCCCTCCTCCTCCTCTCCTCCGCCTGCCGCTGGCGCTCCTGCTCCACCTTCCTCTGCCTCTCCTCCTCTTCCCACAGAGTGGGCTGTTGGAGAGAAGATGGGGGCGAGTGTGGGCTGACGCCGTGGCTGTTCACCTGGAGAAACATTCAAACGCACAACGGCCTTCAGCAGCATCATTCCTCACTGACATCAGGAGGAGCCACTTGTTAGATAATCCCTACAAATTCCCTAATATTAAACAACAATACTAATATTTTTAAAGAGTAAAAATGATGGCAATATTACAAGCACCCACATGACAAATCCTTGTTCTCACCTTACGTTTGGTACATCCTTTTATCGGAAATTGTTCTGCTTTTATAAAAGTCAAATACAAGATTGTGAGACCACATAATGGCTTTATAATTACAGGATTTCTGTTCACTAAAGCTTTTTGGATACATTTAGACGAATTTCCACTATGACTCATGACTAATTGCCACCCTTTTAGAACAATCCAGACAATATTTCAGGCAGTAGTCCATAACTCATGAGAACTGAAATAACTTTCATTACCTGGTGGCCCACGCTTGTGACAATCTCCTGCTGAGCCTTGAGCCATTCCTCCTGCAGCTTCTCCTGATCACGCTTGTATTTTTCCTGATGGTTAGAAAACGTTTTTATAATGCCAAACACCTTTTTTTTTTGTCTACGCAGCATGCAGAAATGCACCTTATCTTGAAAAAAAGACTTGAATCTCCTGAACATTTTCACATTTTGCGACAATTACAAGCAAAAACTTAGATATATTTCAGGCATATATTCATTCCTAAACTTTAACCTCTTGAAAGTTACTCTGATCTGTTCCTTTATCTATCCTGTTTCTGTTTTCTGCTTTTCTTGTAATGGGATTATGATGAAGGCTACTGAAACAAGAAACCCTCTGCGATTTATCAGGAAATCCTGTCTCAAATAATGTGATTCTTCGAGCTTCTTAGAGGCTCTAATTATCGTGGATATATAACACATACTGTCCTTCTGGGTTCTTGAATGCTTTCTTGTTAAACTTAAATCACTATCAATGATTTAAGTTTAACTTTGGCTCGTTGTTCGTTTGAAGATTCATTAATAGTTACAATTAGTACCTGAAACTTTATTTGTTTTAATTTTAACAAAGAAAACTAACAGATAAGAGTTATTAACTTAATAACTTGGGTTATTATTATTTATTTTTTTCTCATATGGACCTACTTGTGTTTTTCATAAAGTTGATGATGGTGATGATTTATTTCAGTTCATACTTTGATATAGTTATATTAACATGCTTCCTACAAACCTGTAGGAGGAGCTCTTGTTCCTTCTGCCATTTCTCTTGTCTCTTGCGCTCTTCTTCTGGGTTCCACGACCAGCGGCTGGAGGAAGCTGGAGTGATCGCAGGAACAGGAATCTGGAGGACAGCAGACAGAGGAAAAACCTTCACTATTCTATACATTTAATAGTGATGGGTGTGTTTAATTCAAGTGTCTCCAACAAAAAGTTGGTTCTTAAACTTTGACTTCTGCAAATCTGTCTGTATTTGAAGTCCTAAAGGACAGTTTAACTTCCCCATGTAATAGTTACACACTGGTTTATTGGAGATTTAGCCTTTTTTCTGAACGTTTTATATCTCCATGCTACAAAATAAGCCAATCTTAAAAAAAAGACAAAGAGTTTGAATCTCCAAAAACCAAAAGCTCCATTCAAAAACATCGACACTAATTAAACGACTGTCTGTCTGAGTCGAGTATTGTTGAGAAAATTGTGTCTGGGCTTCATGGACACAGATTAACAGTGTCTGTTTCCACAGATGTTGTCATGGTACTTGAATAAACACAACACAGATAAGAGAAGATTCCCCTCTCACTACTCACATCTGGCATCGCAGGCTCCGATCCTCCTGGGAACGAAATAACACTGAGTCAGTACGAGAGGCATGTTCGGGCGGAGCGACGCAGCAGCACATGTGAGCAGACAAGTTAACCCTGAGGCCTGAGAATACATCCAGGCCAAATGGCTCGTCAGCGTTCCAGTTCAATTAAAAAGTGTTGATGTGTGTTTTAAAGTTAAAACTGTAATTAATGTTTTCACCAAGCCTCAGGGAACCATGGCTCAATTTTCACTGATTAGGATTCATCGGGTCTCTTCGTGGCAGATCACAAACTTATTGACATTTGCACCTCAGTATTTCTGAAAGGAAAATCAATAAACGGGTTGCAAAAACATGATCAAAGAAGCTTGAATCAGCTATATGCATGCAGCAGCAGCAGCAACAACAGGAGGAGCAGCAGACGGCCAGCGTGAAAGGCAGATGCTTCGATACGTGCATGTCAGAAATAGCTAAAACTCCATGAAGAGTATAGCAATGTGGTAATCTGTGTAATACCACAAATGCAACAGGATTCAAGGGATGTGCTTTTGTGGTTGGTATGTTGAGATACTGACATGCTGCAGAGCTTTAGGAGCAGCACACACTGCTTCAAAATGTAGCTTACATTCAATTTTCTTAGAGGGCATCAAGTTGGACAAGAATATTACTAAACTGCTCAGGTATCAGCAGGATGTCAAAATCCCAAGTTGTACCGAGCAAGGGTGAGGACGTCACTGCACACAATGAACCCTGTTTACCACAGAGGAAGACCAGCGCACTGACACTGGGCCCTGAGCCACCTGGGGGAGGGAAGGGGCACAGCACAAGGGTTAAGCTTTGACACCAGACAAGAAAAAGGGGAAAAAATAAAAAATAAAAAAAAGGAACCTTCGGAGCAGTGTCCCATTTTTATCAACAGAACGAAAGTCTGAGACGGACAGGAAGACATGCAACTCTGACTTGGAATTCAGACAGATAAAAAGCGCAGAGAGATCGGCCATCAGACTACACAGAATCAGAGTCAGCATTAGGAGCCACATTCATCCCTTTCAGTCGCGTCTTCTCTTTGACTTTTACCTTGTTCAAAAAACTCTGATCTCCGTTTTAAGTTTTTCAAAGATATTGGTTCTGACTCTATGTGAGAAACGGAAAACAGGGTTAGGTGAGACACAGCAGAAGAGAGAAATTAGTTTAACCTGAGAAGAGTTCACTTACATTTGTTGGTACCCCATGTATAGGGTAATTTCATACTAAATAATCTGGAAAAACTCAATCTTTTGTTTGTGTGAGTTCATTCAGTAGGGGAATAATTGAACAAACTGCATTGTAAAACATTACAGATAGCACAATTAAAATAAAAATGAATGTATTAAGATTGAAACATAAATAAGGACCCTTTTCTCACTGTTAAATATAGTGGAGGATCTGTGATGCTGTGTATATATTTCTATTTCAAAGGATGAAAAACACCAGGATCACAAGAAGTTTGGTCCTTTTTGCTGTAAAAGTGAAGCTTTGCCTCTAATGTGTCTTTCTAAAGGATAACAATCTGAACGACATGGTCACATCAATCCTGACTCAACCCTCATCCTTATCCACTGAGAATGGGTTCAAGACTCTAAAAAGGTCTAGAAAGAAAGACTTCGTGAAATCTTATTGAAAACTCAGCAATGTTCTACTGGCAACAGCGAAATTTATAAATGATTAACAGGCTTGGCCATCAATAACGGTGCCACCTTGTTTGAAACAATTATTAATCAAAATGGGATTATTTCCCTCTGAATAAAGGCACACAAATTAAAGGTAATATTTTCCCACTTTTTTGCAGAAAGCCTTTAAATAGTGAACCTATTTAAAGGCTTTTTATATATCTTTTTAAAAGGGTTACCAACAAATTTGTCCGTTCTATTTCCAGCACACGGTCATAAATGACATCTTTGTTTAAGGTTTGCTTATTTTCCACATCTTTCAGAAATAATTTCAGAGATCAATTCCATAACCTTTCCAGCTTTTAGCACCGCTCTTTACCTTTGTTCCTCATGGTCACTGGTTGGTCTTGTAAGTCCCCATTAACTCTGTTTGAAGCCACGTCCTGCAGGGAAAGGCTTAAGGTCATTAAAGCGTCACTTAATGAAGAAAAATACCAGAAAAACACTGGAAACGCAAAGCGAGTTTCAGCTCAACTGATCATAATAGGTAACCAGCCGGTTGGAAATTCAAAAATCATATTTCTTTCGATTCAATGAACGCACCATAGCTAAGTTTTAACAAATTGCTCATTGTTGGCTATTTTCAGAATTTGTGAATTTTACACAACATATTGAAGCAAAATTTAGGTTAGGAGAGAGTCAGAGAGAGCAAGAATTTCAGCGGATAACAATAAGACTTAATAGATGATCACAGTTGCTCTGTTTTAGCCTCTGAAGCTTTAGCCTTCTATAATAAAACATGCTGGATATGTAAACTGTTAATCTAGGGATGCAGAGACTAGATTTCATAGTCAGTAATGCTAACTCTTATGCTAAAGTGTTAGCATAACTCTAACTCTTATGCTAAAGAGAACTTTAAATGTAAACCAATCATTTTGTCTTTATTTATGTCTGTAGTCATGTGACATCTACCCTGACCATGACTGACCAATCAGCTGGAAGGCTAGAGAAAATGTTAAGAATTTGGTTAATTATAGTTTTGACAGAGAAATTGGTTGTGGCTAAAGCTACCAGTGGCCAAATGACCAGATTGAAGAACACTGGAATAAAAATGGCTTAAATTCACATCAACGGAGTAGATATCGCCACTTACCACCAGAGGAAGAGTGTGAGGCTCTTTGGCCAGCACCGATTCTGTGACGGTACGGGAAGTGAAATCCAGGCTGGAGTTGGCGGTCTTTGTCTCAGGGGGACCTAGAAGTGTCGGATGATCCGTACTGGTCAGATTGATGGTCTTATGGCTTTTAAATGGCAGGGAAGGTTGATCTCTGTCCCAGTCTGCATGCAGTAAATGCAATGGCAAAAACAAATAGACGGTGTGCTTGAAGATAAGCCCATGATTTGTGCATGTAAGTGTATGTGAGTCCATCAGTCTGTCAATGTGAATGTTCACACACACCACCACTATAAAGCAGGGGGACCAAGAGGTGCCATTATGGTGTTACTGTAGGGAACAGCAGGGGGCGACAGAGAAACCACCTTCCCCAGCCATGCAGCCCAAAGAAGTCATAAACTCAAACAGAGTTATTAATAGGCTTTTGCTAGATAAACTGGCTTTGTTAAACTATTCAACAAGCCATTTATGTTAGTTTCAGTGACTGCGTAGTTTAGTTCTTTTCTGAGGTGACACTGATATAAGTGAGAGACTGCAAAGACAAACAGTACAGGGTTAGCTCTCCAAAGGGAAATGATTCATAGATACGAAAAAAATGGACAGCAAAGAGAAAACTGATCAGGGAAAAAAGATAGAACATGAACATTTTTAACCAGCCAATTAAAACAAAAAAGGGGGGAAAAGAAAATAAACCACAGAGGTGAGAACGCACCCAGCCCTCCCCCACCGGGTCCTTCATCATTTAGCTGTCATGATATCATTCATGGGTGACTTCACAATAGTTTACAGACCAATTTAAAGTGTCAGAACTGTTTAGCGACGCCCAGAGCTTAAGCAGCGTTGTCAGTCCAGGAGAGTAACCCTTGAACCTTTCCTTCGCGTTGAGTCTCTTTGCTCTTACAGCAATCAAACACACACACATCCCACCCCACACACACACACACACACACACACGGTGTGTGACTCACTGTGCTGGCCGTGACGGCGCACATCCATGACCAGGCTGCCCTTCTGCAGGGCCTCCTCCAAGCTGGACTTCCACTGCTCGTAACTCATCTGTGCCACCTGGAGCCCGTTCACCGTCAGCACTTCATCCCTGACCTGCAGCTGGCACATCTCGGCTGAGCTCCCTGAAAGTTAAAGGGAGAACGGGCTTATTAGAAGAAGGAACGTTTTCAGAACTGATATCAGAGCAGTCCCAGCTTTTCCAGTTCTTCTGGTTGAATTCAAACATCAGTAAACAAAACAAGCATCTTCAACTATGACAACTGAACAGCAGAAGCAAAGCACACAGTTAAAATAGAAATGAGCAAAGTACACATTTTTGTTTGTGATGGTCGAACATAGGAGGCTTTTACCAACACTCCTAAACAACTTGTTAACAGGTACTATAGATAGCATCTTACAGTTGCTATGGACACTTGTCTTTACCTCATCCAGATTTCTTTTGACCTCAATCACAATCTTCTTCATCGGCAACATAAACTCCTACCCAGTTGCTTAAAATTTTTAAAACATTTGTCTGACTCTAGAGATGAGTAAGTTGAGAGACAGACTGAGTTATCAGCACCAAAGTGAGATGTTGTCTTTCCCTGTTTGAGAAATGACTGAGAGAAATGTACCTGACGAAAACAGAACATTAATTTCTTTCAAAGCAAATATTTTCTAACACTGACATTTCCCCCCCCCAACTGAACAGATACATATTAGATATGTTACCTGATTTTGTGGGGGGAAAAAACTCTTATTTCTTATCTTTTCTTTCAAACAAACATCAAACAAACTCATATACGTCGCTAAAGCTGATTCTTTAGAAAAAGAAAAAAAAGAAGCAGAAAATATAGGCGAAAACTTAAAAAAAGCTATGTGCGTAAACAGAATTAAGTTTGCATAAAGACAAGTTTGGGGCAGGTTTCATAAATTGATGTGAGTTGTCAGTATAGCTTAAAATACACGGCCTACTGTTCATGTGCTGGTGGGGAGCTGCAGCAGAAAAGAGAGGCTTAGACCCAGCAGATCTGACCCAGATAGATGCTGCCCTACATAAGGTTCTGGCATCACAACTGCAGTGGACTCGAAAACTTGCTAACGGCTAACAGGCAGAGCTTAAATGTGAGATGAAACAGAAGCAAAGCGCCAGTGTTCAGTATTACCACATGTTACTGTGAATAACATACAAACACTGCATGTGTGACTTTCCATGTGAAAGGTTCAGGTTCGAGCTCGGCTGTGTTTGGATACCTGGTTGGACGGACGTGACCCGAGCTCCCGTTGAGTCCCAGGCAGCCTGGAAGCCAAAGTCTCGGCTGCTGTTGGGTTTTTGGTTCAGGCTGATCCGCATCTCACAGAAATCCTCCTGGAAATCACACAGGTGAGTAATAAGAATATGAACTATCTGTCAGAATATGCCTATTGTTTTTTTTTATTTGGTCAGAAAAGCTTCTGAAATAATAGTTTGTTGCTTCATTTTAGTCAGCAGCCAATGCAAATAAACCGATTTTAGTTGAATTTAATTTTTATTATAAAACAAATAAACATATCTGATGTTACCAGAAGAAGAAATCCCAGTACCTTGCTGGTTTCTTTGCCAGGAGCAGGACTGACTGAGACGTCACTCTTGACAGGAGACGGGAGAGATCTGATGCTCTGAGTCGAGGACAGGCCCTTCACTGTGGGGTTCTCCTCTTCCTCTTCCTCCTCCTCCTCCTCCTCTTCATCGCTGCTGTGTGCAGAACTGGACTGAGCCTCATCCTCTGAGGTCATGTACTGGTGATACCGGCTTGGCACTGACGCCTTCTTAGAAACATCCACATTGCCGTTGACACCCTTGTGGGATTCGTCCGTCTGTCGAGGATTAACACATAAAGACTCAGAGCGACTTTTCACAAATAAATGTAAAAGGAGAATGGATAATTGGGCTGGTGGGAAGAAATCACAGGCTGCTCAGTTATCCGTCTTCACCTCAGCAGCATTGGTGGGTCTGGTCTCCCTCATCTTCCTAGCATAACCTGAGCATATTTTGCCTTTTTATTATCTCTGCAGCTTGTACTTGTATTACCACAAGACTTTTTTCTTCCACTCAACTTTTCATTAATTACTCTCAGCATGGCTATAAACATTCGTCTTTTTCCAAAACCTATTTTCACACGCAATAGAACATTTGTCAAAGAAACTCATGCTTTCTCATTGGTTGTAGGCCAGACTCATCAAAATGAGCAGAACTAAACCCTCTTTGTGTAATGAATGTATGTAACAGGCCATCTACAGTACTCATTCACTGAGATGCACCTCTATGTGCCTGGTGTACGGTTTGCTGTACTTACTGTGTGGGCTCTGGAAAGAGAGGAGATGCGGGACGGCTGGGTCCCAAAGGGCCTCGGAGCGACGACCGAGGTTAGCCGCGCGCTATCCGATCTCTGGTAGCTCCTGGGGAGAGAGGCGGAAACCCGAGACACGGCGGGAGGCTTGGGTTCCATCGGGCTCAACTCAGCTTGTCTGTCCAGAGAGCTGGAGGAGGGGGCCTCCACCTCAGTCGGTGCTCTCAACAATGAGGGCCTCGGCTCAAGCTCCTTCTGGGTGGAGATGAAGGAGGAGTGGGGGGCTACGTCCCTCGTAGTCTTCTCTGTGTATTTTATGGCCTTGCGTTCCTCCTCTGGACTCTTCTGATAGGATGCAGCTGCTAGAGACTGGTTGGTGGTGTGGGAGTCTTTGACTGAAGGACCGTCCACGGTTTCATGCGAAGTGGGGGGCGAAGGCGGTCTGCGAATGCGAGGGGAAGCAACCGGGGGGTCCTCGGCTTTCGGAGAGGGCTTGGGGGCTCTGGAGAATACGATGGAGCGTCGATGGTGTAGCTTCTGGCTGGAAGCGATCGGGTCGGCGCGCGAATTGCGGGTTTCGCAAATATGTCGTCGTCGTCATCCAAGTAGGAGAGAGAGGACAGGCGGCTGCCGATGCTGTTCTTTTTTTTATTTTCTCTGCAGGTGGAAGGAGGAGGATAAAGGTGAGGGTAGTGAGTGGGAAGAGGGGCAATACAGATGAGGAGGTCGGCATGATGCAAAGAGATGAGGTATAATAAACTGATTCTTATTAACACGCGGAAGACAATCATGCAGTTTCTCTTCAACAACATAAAAAAAAAACATTTTCGCCTTTTATTACCTTAGCAAAGTATCCCCCCTCTGAGGGTAAAAAGAAGAACAAATTTATTAAGTACCACAGCCACCCTGATGCACTACACTTGCACCGTCTCAACTGCCTGATCGGGTGTGCTTATTTTTCCCTTTTTGCTCACCTCTCCTCTTGGATTTCCTTGAAGGTCTTGGACCTGCCGTCGCTGCCGTACGTGATCTGCTCTATCTTCTCCCGCTCCTCCTTCTTCTTCACTATATCAGAGTTCACGCTCCGGCGCCGGTTTTTCCATTTGCTCAGGTCCTGTGGAGAAAAGATATCCAAGTTCACCTAATGCGTCGCATCTTTAACACTTTAAACCTTGGGCTTGGTGTGAAGCGGCAGGCTGTTGTGGACAGCTAGGGGTGTGATGGAGAAGTTGGGGAAGAAGAAAAAGAAAAGACACAGAGCTGCATTTGAAGGTGTTCTATTTGTGAGCCTGAAGCTCCTCCCGACTCACTTCCCCTGTGGTTTGGGGACTGTGTGACCTAAATGCTGCTTCAGGAGTCCATTACTTCGCTGTGACATCAATCAGACTGCAGCCAGGTACAACAGCGAGTACATACAGACATCTATCATGTAATAGGCACTTTATGACTCATTAAGTAAGTGACAAAACAGGTACACAATTGCCATTTGTCATCACTTTCAAGAAAACTTTGTTCTTTTGTTAAACTGAAGTAATTTTCTATGGCACAGCTTATTACATCATAACAATATTTCATATTGAATCTGTTGTTGGAGTTGTTCTTGCCAGCAGGGACATCTGCCGATGAGAACAGTCAATAGCCAGAGGGCAGCACTGCACCAACCAGTTCCTGCCTCTTTGACTTCAATCCGAACGGCTCTGATTTCAGGCGGCAGCTGCAAGTCTAATCTCACAGATCATGTGCTCGTCTTTCACTGCAGCATTATCTCTGTCAGAAGCAAACATCTTTCTTGTCTATCTTCATTATGCAGAAAATTTATGGGAAATATGGCCACAGGCATGTACTAGACAGTGCCCTTTTCACATTCTGTCACATTATAATTACCAGCTTCAGTGTATTTTATTGAAGCTAGTAATTGGGGATGTGGGAGGAAAATGATTTTAAAGAAAAAAAATAAATCTGAAGTTCACTGTACATCAGTTTTAACCCTCTCAGGCTCAAATTACTTGCAAAGACTGTTTAAGTTGTTGCAAATCTGCAACACCTGCCTGGAGAGGGTTAAACCACTTTCTCTTGAATAACCCTAAGTAAAGTCCAGTGCAACCAATTGCCCTGGAAACTCATATAATCAAATACGGCTAAAGTGAAACTAGTTTCCATTGACCATTAAATTGTACACATTGGAAATATAAAAATGAAGCGTAGTTGTAATGTGACAAAGAACGTGGAAAACTTTTGCAAGGCACATATAATGTGTAAGATACCCATATCAACTATACTCACATCTTGCCACTTATCCTCACTCTCTTTAACCTGTTCGCGGAACTTCTGCAGCTCCTCGAAGCGAATCTGCCGGGCGATTGAGGGGTCCACCTGGATGTCGCTTGTTGATTTGCTCCTGAGGGACAAAAAAGTGGAAAAAATAGTAAAAAAAAAAAAGAAAAGAAAAAAAAAGTCCCCTTCTTTGCATTACTAATCTCCAAAAAAGACGTACTTCATAAGTTTCAATTAAAAACATTTTACGCATGCATCGTCTCTTACCATACTGCCTTATCTGCAAATACTGGAAATCATGTTAGACTTTCATGTTATGGAGTTAGTATGCACACCATGAAGGCCAGCCAGGAAAAAAAAAAAACAGGTAATAAAAAATTAGTGGGTTAATAAAATTTACGACTTTCATCCCCACCATCATGCAACAAAAGAAAAAGTCTCCAAAGGGTTACAATTGACAAAAAAACCTCCCTTTAAAGACGTCATACAAATATTTCAGAACCTCCAACCAGTCACAGTGACAGTCACAGTGCAGGTTTTCTTTCTTTTGTTTTTTAATAAATTTTAAGAAAGAGCTTTCTGCAGCCCCTCGTCCACACCCTTCCACCCTGGACCCGTCCCTGTGTTTAATATCGAACGTAAAAGGTTAGGAGCAAACAACAGTGAGAACAGCAGATCAAAAGGCAGGGCGTGACTGGACAGAGGTCAGAGCAAATCCAAAACATGCCACATTTCTGGGCACCTGCGTCAACTCACCCATCAGAATTTTCTTGCGTTTGCTGCTGTCTGGGGGAACCAGAGAGAATCACACACAACAAAAGTCACATTTCTGTAGGCTGTTTTTTTTTTTTCCCCACAGTGAGACTGACAGTATTTGGGTCAAGAGCTCGAGGCCAGGTGGAGACTCTTATTAAAACTCACTTGTATTTAAACCAAACACAAACATGACTCTGCTTGTCAAAGTCTATAATTTGCATCTGCCTCCCCACAAAAGATAAAGAGTGAAATAGCTGACTTGACAGTATGAATTATATGGGCAGTTGCCCAGGGAAGCATTAAAAAAAGGGAGCCATGGGAACACCAGGTGCAAAATATTACTTATCTGTCAAGTCTGCTTTGAAAGTTATTTATCGCAATGGATCGCTTTTTCTGCATATTACATAGGTGAACCCTCATTCTGCTGAGACAAAAAGTGTGCTTTATGCACAACTCTATGGAATATTTCATCACGCGCTATAATCTCAGATAATTTCCTGCATTTTAAAAGGCTTTAGTGGAGTGGAAAAAGTTTCCCAAGCTCCATTCATACAAGAACCAAAGCTGACCCGACTGTATAGAGCTTAGATGTGTTTGGATTTCCCTCTAAGCAACACATCCTTTCCACAGACTCCATGATGCAAGCGTAACTTCACACATGGCAGCGAAGTAAATCCAGATGAGCTTGACTCAGCTTAAATGGTTGCATTGTGCGCCCAACCTGTGGTGAAAACTTTTCAGTTCTGCTCACCAAAAGAGCGCACACGTCGTATGTATTTTCAGAGCCGTTGGGGAATTTCTTTACCCCCTAATAAAAGTTGGCACACATTAAACTGGCGTGTTGCAGTCGGGGGTGCCGTATTTTGTGTCTGCCCTGTCTTGCTGATGCACTGCGACTTTCGCATGTTGGCGTGAAGTTCTTTCCAGCTGAAGAGGCGGCACTGAACTCGGGTAAGATTTGTGGCCCAGGGATGAATTTAACTGGTTCCAATGTAAAGTCGTAAAGTTTTTGGGTTTTTTTTTATTTTTATTATTTTAAGCAGAAATATATAGATATACCATTTACAGGAAGATTGAAACTTTCAAGAAAACAAACTAAAGATGAAAATATGTGGGACCAGTTTTTTCACAAAATCCTTTCCGGTCTAGAAGAAGTTTGGGGTTTTTGTTCACACCCACATGCAGCAGCAGTATGTCCCTTGCACAGCCGGGGAGGTAAACAACATGCACCTCTGGGCCACCACCCTTTTCACAATAATAAAGTATTAATTCAAAAAATAAGAGGAAACAAAATTGAAACTACTCATGGGCAAGGAAGACAAATGTTTAAAAAAAATATTCTATCATATCATTGCTTTGGTTTAAAACCCTTTTAACAAGAAGCCATTACTCCACACTGCTAGTCAGCTGGCTGAAAGAGGAGTAAGCCAACAAGATTTATCTGTCAGTATAAATATTTTAAGCCCCCAAAACCACAAAATCAGTCTCTCATGATATTTTAAAACTACAGGTAAGCTTTGAGCAGCTTACTGTCAAAAACATAACAGCAAAAAAGTGATCATTTTTTCCATTACAAATATAAGCTTCTAACACAAATACCTTTTCAATAATGTAATAAAGTTTTCAATATCCAATAATAAACTGCTATATTGCCAGTAATAAAACAAAAAGTTATTACCTCTTTGGTTCAGAATTAAAAACTAATTTTAACTGTAATCACCGCAGTGGATAGTTGTATAATGCATAAAAAGCCATTGGAACCATAACAAAGTATAACATAATCAACTGAATTATTGACAAAATGTTATCTTGAAGGAACGAAACCTTTCTCACATTATTGGAATAATACCGCATTATTGCCAAACTAATTAAACAGCTGACATAAGTTATATCCATTCCTACTACTGCTTAAGGAGCCAAACGACAAACATACTATTCTGGGCAATAAGCACACATTTTTATCAACTTGAAAAAAAATGATCTAAATGTAGTTGGTATTTATTACTTAAGTTAATGTGTCAAAAAAAATGCAAAAGCATATTATTGTATTATAACTAATTGTAATTACAACAGCAATAACATGGTGCAATTTAGCCAATTTGATTATTTTGTGTCTTTTCCCTTTGATTTTCTTGTGTAAATACCGTCAGACTGTATTTTCACTCAAAGTCACCAAACAGTGACAACGTGATACCATGCCAAGAACTAAATAGACTGTATACAGGAAATGTCATTGTCTCCTTCTATGGTGGCTTGTAGCAACATGTTTTAAAGTGACCCAGTGAAATGAAAGAAACAGCTTTTCATTTTAAACAAGAGCATGACTGGATAAATGCTAAACCTTTGACTGACTCCACATCCATCAAAACCCATGTATCATCTGACACAGGGCTGGTAAATTGTACACAGATCAGAAGTTTTACATCAATCTGCAACTACACTTTCAGAGCCACTAGTCTCTCCAACAAAAGCTTCCTCTTGTGTCTTAGCTGAGAGGCTTCCCTGATTGCCTGCCACCTCTGCAGGTCGCCTTCGCTACAGGAGGAAGGTACAAAGGGAGTCATGCGACCGGCTGACGGGCCTCTCTGCTGACTCTGATCGGAACAATCTCGCAGCTTCCGAACCAGCATGTCATCCTTTTCTGGCTGGAGCTCTTTCTTAGCTTGATCCTGTTCAGCTGCAGTCGCTTCCTGAGTCAGAGGGCAGGGGGCGCAGAGAAGTCTGGCTTTGAGATCAGCAGGGAGGGCCCAGGGCTCTGGGACGTGCATGGGGGCATAGTTGTCTGGGGCCCCTGAAAGTGCCCGCTGCCTCTGAGTTTTCTCCCTGCGATAAACGACATCGTCCTGCTCAATGTCTGGAAAATCATCTTCGTCTGGGTCTCCGTGAAGGTGTTGCTGTGTGACGATATTGAGCTGCGGCTCAGACGAGTGGAGTCTGCGCTTGCGGGGGAGCCGGGTCTTGAACGTGGCCAAGTCCACGTTGGACTGAAACGACAGGGTCCGCCTGGCGAACATGTCATCGTTCTCCAAGTCCGGGTCAATGCTTTCATAGTCAATGGGGTCCGGTGGCTCTCTGGGGTCTTCGCGCCCCAGAAGCGGCCACTTCTCACATTTGACCAGTCTGGGACCTGAGGTAGGATCCACGGGGGCAAACACCAGAGGAGGGATTTCTAAAAGAGGGGGTTCTATCTTGGGGAGCTGTGGGGGAGGGTGTGCTTGGACATGAGGACTGCAGGGTGAGCAGAAGGAGAGAAAAGGATAGAGAGATGATGAGCGCATGCATGGAACCTGGATCGAGGTGCAAGAAAAGGTGGAAATGGGACATTTGATTCAAACAGATGCTGATCAAATGAAGTTTTTACTAGTAAATGTACACAACTGTGAAATACCAATGCAAGTTGATTGCAAAATTGGGTAGAAGCTGTAATAAATTTAAAATACAACTATAACACAGTCTATTTCCAAAAAAAAGGGAAGCAAACTCCTTGTTAGAGCTTATTAAGGCAACCCCAGTAGCTCAACTACTTTATTAGTGATTAGAAAGCAGCTTAAATCAATTCGGCCCCATATAGAATAGTGTTCCTTTAAAATGCGATGCTTTAAAGCGAACTCGCATCGTCACAGTCGTGCATCTGTATCAACCTTTTCCCGACAACAAGGGTGGCTTGAGCCGGGGTCTCGTGTTTGTGGGAGTGAGAGGGGGAGGTTGCAGAAGAAGGGGGAGCAGAAGAGAACCAAGGACCAATGGCGCCCTCTGAGTCATCAGACGAAGAGCCGGACCTCTGACGGCTACAGCCGAGAAGAGCAGGAAGAGAGAGGGACAGAGGAGGTTAGAACAGAGCAAAGGGCGTGCATTCACAGGAGAAAAGTAGGACTCATAGGAGTCGGGAAGTTGCACTGCAAAGAAATGTGTTGCTAGATAAACTAAAAATATTTTATATTAGCATGCAGTTAGTGAAAGAAAACTAAGCAAGAAGAAGACATGACTTACACCTTGCTAAAATCTTCATATCCCTTGAACTTTGTCACATTTTTGTCACATTGACTCTGACCGGAAAAGTATTCCCATGGCATAATATTGCCGCCACCACGTTTCACTGGAGATGGTGTTGCAGTGCAACAAGTGGAGGAATACAGATGTTGCACTCTAAGTGCAACATCAGTCAAAACAAAACAGTTTTTATCTGTTTTTACATTCTATCACTACCAGCTCTTTGAGGACCTGTGATCTTGATGTATCCCACAGTTCAAAATGAGTTTCGAATGAATGACACCCTGCTGCATAATGATTAGGTGGCTTAATTAGATTTTATTTAGGTGTATCAGAGTAAAGTGGGACAAATGTAATCCCAACTACACAACCTTTATTTTATATTACACTGACAGTTTACGATTGTAGAGGCAACATGTGGAAAAAGTTCAAGAAGTATGAATACTCTTGCAAAGCATTGGGTAAGCTGAGGTGTAGCTAACATGTTACGATTCCCTGTTGCATTTTGGTCCCCAGTCATGCCACACACACGGTCACCCCCTCACACACCTGAAGCCTTGCATCTCTTTGTACCAGGGCCTCCTCTGAGAGCCCAGTTTGATCTTCTGTATATGAACGTCTTCTTCGGGCGTCCAGAACTTTGGTAAGAACTTGTTATAAGACACGCTGCTCACCCGCTGAGGTTTGGCGCCTATCTTGCGGGCATAGAGATCGTCCTGGACAGGATCGGCAAAGCCCACCTCATCATCATCATCCTCCTCAGAGTCATCGCACATATACCTGAACAGGCTGTCAGAGCACACGCCCCGCCGGTGGTCCACCCTCACGTAGCTGCGGTCGAGGGACTGCGTTTTCCTGCTTCTGCTGCTCAAAGGAGACAGCCAACCAGAAGTGCCAAATTAAAACTGACTCGCTGCAGGAACCAAGCTCAGAAAAGTCACGCAAAAAAAAGCACAGCAGCCTCAAACCAAATGATGTAAGGATTAGGAAACCCAAGCAAACTCAAGGCAAACTGAGAAACCAATTTTAGGTCTTATGCCACAAAAAAAAAGAGAAAAAAAAAGAAAATCAAATTCCAACTCAAAGCCCACTATTTTTTTTAGAAGTAACAAACATGGTTTTACTGCAGCTTGAATGTGTAAATCACTTCCCTCCAAAAATCCATCAAACTGAAGTGTTTGAAGCTGTGTTAGAGGCAGAATATTTTGGGTGAAGATGTTGCTCATGGCTGCAATAAACCATGCAAACTGAGAGGAAGAGGAGCATCGGGTTTTATTTCTCATCACACAGGCACATCCACACTGCATCTTCATGTTCTCTGACCTGTCGCAGGTCACGTTTGGCTGAGTGGGGGAAACAGTGACCTTAGGCCAGGGGCCGCCTTTACCCCTACCCCATTGTCCCCTTGCTGAGGGGCTGACGGGCACGGCAAAGTTGGTGGGAGGAGCAGGGGAGGGACTGTGGAATCGTCTGCTTGCCAGATCGTCCAGGACGAGATCGGGGTCCGGTCGGTCTGGGTCCGAGTCGCTTCCACTCTCTGAGCCATATTCCCAGCGGGGATGAGCTGATGGTAAGGTGCTCTGGGAAACATGGCTGCCGCCATAGCCAGGAGCGGAAATCCTTTCTTGACTATGATTGTCATTCCACAGCATAACAATTAAAAACACAAGCAACCATGCTAACACTTTTGTGAACTTTTGGCAACTAAACAAGCCAAATATTTCACCAACATGAACTAAATAAGGAACAGCACCTTTAAGTGGATAACTAATGTACCTTGTGAGAGTGGATTCATCTTCTCCATAGCCGGAGCTGGCCCAGCTACGCCGGCTGTCCTCATTGCGCTCAGCCCTTTTCTTCCTCAGCGGAGCCGGCACGTAGCCTGACTGCTTGTCTTTGGTGGGCAGGAACTGGTTAAACTGGGCGCTGGCTTTCGGCGTGATGACTAGTGACCTGCGGTAGCTGAGGCTGTTCTTGTTGTCAGCCATCTTGAAGATGGAGTCTGCCTCGGTGTCGCTGCAACAACCTGGACCGAGAACCAGGACAGGATCAAGAACTGGTGCGAGACAGAAGGAGAGAAAAGAGAAGAAGACAAACAAAGCCAGGATGAAGAAAAGAGTGAGGTTTGTGTGTGTGTGTGTGTGTGTGTGTGTGTGTGTGTGTGTGTGTGTGTGTGTGTGTGTGTGTGTGTGTGTGTGTGTGTGTGTTTTGGAGTGACTTTGGAGGAGTAACTGAGGAGTACAGGGTGGGAAACAGAGGCCTCTTCATTTACAAGCTGCTGTGGATGGCTGAGGAATGTCTCACTGCCCCCAGTTACACAAAAGAACTGCTGCACAAACGTCCATTACCAGAGAATCCATTTTACATTAGTGTGTCAAAGTTTTTTCCTTTGATATTCTACCACAAAACAAACAAACAAAAAAATTTCCACAAGCCTACCACTAGATGGCAATAGACGTTTGTTTTCACAAATGGGAGTCATCTTTCCAAGACAGGGAGTCTTCCCAGTTCACAAATAATTGAGTGTCCAAACGGATTAAATGGATTTGAAATATTGGGGCAAACACACAAGATAAGCGGGTCTAGACCAGGGGTTCTTCAGCTTTTAAGAAAATAAATATTACCTCACAAACTATTCGGTGTTCCAAGTTCTATGTAATCCAAGCCTTTTCATACAGAACAAGAGCTGCAGCAATAAAGAAAGAGAGAAAGAACAAAAAAGAGGGAAAGAGAGAAAAAGTAAGAAAGGAAAAGAGAAGCAAACAAACACAGATGAAGAAATAAAGAAGAACTTTCCTCTGAAGTGAGAACTGAAACAGTCAAAGACAGATTTTGCTAATAGGTAAACCAATTTAAACTGAAAATCCAACATGGCCGATAACTGTTTAAGCTGCAGTTAGAAACTTTCTGTTTTTACTTCTGGTAGCTTTTTCCTTAATGAACAAACAAAACAAAACAAAAAAGAAGCTCTGACCTACCATACCCTGTATTTGTAAGGAAATACAAGGTAGGGTAATTTTATTTATATAGCCCAGTTTCAGCAACAAGGCAGTTCAAAGTGCTGCAGTAACCAGCCAACAAACGGTCAATGAGAACAACAGTAAATATTACTGGTTTCATCAAGAGGAAAATAGGACACAAGACAAGTCGTCACCAGCACTCGCTTGTGGTTCATTTTCTTGGAGTTTTTATTTTTAAATATTCTCAACTGTACTTCCTTTGTGAGTACTGCTTTTTTGAAACAAAGATCAAAGTGCACAAAGCACTGCGGTCACAGCATATTTTTGTCTGGGTGTATTCACTCTGTTTCAGTGCTAATTAACTTATAAATAGTTCCCAGTCAGAATACCACAAGTGGTATTTGGACCACAATGTGAGAGGTATGGATCGAGAGACTCGGTGATTACCTCTCCTACTTAAGAGTGAAAGTTAGATTTGAAAAGTAAAATTCAGTCAATTTAGTGGACGAACAACACAAAAATAAGAAAAAGTGGTTTAAATCATCTACTGTACCCTCGCTGCTGCCTTTGAGAGTGGCGTCAGATGAGATGCTGTGGGGTCTCGAGCCCAGCGAGTCCAAACTGTCCAACGAGTCGTCTCTCCTGTGTCCACCTCCTCCACCTCTTCTCAGAGAATAGATCTCCTCTCGCTCAGAGTACCAACTGTCTCCAAAACCGCTGTCTCGAACGCTGGAGCCTTTCTGACTGTTTGATTCCTGCAGAGCCTTTCATGCATACATAAACACACACATCAAATATGCTGTGGGAACAGATAAAGGGCTAACATCAAGTTTTCTTGTTGACCAAAAAGGTAGTGAGTGAGAAAGAAGCCACTGATACCAACTCACCAAGTTCCAACTCAACTAAAATTGGCAGCTGCCCTAATGGACAAAGAGTTTGTGGCTAGAGGAGACAAAGATCGATCTGTGTGGACTCAGTGACATAAATGACCGCAAACCGACATTAAACTGGCTTAAACTACTAAAGCAGGCTAACGTTAACCTTCTCCTCCCAAAGCGTTAACCTAAAGCCCCTGAAAACTAATGTACCCCGTTTAATAGCCCAATCAGTGGCAGGAGACCATCTGCTTTAAATCAACTTCATTAAATAGAAAGAGTGGTCAAATATCAAGCCAAAAAGGGAAAGGAAGAAATATCCAAACAATAAGGAATTAAAAGCCTCAAAAGTACTGAAACCAATAGTGACTGTATTCAAACGGACCGATATAATGTGGGTGCTTAATATCTTTTTTATGCCAAAGCCCACAGTTGATAACACATCTTGATGACAGTGTGCCAATTCTAATATTTAACTCCTTCGAGTGTGTAAGGGGGCGGAGGTGTGCGAGATCTCCCAGGTAGATTTTACAGTCTGTGTTGACGTGGTTACTGTAAACACACAATGAGTTATAATGGGTGACGGATGGTGACCTCTACATCGAAAAACATCATTATTTCTTCCTCCCTGCCATCTCTGTCAAAACAAACTTCATCCCCACACCCTTAATGACTGTGTTTACTACAAGACGAGAACGTCCCTGCACACAAACACACAAAAGCCTCTTTAAACACGAGTTCACCAAACAAGCCAAAACGTGTCAGACGATTTAAAGAGAAAGACGGTGTTCTGACCTGTAATCTTATGAATCCTGCCAGACAATACAGGTCAACAAATTAAACCCAACCAAACCTCAAGAGCCACTGAACTTGGATTAACGTGGCTAAATGTACAAAATGTGCCCTGACCAACTCCTATTACCAAAAATCCCTGGAGTGAACAGGATTACAGAGGGCCCGCACACAAGCTATAAATCCACGCGAAACACAAGGTGCCAAGTTCAACACTGGCACAGGCAAGACGGGAGGGATGGAATGCCTCTCTCAGGAAAAGAAGAGGCTATTTTAACATGTGAACTATGTGTGCCACATTGTAAACAAGATGAAAATAGCTGAGTCAAGGGAGCAGGTCACTTATGACTTAACGCAATGCTGGTTTCACCGCCCACCAGAGTGCGGCCCCCTCGGCCGTCTGTGGCCGTCCTCACGCATAGTCCACATACCAGGGAGGATACACAAATGTACTGAGCAGTGACTGTAAAAGAGTATTTCAATACATGCTGGCAACAAAGCTTTCGACAGGTCATAGAGCCCAGATGTATAATTACACCTTCAAAAAGAAATTCACCTTGGAGAGCGCGGTGCCTAGTAATCCCTCAAAGGCCTTCAAATTTAGGTAAGGTCCATCATAGAAACGATCACTCTGAGCTCTTCTACCCAGCCAGTAAATGGTGATTAAAACCTGGAGACAGAAAAAGACAGTAAATAAAAAATGGCAGAAGGCAAAATAGAATAGAACGCAATGAAAAAAAATTAAGAGACCACTAAAAATGCTCAACTTCTCTGATTTTACCTTTTACAGGTAAATGTTTGAGTAAAATGAACATTGTTCTTTCGCTCTATGAACTTCAGACAACATGTCTCTGAAATACCAAGTGAAAAGTTTGTATTTATTTGCAGAAAATGGGACATTGTCAAATACTTTCAGACCTCAAATAATGCAAAGAAAACAAGTTCATATTCATTTAGAAACAACAATACTAAAGTTTTAACTCATTAAGTGTTCAGAAATTAATATTTAGCATTATACCCATGAGGTTTCCAGTGGGGTTCAGTGCAGTGGTCGCTTATTTTTTTCCAGAGATTCATATTCATCAAGCAATTGCAGCACTTTTGCCCTCAGTGGTGAATGATTTATGCTGAGCTAAGGCAGGTGATTGTTCTGGTCTGATTTCTAGAAAACATCTAGAAAACAGTACCTCATAAAACCATACAGCTATGTATACACTTTCTCCAACAAATACTGTAAGTACACATAAACAGTCTCCTTCATTTAATGGGGTTCACAGTGACATGTAAGATTAAACCCCAAGTCAGGTCTTGACAAATTCAAAATACACAGACAAAATTGACATAGAGACATTTTGAAACTTAGCTCAAAACGTTTTGACAAAAAACATCGAAACAGATTCATAAAAAAACATCTTTATAGTGTTTCCACTATTGTCCTGCGTCTCTGTCAATATATGATGTGGGAAATTGTTAAAGCTATGCTCAATTTCCTACTGCAAAACTGTCACAATAATAGCCATGGGACCTCCTGCTGAGTTGTCTTTTCATATTAATATCCTGCCATTTATTTCATTTTGATTAGAATTTTCGTCTTGTTTTGGATTTTGTTTTGTATTGTGGAACACAAATGCATACCAGAGATTTTGGTAAACAAGAAGCTTTCATATCTTGTGCAAGCATGCATAAAATATAGTTACAATTTTTCTTTTCTTTTTGGCAACTTGTAATGGCAGACACACTGAGAAAAACATCAAGTGCTGACCAAAAGTTTCAGCTTGACCAGGCCTCAACAGTAACTGTTTTGTTAGAAATACAGGAATTAATATTTTTTCCCTTCAGTAAACACTAACATTAAGCCCTTCCAGGTCACACTGACAGTCTCTCTTCAGTGTGGATGTTGGGACTGAAGAAAGAAATCTCAAAGCTAGGTTGTTAGCGTGAAGAAAATACTGCAATGTTGAATGTTTTTATGCTTTTGAGCTTTAGGCATTGTCTGTCGTGTTGTTTGTTGAATTTGAAAAACATTAGAAAATTTTTTGAAGATTTAAATCCACATCAACACTCCTTAGGGAGTGTTGGTGCTTTTGTTTACAGTTAGTAAATGCTAACCAAGCTAATTGTTTATCACTTAAAAAGTCAGCTCTTTAATCATTTTATTTTTCCGCCTTTCAAAATAATAACCTAAAGGTTGTCATTTTGTTTTTTGGTTGGGGTTTTCTTTGCAGTGATCCCTCACCACCGCTACAAACAAATAATCAATCGTACATTGAGTCAGGAAGTCTAGGAAAAATACTTTGAACACTGATGCACAGAGAATGAGAATCAGCTAAAACACTTATCTTCAGGTCAAAGCTTTACTGGAGGACAGAAATCTGTTCAGTCCACATTTACCTTAACTTGTCCAAGAAGAGCGGATAAAAATCTGTTTTTAAATATCTTCCTTCTGCCTTTTGTTCCGTCAACTATTTGAGTGAATTAAACTGTTATTTTGAACATATGAGCTAAAATAAAAGTAAGCAGGTGAACAAAAATATCCTTCGTGATGTGTCGCAATATTTAATGCAAAATGTGCTAAATGTAAACTAGAAATACTATTACGACTTATCCAAAAGAGAGCAGAAGAAATCAAATGGTTATTAGGCACAAACCTGTTTCATCTAATCATTTTCTGTTTACCATTTACTTACATTTCAATCTATCCCTTGTCATGCATGTTACGGTTATAGCTTAACCATCTTTGCTGATTGTTCTGGTCTTGAGTCGTGCGGTGAGGTAAAATGGCCAGGATCTTATTAGAAATGCTTTTCTGTGTTTTACACAGCAGAAGAGACAGTTGAACCTTACTGTTGTGGAAAGGACAATTGCATTTAAATACTATATTTTATTGTAATTGTTTGTATTTATGTAATAAACCTTGAAAGAGAAAGGATCTTTGCTGTTAGTGTTCGGTTTTACTTGGCTCTCCATTTAAGTAATAGACTCTGTCTCTATTTGTCAGCATTTTTCACAGAGTTATTTATTAACAAGCAGAGATGAGGTGTTCTCCTCGATCATTTGTAAAACATATTAAATATAACAGTAGGAATAAACAAGGAGTGATATGTGTTAGAAACCACAGCTTCATGTTGTCACTGACAGGACCGTACCTGGAATAAATCAAGCTCTACCTTTTTATAATTACTTAATAATTCACAGACTGACACATGATTTATGAGAAAACAACTCACATTTTTCAGCCTCCTGTTTGTCTCTTGATGCCTGTGTGGGAAAAGAGCAGAAAGGAGAGATGTTTGTGTAAAACTGCAAATGACAATAAAAGAACAGAGGGCATCGCTGTGAGCTTTATGTAAGCTGGGCAGTGAAAGAGCTGGAAGCTGAGAGCACAATCCTGACTCCGGTCAGCCCTCCGTACAACAACACACAGAGGCAGAGAGGAAAACAAACATCATTTCTGAAATGGAAAAAAAAAAAAAAACCCAAAAAACAATAAGATCAAAGCACACTAGAAACTGATTTCTTTTAGCTTTCAAATATGTAGAACTAACAATAAGCTACTCGAAACATTTGTTTGACTTTAAAGAGAGATTCTTGATCGTCATTTTTATGGGGACAAAACTAACAACTGGAAATGTGATATAAAGCGCAGCCCTGCTGTGGGAGAATGAACTCTCTGAAGAATTAGCTGAGCTCTTTCTCTCTTTTTGTCTGGCCCGACTGTCAGTAAATCACCTAAAAGGGAAAAATCTGAGTTCCTGTGGAGACGAAAACAAAACCCACAGTGTCATCCGGGAAGCCCTGTATGACTCTCACCTTTGTGCGTTTCATGTCTATCTGTCACTTAAGGTGACAGATGTGTCGGTATATATGCCAGTGAAGAGTGATCAGCAGCAACAGCCGTAACAATGAGAAACGATTTACAGCCTCGCTTCCATCTCTGCTGCATCCGACACATTCCTGATTTAATGCAGTTGTGCTGATAATAGCTAATAAGCAGACTAAAAGTATGGCCCTTTGAGGCCATAAGAAAAAAGTGATGTGAAATTCAAATTCCGCCCTCAAGTATGTTGAGTAATAAATGCTTACTATTATGATTCAACCCCTGCCAAAAAAAATAAAAAAATACTTCTTGATTGTGAATATTTTTGCTTACTGTAATGTTTACAGTAGATGCTTCAACAATAGGCAGCTTCTGACCTGAAAAGGCTTTCTTGTAATTGACAGACCTTTATAACCTAATAACAAAGAGTTATATTCGTGAATATGACTTTCTCAGTCATCTGCATCGTCGTTTTACAGCCAAGAATTAGTTGTGACAAGTTTGAGTTTAAGAAAAACAACAGTCATTTTTCTAAATAAGCGCTAACAGGAATTTAAGACAAATAAATCCCCTGCTGCCCCACGGACACCGCTGAAGATCTTTAAAGCAGAAACTACACAAAGTATTCAAAGTGTCAACCTCACCTTCAAAAGTCTAACTATAAACGATCTCATTGTGAAAATCTAAAAAAATAAAGAAAAGTTGGTAAACAGGTAAGATATTTTGGCAGAAATTTGCTGAGAAAAAGCAGCAGAATTAAGGAAAACACTATTTTCACTAGAGTGTGTTTTGGTGTAGAGTTACAGCTTGTAGCACGCGAGTTATTTATCGTCAAACGACTAGAAAGGATGAAATTTAACACTAGCAAATTCTCAAAGTAAACATAATCCCAAACACACCTTAATCTCCCTTAACAACAGAGCAGAAGGCAACATGGGAGACAGAGATCACAGAACTGAAAGTCTGTTTTCTGGTCTCAAAGCAAAATGAGACATGAATACATTATGTGTCATCAGTACATTTAAATCTTTTGCAATTAAATCAGGATTTCCGCTGAAACTAAGTGCAACTATTTACCATAGAATTATTGACAAAGCACAGCTTTAAGTACAGACAAAAATATTTCAATATGAATGCGGGGACAATTTGACAAGTTTCTCACTAACCTAGTCCAATGGTGAACCCTGGTAGCACTCAACACACTGGCCAGCAAATCTTCGACTTTGTTACTAAAATTAGCCAATAGTAACGCAACATGTGGAGAGGCACTAATGGATACACTCTAAAATATTTGGCACAGAGCAGATATCCAAAAGCATTAAAAATGCTATTTGCTTATTTTTTCTAAAGCAATAATTACTGTCAAAACTGCTACTTTTCTGGCTTCCTGCAGCAGCAAGCTGAGCTGCAGGGCAAACATCAGTTTGTCATTAAGAAGCAGTGTTATTTTTGTTTTATTTCTCCCTTCATAACGCTGCTACTGCCAACATCTGCACCTGCGTCACTGTACGTTTCTTTGCAAGTTCTTTACTGCACAATAATACATTTTCTAATAAGTTTGTGAGCCCAGCAGATATGTATTTAAAACTACCAGCGTAGGTGGTTAAACTATATTGCTTTAACTTCACTGTAACTATATGAAACTATGAGAAACTATATTAACTCATCTGCATTTCAGGATGAAGACTTTTCATGTAGAAAGTATTTTTCGCCACCTGGCAAATGCATTTAAGTATCACAGCAGCTGCCTGGATTGAATCCTGGGTCTGTACTCGCAACACTTGGTGAGGTCGTCTGTAGCAAGCTGCCAGGTCGTTGAGAACTTTCTCTATTGGGTGTAATGTTCAGTCCCCCCTCCCACTCAAAACAGCTGTATTGTGTCGGAAAGAGAAACACAGTCGAGTCGTTGGGTTTACAGCCAACCAATGTGTGCTGTGGAGCATGTCGCTCTGTGTTTTTATGGCAAAAGTGAATGTTGTGTATTTAGATGGAGCTCTTTCCTCTTAAGTGAGTCAAACTGCTGCGATTACAGCGCTGCAACCTTCAACAGCTTCTGGCATTTCACTGGATGGGTGGCAGATCCCCTTTCCCACCAGCGTGCGTCATCTCACACGAGGAGTTTCCAACATGCTCATTTGCCGGCAGTGAAAACTGAAGTGGACGGTTTTTTGTTGTTTTTTTTTTCAATTGGACATTGCACAAAATTTATAGACAAAGAAAAAAACGGCAAAGAAACAATAAAACTACTTTTTCTTGTGAGTTTTAAAGAGACCTACAGTTAACAGCTAGGTACTATTCTTGGAAATAAAAAGAGATTTAAGGTCATGCATTGGGAATAGGAAAGCTGAGCAGAGCAGTAAACAAAAACATCTCTTTTTTAAAATCCCCGGTGCCTCAGGACTCGAACATAGATGTTAGCATCAGCTGAGCTCTCATATGATGAAGCAAAATCACTGGGGAAAAAAAAAAACACATCAGGAGTCTGATATAAAAACAGCACTGAGTGTCCAACTCAAAAAAACACATCCTGTGAGCACAGGATCAAGTGACAAAACAGGAACATATTCACACTTACACCCACTTTCCATTTTATTAGGTACACCAGATGCTTGGTTTGAACTTCAGCAAGTCATCTTCTCCATCCTTAGATGCCTAAATTCACTGACCAGCTTCCATGTGATTGGCTGAATCTTTATTTTGTAATACCTAAAAAAAGGGGTGGGCTATTGGATGCTTTTTTTTTTTTGTTCATGATGACATGAAAAAAGTTTTTGCTGAGGACAGTCACCAGAAAACATCAAAAACCAGACATAAAAAGCTGGATAATCAACATTTTACAAGTCTTTTAAATCGTTTTCACGAGGAGTGAAAGTGCCAACGCATAAATTAAACAAAAATGCCAAAAAGGAAGTAAAGAAACATGGGCTACTATTCAAATTTTAGACAAATGACTTTCCTAACAGAGAGCAAAGGAAATTCTCTTTCCGATTTCCTGTTTTCGCTTGTGCTGTAAGATGAGTGAAAAGACATGTTAAGGTCTACAGTCGTGTGATGAGCTATGTATGCAGGCGAAACCTTTTTACGTGGCATGAAACTGAGAGTAAACAGCAACATACCAACAAACCTGCTCAGCTTCATCAACATGTCACAAAGACAAGCGAGCTACCACCAAAAAACTAATAATACTAATAAAAACACATACCTTAGTAATGACAATCCTTCACTCTTTCAACATCTGTCTCAATATGGAAATAAGAATTGAATCAGAATTTCTTTTTTTTTTTTCCTCCACTTTATAAAGCTCTGCTGCGGCTTGCATCAAGCGTCCAAGACAATCTCAACAGTGCTAAAAACAAAGTTGCACTCAGTTTAATTAGTGGAATCAGCTGTGGTTGCGACAGTGTTGGACATCATTGTGGCGTGCTTATCTGCGACACAGCAGCCTCTGTGGGCAAGGAGCAGGGTGAGGCTGGCATTTCCCTCTCCAGCTACAGAGCACAAACATAACCCTTGTGTTGGCCTGGTACAGCTGGGCTCACAACTGGCAGGGTTTGCTTGCTGTTGCTCCCTGTTCGGTTTTACAATTGGACAAACAGTGACGGCCGTGCCTTTTACGTAAAACCATGAAACTTAATGGCTTTGTGAAACATCGTCGACTCACCATTAATGCACAGTGAGCCACACCCTCAGTACCAACAAACTAGGCGTGACTCTCGCTCTTTCTATGCAGTCAAGCTTAGCTACTAATTTTACACAACTAAATCATGCCTGCACAGGATTTGGTACAGTATATATATATATCCACCTTAAATACATTCTGTGTGGTGAATAAAAACTTTGTGAGGAAAAGCAAAAATGTTCTTTTGTGGTACTGCAGACATTTGGTCTGCAGCCAAACAAAGCCATTACATAATGAAACCACATTGCATAGGCACTCCTCTCCTCTGTTCTGTAAAAGATGCCCTTGAAATTCCTGAATGGTAGCATAAACCTTGATGTACCTGTCCATCTTAAGTAGTTTCCTTTTTTTTTTTTTTTTTTTTGTTGTTTGGGAGAGCAGCAGTCACATCTTGTCAATAATTTGCTCAATCAAACTGTGGAAAAAAACGAGACTTTGGACCTCTCTGCAGGGGGTTGATTTTCTAAGTCTCTGGGGTCAATAAGCAGATGCCTGGGTTTCTTATTCAATTAAAAATATCAGTCAAACTTATGTCCAAACTATTATATTCCACTATATGCACCTCTAATTACCTTGAATTCCAATAGGGGACGTAAAGGACATACACAAACACGAATGAGTGAAATATTGACATTCTGGTCACTGAAAGGCAGCAAAAGAAATTTCAAGTAACTTCTGACTAATTTATCCTTTATTTGTACCCACAAAGAAGTTCATATGTTGCAGATGAGAAATGGGCTTTGGTTGCATATTACTTTGAGTCTTTAAGTTTTTTTGCTTGTTTTTTTCTCTGAATGAGAGACATTTTCCCACAACATACTGCTTGCTTGTCAGCTTGCAGCTGGCAGCTACAAGCCAGCAGCTTCGTAGCCTGACTTCTGCCGCCATTTTTTGGTAAATGAAGACAGACCTTAATAGTTTTAAAACACTTTATTAATATGAGAGTCGTTTTATTTTGTTTTCTGTTGAATAGAAACATTTCCGCAGAGACCACAGTGCTGTGGCTTGATAGCTAGTTCCTTGTGGTCAAGTCATCATAAAAACGCTTACTTCCTACAACTTTAAGCACAACATAGGCAACGTGTCTGACCAGCCCACATGTGTTTTCTGAATGTTTTACCAAAACTGTTTTAAGTTTTGGTAAATCACCTTAAATAAGGATTAGCACACTTATTTGAAGTGTTAATTCAAAAAGTGTAATTTGTGGCTTAAAAAGCCAGCAGGCGAATATCACGCTTAAGACTTCAAAATAAGTATGTTGGCGTATTTAAAGGTCATGACCTCTGGTTTAATCACTTTGGTTATTTGACAAAATTATACATTTAGTAAAATAATTTGTATAAATGTAATTAATAGACATTTATTTTAATTTGTATTATTAATACATTAATTTATTAATGCTTATTATAAATTAATAATGTATTCATTGTTTTAATATATTTAATATAATTCTGATCAATGAGAACCTTTAATAAAGTTATGCCGGTTGATCTCTTAGATCGTCTTTATGACGTCGATGCTTGTAAGGTTTTGTAACACGGGTTGTTAGAAGGAAAAACACTTCAATGGCTTATAAAAATTTTGTTGTTTTTCCAAGAAAATATTGCCAATGAGACAAAGTCCCAGTAGCTGACGCAGCGAGCCAACTAAGAGTTCCTCAGCCACTACAGACTTACGTATAACTTAACAGAAAGTGCCCATCTTTCTTTATAGCACTTTCTGGTTGTGCTGCTGGGTTTTATTCAGTATGAAGCTAAGACGTACTGGATTAAGAAAGAGAGACAAAAATTGAGACAAAGCTGCAGGCCAGGTCTCAACCCTCCCAGCAGAGACAATATTTCCCAGCATTACGTAGGTAGACTCCCCCCTACATCCTGCTCCTTTATTTCTCCGGGGTTTTAGTCTCAGTGGTGCAGCCTATGAAGCATAATTCCAAAAATAAATCTACAAGTCAACAGACAGTGGGTGTTGTCGATTTCTACCAAATATCTTTAAATTCGATGACTCATCTGCAGAGATGATGAAAAGTAGCAATGCTGGTATAGTGAATCACAGTTTCTTATGATGCATCAGATCCAGTTTGGTCACATTTTTACACAAAGGTGTTGCATTCACTCGGTATTTTTATGACAATCTTTAATTGGTCCGAGTCCTCAAGCACAGGCATCCCTTCTTATCAGGGTGTTGCTCAATCACAAGAATTTGTTTAGCTGCCATGAAATTTTGATACTGATTGAGCTGCCGATTGATAAAGGTCTTTATCAGGACAAACGTTGCACAACACAAAGCAATGCAGCAAAGCAGGAAGGTGAATACTACAGCATCTTCACAGCTCAAAGGTCAGGGAAGATATTCAATCTGCGTTTATGGCTGTTGTAACAAGAGCGTCGCATGAACTGATCTGTGTTCTCAGCACACGTTGTGTCAGTCAATATCTGACTCCAGCTTTCCGTCACACCACAATGATATGAAAGACCAATCAACGAAAAATCAATGAGGTTTGTTGTTTCAAATTTAATTGCTTTAAATTTGAAACAACTCAAATTTAAAGCAATTGCAAGTTTAGGAATAAACAAATTAACTAAATGGACAAAGTAATTTAACAAAATAATTTAGTTAATTTGTTTAGTTTCTAGTAAAAAAAAAAAAAAGAAGCCAAAGAATAGAAATAAGCTTGTGCAAAGCTTTATAGCCCTGTTTTTATCTAATTGTTAACTGTCTACATGATTGCATCTGTAACAATGTCTGATTCAATTAAAAATGATAATAGTACGAGATATGACCGGAATGAAAAGATTTTCAGCTCAGTGAAGTGAGTAAGTTAGCATTATTTAGCACTACTAATCTGTTCAAATGATATCAGAGGAGGCAGAAATAGAAACAGAAAATAACACCACATGTTATTTTCTACATATATTTAGAGCTGTCTGCTTTTCCTTCATCACATAAATAATAGTTAAAATTCTCCTAATTTATTGATTTAGGCTTGAGACTAAATCTCTTTATCATGCTGGATTTGGAAAGAGTACATTAATGATCTTCATTCTTTGGTGAATACACATTCTGGCTGTTTATAGAAAATAATGCCAATCAGTGTTGATTATCCTCATCCCCACTTTAAAGATTATCTTGAAAAGAAAGAGACAAGTGAAATATTCTGATGACACAATGAGAGCCAAAAGATTAAAGAAAATCTTTAATCTTTAATCAAACAGAATAACAACAGTAGAAACTAAATCCAACAGCGCTAAGCAAAGCACCTGTCAGACTGGGTTTAAGGGAGTGGAGGCTGGACAAACACCAGGATTCAGACAGCTGATAGAGACAACTTTCTCTCTCTCTCTCTCACTCTGGAGCTAATTTGCCTAGACTCTGATAAGCTGCACAGCAATAAAGCCGTTGGGTGCACGTCTGCAGCCTTGTTTGGCATTTTCGACTCATGTTACCTCTTTGTGCGCCGTGTTCTTTTGACTGCAGCAGCGTAATTATACCTTTAGTCTCATCTATGGCCAAAAGAGTGGAAGAAAAAAATGACAACAAAGAGCACAAACAGCTTCAGGTTAATTTTCTAAACGTCCAGCAGTAACAATGTCCACATTTCTTTGTGAAAGAGCAACTAAAACCCAAGCCGACTTTCAATGCCACACGCAAACAAACGCAGGTGTGCTCTGAGCGACTGTACGCCGAAGTAGAACGTACCAAATAATCTATTAAAAGCTCGTCGACTGTGAGTGCTGACACCATTCCAATCAATCCAGCTTGTCAAAGAAATCCACCGCCCCCCAAGAGCTAAGATTAGATCAAGGGGGAACTCACTCAACAGAAGCAGAACTTTGAGGCCGCTCATGTTTTTTCTCTATCCTCATTCGACTACTGATATATTGGTTTGCTTCGTCTGGCTGGCATTAAAAGGAAGAGAATTTTCTGCTGTCATACCAAGAATGCTTTTACAGCCAATATCCTGCGAAAATCTTATGCAACACTCAGCGCATCAAAGGGTTATCGTTACATTTACAGCCCTGATTTAGACATTTAGTGAGCTCCATCTGAACACAGAGTGTCATCTTGTGGGCCGAGGGTGTGTCTCAATAAAAAGGAAGACAGATTTGCTTATTTGGAGTCCATATTCCAGTCCATGAACAGTACATCCTATATGACAGTGCACGCACACACAAACGCACACAGACTGCGCATGCTTTATTGTTTTATTAGGATGACACTTTGGAAGGAATCAAAGCAAAGAAAACGCTCCAGGAAGTGGAGCTACTTTCTCAAGGTGATAATGCCTGAAGTGAAATTAAATGGTGCAATTATGTGGCCAAGTCAGGTGTGACTTGTTTAACAGAAAGTACAGTGGTGTCAACTGAAGGGAAACCAACTAACTTTGAATAAATCCCTCAGCTTATTACTGTATGTGAGCGCCGTACTTTATTGAAGTTTTGAGCAGCTTTCAGGACTCGGTGCCTCTACAGCAAGTGTTTTTGTTTTTGCTTGCACAGCAAAATACTATATAAACAGTCCATCTCAGCAGACAGACTGAAAGTTAGAGCAAAACTGAACTGGTTGGTTGACATGCCTCTCTGGCAGGTGGGTGACAGAAAACAAAACAATCCCTGAAATGGAAAATGAACAAGCCCAGTGCGTAACTCAGGCAAGATGTTGTCTGATCAAACTGTTAAATTATTATGTCACTCACATCGGTACACCTCTGTGTTCATCTTACTGCTTATTAAAAGCCATTCCATTTGAAAGAAGCACACGCTGAAAATAGCATTGACCTTTCTCTAAATACAGCTGGAATCACAATTTATATGAGGGAACTCATGCTTCATGGCAATTTAAAGTAAAAGGTATGAGTATGGTGAAAGATGGTTCTCTTAATGTAAAGTTTAGCCTAAAGGCAGAGACGAGTGGATGTAAAGCAGCGTTGATAAGATCAAAACTTACTTTACTGTCACTCTGGTGGACAAGTCTTGCAGATCCCCGGGGTGGAAGAGCTGCGCCTCCTTTAGTCCGAGCTTCCCACAGGCCTTGAGGAAGACATTAAGGTTGTCCTGGACAGAGAACAGAGCAGGGATGATTGCTGTCCCCTGTGCTCAAACGCAGAAAATAATCAAAAAACGGTGGGGGGCGGGGGAGGAGAAAAAAAAAGCACAACAAAACTCCCTGACAGGGAGCAGCCTAACAACTGAAGGCTTCCAAAGTTCAGGTCACTGCAGGGAACGGCGGCTGGCAGGGAGGAGCGTGTGAGTGCAGCAAATAAGAAGTGACCCGGAGCAGAACACACACTCACACAGAGAGAGACAGATGAAAGAGGAGGCGGGGGTTGCCTGACACGAGCTGAGTGACAGAGGCGAAGCCACCTGTGGGATGGATTAGGGTGGGGACCAAACCAAATCAGGAAGAATGACATCAGAGGCATGTACAAGTCCCACCCAACCTGCCATGCAAGTGCAAAAGTGACGCACGCAGCAGCACATGGCCCTTCTGCTGCTACTTCTTCTCACACCCAGAAACTGCACCCTGTCCTCCCTGCCAAGCCTTTTTCTAATCAAAACATACCTGAGTAGTATTTTGTAGACATTCAGTTGCTATGAAACATGAGGTCGGGTGACAGAGGCGGACAACTATTTCCCCATAGCTATTCATGTACATGTGGGAGTGGAAGGGACTGTTTGTCTTCCGACACCGTGTCAGTCACATTGCATAAAGGTTATGTCTGAGCACAGGAGCTGCACAGATGTGAGCCAGAGGATGACTTGTGCTATAAATGTGCACATGTCTCATGAGTTTAAAATAAACCTAACAGTACAAAAGAACCATTACTTTTATGGAATTTGATTTTTTTGGGGGGGTGGGGGGGGTGCGTTGAAAGGGTTTTGATGTGATCACAACACTGGCTGGGATAATTAAGGGCTGCATGGCTCTATATTTATGTGACAAACATGCTTATTAGTAATTGGTTAAAGAAGCAACTAACCTCCCAACACTTGCATCTTAATTAATACTTAGGCTCCGTCGCCCCTCACTGAAAGGCGACGGATCAGTCGGGGGAGCAGGAGTGTCGCACTGAATGCATCATGACACTCTTAAAATGTTTTCACCTTTTTCTTATTTAATAACACAAACTATTGAAACATTTGCAATATTTAAAAGGCTTTTAGTTGTCAGAGCAAAAGCTGAGCGATTTTCTCAGGCTCTTACCCAACCCATGGTTTGTTGTCATTACATGCCTCAGTGTATTTCACTGACCCTAAATTTGTGACACATCACTGAGTACAAAGGACAAATGACAGTGAGCTACCTATTTGGAAAGTTTAACTCCATTAACTCTCTTTAAAATGTTTACACACCTTTCAACACCTTCAAGTATTGCAAGCATGAGATAAATGTCTCAGCAGACAGACATAATTAGTCTTGACTGAACTAAAACTACACGACAGCTAAATTACAAGGAAAGGGCCGGCGAAGCACAGCTTTAAACCATTTATGGGTCCAAAAGCACTACAACTCTTTAACATAGCATTTAGGTGATTACTTTGCTAAACTGGATTTTGTTAATTCTATTTGTCAATGAGACGACACCATAAATCTCTTATATGTAAACTGAATGTATTGACAATTAGAAAATATAAACACAAAGGTGGAAATGGAAACAAAAGACCTTAATATTAACTAAATGTTAGATTAAAAAAATAAGATGTCAATTTCTACTGTTTACTTTTTTATATCTTAACTATATACAGATACAAATTTAAACAGCTATAAAAAAGCTAATTAGCGAATCTATTTGTTCAGTAATGAAAAAAAAAGAAATATTTATTATATTTTAATATTAGATCTAATATTTAATCTCACCTCTGCAAATTACTGTAGAATAAATATAGCTGTTTTTTTTATTATTTATACTTAAAATTTGTTCATGTTGAGTAACTTCTAATTAGCAATATGTGATTTTCTGCTCCACAATGGTGTAAACAGGAAATGACAGTGGCCGTTTTCTCTTAGACATGTTGAAATTCGAAAAGCACGGCTTTTAAGTGTGACAGATGTTTGTTGACCTACGTAGGTCTTAAAAATAGCTAAGGTAATTTGCCTCAACTTGCCAATTGCTACAATCTGACTGACAATTAAAAGGGTCAGGTGTGGTGGAGGACATGAGATGTTGGGGCCCGATTCTTTTTCAAAGGCAAGCGGTATCATCAACACCTCCAAACATTAAAACATTAACTCAACTCCACCTCCAGAACTAAACCAATAGAAATCCAGCACAAGCACACACAGTGCTGAAAACACAACAAGGAAAATGTAAAGACAGGTGGATGTTTACAACTGTGTTGCACAGCCTCCATCTTTACAGACAATGCAAGTATGTGGAATATGAGGAAGTCAGTCAGTGTGGTTTCGAAAGCAAAATGTTTTTTTTTTTGTTGTTTTTCTGTTCTTCCTTGATTACAGGATCTTAACTGCTTCCCTTTGTTCTTATGGACTTGCCAACAATCTGTGGTGTTTATTGACAATGGGTTGCAGCTCTTCCTGTTCCTTCTAATTCAGCCATTGTGTTCGAATGCAGCCTTGGATGACTCCTATTTAAAAAGTCAAGCAGTACAAAAATCAAAAGCATCAAAACTTAAGAAAACTTTTTCTCAGATTAAACTTTGCTTCTGTCATTTTTCTGGCTTAGCAGGCATTTGGAAAGGGGATTTGTCTGAAAAATGGCAAAAGCCTTCAAGTCATCATTCATTCATAAATGTGTATCCTTGGTGTTTTTTTCTCATTTCTTTTTAACATGTTTTTAATCAAATCCTTTTGCTTGTCAATAGTAGAAATTCCAGTTATTAGGAAGGGTGATGTCTTTGTTAGCGCTTACCCTAGCTTTCTAAGACGACAGCTATCAAGGCTCAGAGGTCATTGGAGTCAAATTGTGGTTAAAATATGTAAAGTTGAACCCCGTGCGACTGAAGTGCAACAGAATTTGCGTCAATGGTTAATGGTGCACCAATGTAATTGACTAAAGGACACAAAAAGGAGATGGAACTTATTTTTTATTTATTGGGCATTCAAAGAAACCTTTGTAACAGTGGAAGTTTATATTTCATTACCGATCCATGTTGTCTAGTCAGTGTATTGCTGAAAAAGGGTAATCTCATGGACACTCGAAAAACCCTGATTTAAGCTCTTCACAACAAGGAATAAAAAGATTTGCGTCACAGGATGTCTGACTTAACATTTTATCCCTAAATGTGCACCTTGGACCATTCACTGGGTTAAGAAAAAGGATTATTCTGAGATTACTCTCACACGACCGAGGAAGCAACCATAGCACGAAAAACTATGCGTAAAATATCAGGCTACACTTTTCCAAATTTTGGGAAAAGAAACTAAGAGGAGATGGAATACTTGACATGCTGCCACTCCTCAAACAGGGCTTTATTGAGCCAGACAGTTCCAGCAGTCCTATCCAGTCATAACATGCACCCATAGAAGATAAACACAGTAACAAAGCATGGTCAAATGCCTGTCATTGCACGGATGATTACACACACGTCTACATGTGTAAAGACACCCTGGGGCCTATAGGAACTGCCTGTTTGTCTCCTCCTTCTTGTACCTCAACTCACCAAGGGGTTGGTGTATGCAGAGGACATCCAGTACCATACCAATTACTGTGTATTTTGGGTGGGCAGAACCAGGCCCAAAGCTGGGACTGAGATGGTCCAAACCCACAGCCTGCAGAGTACTCAGGAACAGAAATGTGCTGACAGGAGAAAAAAAAATCACTTGGACACAAGTAAAACCAAAGAATAGACCCAGGTTGGGAGCCAGCATTGCTAAATGTTCCCATCCCTCCCTTGGGATTTTGCTCTGCCAGAGTTTTAAGCTGGTATCAATTTGAACGATTTAAAATCCTTCAGATAGCAAAAGTAAAAGAACATATGATGATGATGATGATGATGATGGCACATGTTCCCATTTAAGTGGCAATGAGGCGTAGTTACAAATAGCTCTTCTTTGTCAGATTGGTTTTAAGTAACAACCAATCTGACAAAGTAGGTAATAAAAATCCAAACACATTCCCTTTCCTGTTGGTCAGTGGTAAGGAGAGCAGTGGGGGACATGATGTGGAAACAAAGTGTAGAAGAAGTGGACAAGGTGGTGGAGGACGAAGAGGATTAAGAAGGAAAGGAAAAGGAATGCTCTTGATTTGTCCTTTCCTTTTCCTTACCCTTCTTATTCTTCTTTGTCTTTCTTTCTTCTTCTCCTGTGCAGACTATAAATGGATTTAAACTGAAAATTTGACCAATTTGATCAATCAGAAAAGCTGCTGCCCCCAGCTGACAAATCCTCCCACTAAATGCAGAGGGAGGGCATAATTTTCTGGTGGGAACTGTACAAATGGTTTGCCATTTCTTGCCTTTTCCACATTTGATTGGGTATTTTTGCCACATAACACAGTGAGGACATTTCATCCACTTGGCAAAGAGATGAGTTGATCCGAATTTAACACTAACAGGTGTCATGTAGGTTAAACATACATTAAAGCTAAGCTGCTCTGTTTTATCCTTTTGATAAAAATTCTGCTTTGACCCATGTTGGACTAGGAAATGTTGGCAGCCTTTTGTGATTTTGTTAAATTGTTAAGGTTCTACATCCTTTTAGGTTGCAGCATTTGAACTTTAGCCTAGCTCTGCTTTAGCCATGCGCGTTTAGAGCATTCTTCTTAAATTTGTTGTTTGGGTAAACATTATCACCACCAGCTGGTGGCTCATAAGTAGAAGAGTATTCTGGCTTGAAATAAAAGATATTTAGCAGATGCAGGTCTAGTTTTATGAATGGAAAAATGCTTGTTTAGAAAAATAGCACATCAAGTCCAACTGATGCCTTCATTATGTCAACATTGTATACAATGACATATTTCAGCTAAAATTGGCCTCGACAGATCAGTTTCACAGAAACGAATATTGGAGGCCAGTGATTGGCGTTTCTCTACTTAAAATCACCGCCCAACACTTTATGCCCTCCTCACACTCACTGCTATTTTTAAAAACTGGAGATAGGAAGACCACTTTACTGCTGAGGGAGTAAAATCTCAACAACTCTCAGAGAGAGAGTGAGTAATGTTTGTTGGGAGAGCATCCAGCCTCGCTCCATGTGGCCGGCAGAAACGGATAGCCTCAGGCCAGCCAGAAGCCTTTGGAAGGGGGAATTTATGATCAGGTGGTTTCAGGTTTGCGTCCAAGTCTCGGAAATACCACAGAAATGCTGCGATGGAGCCGTACCCATTACCTCAGCAGGTGCCCAGCCTTTACATCAACACAGCAAATGGCAAAAGAAAAAAAAAAGAAAGTTGATTTTGTCACAAAAGACATGTGACACTTTATGATTTACAGTCTGTTTATTTTACTGATAACGTTCGTTGTCTCATGAACATGCTGAGACACACACACGCACACACACACTGCTTGGGAGAGGGATGTCCATGATTCCTCGAGACAGCTGGACTCAATTACTCCCACTAGAGAGAGCTTTCTCAGGGATGGGTATTAGGTAGGTTTTCAAGCCTCTACTTCCCGAGAATTTGTTTGCAGTCACTCCCAAAACATCCATCTGCAGAGAGCCATGGTGGCCCAAAAACCTTCACTGGAATATGAGCAAAACACCACATCTTCCAGTAAAGATTTATAACTGGGAGATGTTATAAATCTTAAAGAGTTTAAAAGATACACTGCTCCATCACTCAAAAACCCAGTTTTTAGAAAAACTGCCCATTGGAGGTGCACTTGATTAAATGGTGAGTGGACTAAGAAAATAGGCAAATAAAAAAGATGTAATTGAACCCATAAGCCCAACCAGTCTTGAAAATTGGCCAACCTGTTGGAAACTCAAAAATGTGATTCTGAACAGAGCATGTAATATTCAATCTATGTTGCACTTCCACTCTCTTCTGTGTGAAGGGTGTTACTGATGGAAGAAGAAGCAAAGTCAGCATTTCAGTTGTTCATAATGGCTGCAACAATCAAAATCTAGACTTTGGCTCAACTACTATAGCTGCAGTCGTTTATTTCTGCCAGAGGAAATCAATTTTAACCTACCATGGAAATGTTTTGTCTAACCAAGATGGAATAAACGCCAGGACGTAGACTGTCGCAGCGATTGTGTGTGTGTGTGTTTTTTTTTATTGTCTTATCCTTTTCATGTTTTAATCTCTGTCTGTCATTAAAGAGTCTGGATGTTGCCAAAATGAAGGGGATTCATCATTACCTATTTTCAGGATGAACCAATACCAGGCTTCATTTTTTGTATATCCTTCTTTACAATGACTGTCTGACATCTTTGTAACACAATAGTTAAGTAAGGGATTTGCATCCTTTGAAGCAGCTCCTCATTCTCCAAACGTACTGGACAACTATGAGGAAGCACATATCCAATTACCTTGACCTGTCAAACTTCATATTCCCTTTGCTTTAACTCACGACACTGAACATCAGGAGCATTACAAACATGAAGAAATACGTGAGAAAATGATGTGGTGTAAGCTTAGAAATGCTTTCACTGATGGCTATATAGACATAATTTGAGAAGACAATCCCAGACTAAACAAGAACAGAAGACAACTTACCAGTCCAGCAATAGGTGTAGGGAGCCTGTTGACCCTTTTGATGGTGCCAGGCTTGATCTTGTTTATCAGACTGTAAGCAGAGGATAGAGACGCAGAACATCAGGGGAAATTAAAAGGTAAGTGAAAGCACCCGTTCATTGTCGAAGCTGCCCCAGCTACGAAGGAATGAGCAGGACTTGATGCACAGTCCTGGTGGTGTTGTATGTTTACGACCTGGTTTAATGGCGGCCACCTGGCTTCAGTTTAGTAAATCACCGGTGCCGCGCCATGGTGTAAACAAAAACGGGCCCTTGTGCTTCCAAAAACATGCCCTCCACAGCAGAAGTAACCTCAAAACAAACTTGAATAACCACATTTAAAGTCAAAGAGCAGCTATGGTTTTAGGTAGATGATAATGGACTTGTGGTGTCGTTTAAACCACTTTGAAAGAAAGTTATAGAGTAAGAGTCAATATAAAAAAAGATAAATAAAAGAAACAATTGCATGTAATGACAACCTTTGCAGTAAGGCTGTTTAAGAAGGCTTTTTACTCTGCTGCACTTTTTTTTTCACAATGACAGCACAGAAACTAAGCACAGATGATATACTTCACTGTCTCGTCTGTACTTTTGTATGTTTCCAGCAAAATTTACTTCAGTTTATATCCAGGCCAAAGAAACAACAGAGACGCAAAAGAGGCTATTCAAAAGGATTGATATGTTCCACAACATTTTGGGATTAATGTGAGAGTCTAAGAGAGAACGACTTTCAGCAGATAATAAGAAGGCTGGACAGAAAATAGCAACATTCCTCAAAAGTCATTCACTTGGGATGAGTATCCAGAATGTGAAACTCCATTTCTTTAGTTGAGAACCATGATCCAAGACCAAAAGGAGCTGAGAGTCAAGAATGACTATTCCTGATAGTTGAAAAATTTTTGTATATTACCTTGTTTTAACCAAGTGTAACCATCAAACCTAGTTTATCTTAATACAATTAGAATACTCAAGTATCGGTGTTTTGATCATTACTTTGAAGATAAATCAATCAGTCGATGTCTTCAGGATAACACAGCAGTTGGAATCGTAAAGCAGAAAGAACTTGGATGAAAAAAAGGCATATGACTATGTTTGTCTAATCTACATTTTTAGCCAATGTACTTTAATTCAAGACAAATGATAGCTCTCAAGTCTTATATTAAAATGGTCCAAGTCAAAATATATGTTGCTCTTTCAAAAAAAAACAGCTAATTATCCAGTCATTGCACCGTAAATATTTTGAACGGCTTCCACAACGACTAGTTATAGTGGAACAACTGCGTAAATGAACTTAAAAAGCAAGTTGTGGGAATATTCATGAAAGCATGCAACCTGCTATTGTTTTAAAGAAACTGAACTCCATATAAGATGATGCGATTTTCTGGATGTAGGCGGATGGGATAGGCCAACAATAGACGTAAAGAAAGAGTGTGGAGTTGGGATGGGGGGTGCAGGAGGCTGCACTTGAGTTCATGCTGGTCATTTAACACCGAAACAATGGATTTTCATGAGATAAGACACATAGTTAAGGTTGAGTAGGATATAATCATGTGCAAGAGCAACACTGGACATTCCTTTCTGAGCAAGAAACTGGGATATCTGCAACACAATGGGAGCAGGAGGGTTGGGTTTGTAGGTGAAGGTGATTTAATCAGCCTTCCTCTTCCTCGTGCTGAGAAAACACGGACAGCTTGATGACTGAAAAGAGAATGAAAAAAAAAAAAAACTGCAGACGGTGTTGTTCGTCAGAGTCAGGCCCCAATCAGCAGAGTGAGGCGGTTCTTCTTCTTCTAGCGGCTGCCGATAAAGGTTTGGACGACTCTATACGGGCTGCTGCTAATTAGCAGCCTCGTGCTGATATGTGCAAATCCCATCGCAGTGTCCGTTAAGCAATTTGCACATATGCATGCTGCTTCATTATGCTCTGCCTTACAAATTTCCTAACTGAGAAGAGTTACTGAGTTAAAGCAAAAAAAAAAAAAAAAGCAAATGTTGCAAAGACAGGAGTTTTAAAACTGACTTGTTGGCTCATCCCGGATCCATTCGGGGAAATTATAAAGCAGCATGCTTTGAACCTTCCTGTGGTCAAAACTGAAACTTTTTCATCCTCTGCACAGCTTCTCATTACAGCGAGGACGGCTCGCAGCCCAATCCACAGATCCATGACATCTGTCCAACAGACAACACAACTGAAAGACATCGCTCTCCTATCCACACAGGCAGGAGAGAAAGTCTGATCGTGATAGCATCAAATAACTACAAATAACTGCCTCCATTGTTCCGTCTGGACAACCCTGGCTCCGTTTATGCAAGCTAACAAACAAACAGTGGCCTGGCAGGGGGTCTGCCTGGGAATTATCAGCAACACTTACGTTGGGAGAGCAGACGTGGAGGAGAGCGGAGGGATTCCTTATGAATGAGTGGCCTAATAGAGGTGCCTGGGAAAAGAGGAGTACTTACTCACACAGCAGAACTCCATTCTCCAGGGCTGATCGGAAGTCGCCGTTCCCAAATTTTTTCTTGGTTGCTGCCTGTGGAGAGAGAAACAAAAAAAGAGAAAAAAAGTAGAAGCAAGAATACAAGAACAGTGAGCAAAAACAGCCAGCAAGGGCTGGGTAAGGAGAGGAGGAGGAGGACGTGGGGGTGAAGGGGGCAGAGTGTGATGAGGGGTGGGGAGCGTTGGAGAATAAAGGTAGGATGTTGAGAACAGTAGCAGAGGAAGTCAGAGGTATTTCCTTCTGAGTTCCTGCACTGTCTCTGAGGGCCAACGCTAAGTAAGGTCCTCCAGGTATTCCTCAAGGGGCTGTGGGGGTCCTGAGTGGGTGATTTCTTCTCACGTTAATGCTGGAAGCTGCTGGGAAATGTTAGGGCTGTGTTAAAACTGTACTGGAGTCAGTCTGCAGAAGCCACAAGGCTGGAAAACTGAAGGAACACAGCGGCTGTGTTACAGCCTCATGCTTTTCCCATGATCTCAAACCGCCGCTGCAGAAACACCAGGAACCATTATGTAAGCAAACAGGAACACTGCATGCATGCATGCACGCCTGACGTGCAGCCTTAAACACTAGCACATATGAAGTGGAGGCAACTGAAACAAACATGCAGGACTTCTGCAGCAATTTGTGCATTTATTACATTTTCTGTACAGCTTCTCTTTCATGCAGCATTTTTATGTTAAAAAGAAAGTACTATTATTTTTTTATGTTTTGCAACAAAATGTTTGATGTTAGACATTCCCTGATTCCAGCAGTGTTAAGGTTTAAATCTGGATCTGTAAAATAGGCTAAAAAACTATATTTACTCAGCAGTCCCGCTCAATACTCTCAGCACAACACTGTGCTTTCAAAACAATGTTTGAATTTGTGAATAAATTGATAAATAAAAAATTGATAGTATTAATATCTACATAAATAACGTACATAAATATGTTGTGAACTTTCAGTAGGGTGCATCGATGAACTGGACCAGATATATTTAATTTTGGGAGATCTGGGATCAGACAATACTTACAAATAAAATCTGTCTTATGTGCCTCTGCAGAGTTCTGGCAATCAGTCATTTTCCCTCAAACATCAGGTCATATCTACACATTTGTGGTTCAAATCTGGAGAAAAAAAACAATCTATGTCGGCCATAATCAGATTCACCAGGTGAGGTTTTTTTAAAGATAGTTGATTGGCCTGAAAACTGACGTACCCCTAATCGAAATATTAAAGTTTCATAACCCTCATTTGAAGTGGTGGAATTTTAATTCACAGAAATAATATGGAGCAATATTCAATCTTTTTTTGTAACAATTTTCACAATATTTGCTTTTGTAGAAAAGTAGGTGTTAAAATGTCTTCTATTCGTGTCCTGTGTACCATGACAGACAGACGGATTGGCAAACATAGTTCAGTGCAGTCTGATTCTAAAAAGTATATTCTGACTGCTTGTTGAATCCTCCAAGCTTATAAAGTTGCTTGACATGCGTTTTACAGCTCAGTTCAACCTTAAACACTTCCTGTGATGTTCATGTCGTTGCAAAAATACATATACAACCAAGTCTAGTGGATTCAGTGGTGTTCCACAATGCTGTGAAGCTGCAAAAATAAAGTGTGGGGTAGGGCAAGAAGGCTTTCCTTCTTTTCAAAACAACACTGGCAGAGGAACTCAGTTTAGCGATCCTGTTATTGGCTGAGCTAATACTTCTAATTTGAATTGAAGAACTTCTTGCTCTCCTTGTCACAAATCATTTCCTAGTCTTGTTTGCACTATTCAGTCCTGAAACTTGCTTAGTCGAAGAAACTATATGTGTTCACTTCATCCCTCCCTTTCCCTGCAAAGACTTCTCTGCCTGATGTGGGCCTGTGAATACCTCCCAAAGTGAGTCAGGTGTGCTGACATCTACCCTCTTTCGTCCTGTCGGTCAATTAGAAATAGAAAGGTTTAGATATGTGATTTCTGTTTTTGCTTTGAACCAGAATTGCCAGGTGTAAAATCAAAGTGTTGCGAGAAAGCTAAAAAAGGATCAAAGCAAAATGCAACAACACTCCATATACTTAAATCAGTGAATACATTAATTTGAGCCCCCAAAAAAGTAGGTTTCAAGCATATTCTTAAGAGGTGTTCTGTATTACACTGTAAAAATAAGCAGACTCGTTGGCATTTACAATCAAGGACTATGCCCATGTTTAAAAGCAAGCTTCAGACAAACTCTTGCAAAGTTAAGTACAGGACATATTTATGGACAAGACAGGAAATAAAGGCAATTAAGCGTGACTATTATTATTTTCAAACAATTTGCGCTACACCTCAGAACACTCCCTGGGTAACCAGAGATGGCCACGGCCTCAAATGCTTATCATTCCAAGAGAATTAGACAATGCCAAGATACATGAGCAAGAATAAAGTTCTCACACGCTTCCACTGCCTACTTCTGTGTCTTTGCACAATGGAAATGAGCTACGTGGTAAGAAATACTTCAGCCCAGTCTGCTTCTTTCTTTTTCATTCACAAAATTACTATCCGAACTAAACCCCCGGACAAGAAAAAAAAAAAAGACAAACAGACAAGATGAGAGAGGCACAGAGAGCAGCCATCATTTTATAAAGAGTGAAAACAGCCTTATGCAACTTGCAGCAGTCAGCCAGGCTGTGCATTTAGCATATGAAATCCTGACCCCTACTGTTCCATGTATGCGCAGGCAAGTTGCTGGGATTCACTTGCATGCAAATAAACAATGGAGAAGGAAACAGCTCTGTGTGAACGATTACATCTTCCATCCTCTTTCCACAGAGTGTTACTTTGATGTTGCTCTCCCCTCACATTTTCTAATCAAAAGTGACATCGGCTAATCTGATTGAAAGAGGACAATTAGGGTATTAGGTGTGGGAACCACCCTGGCAAAAAGCTGGATGTGCTGTAACAGAATACCAGTCTGCTCCGCTATTATTGGAGATATTATCAACCATCAAGATCAACAGGTCTGATCTGGAGCGGCAGATGGGCGCTCTGGTTTTATCAAAGACAAAACATAGGAGCAGAATCAACGACTGAGTTACGATGCAGAAAGCTCCAGAAATATGGTTCTGGTTCACCATGGGTAAAGATGTCTGAGCAAAGCAATTGTGTCTCGCAAAAGTCTTCATATGCCTTTGTCTTTTCCTACATTTTATTATGTTCCAAATAACTGACTTTAATGCATTTATTTGGTTTTAATGTGCCAGACCAACACAAAGTATTGCGGAGTACTGAAAAGAAAAAATTCCTTCCCTCTGTCCATCCTTTGTCAATACGCACATTGTGGCTTTGGGGGAACTGTAAAAGAAACCCACCATTGCTCAGGTGGCCAAATTTCTCAACAGGAAAGCAAATGGGTTTCCAAAATCTGCTGGAAAAAAGCCTAAAGAAATTAAATTTGAATTGTGACACAAACCAAAACCTGCTTCTATAAATAGGCAACGCTCCCATACGTGACTCCCAAAAGACTCGCGTTAGTAAGTGCAGGAAAAAGGTTGAGTCTTGCTTTTTAAGGTATTTTGAAAACCAGGCCTTCTTTTCTGTCCATTTCCCAATGATAAGCTATTTTGTTGAGATTGTAAAAATTTTAAACAGTAGATTGACACAAAGTTTATTGTTGTAACATGACAACATGGAAAAAAGTTCAAGGCATATGAATACTTCTACAAGGAACAGTAATTATTACCAGGGCAAACTAAACAAGGGGGAGGCCAGATAGTGCATGAATAGTCTGAGGAGTCCATGTTTATTCACACAGGACACCAAGGCCGATCTGGTTACTGATGTAGCACTCAACCACTAATTGTTCCTGACATTCTTTGTGTCTCAAGCATAGAAGTATGGGTCAACAGAGGGAACATTTTTCCACATGTTTCAGGGTTTGAATTGAAAACAAAAATTCAGCTGTGGAATCCATTAATATCACCGCTGCTACAATGGAGCTACAACTGTTTTAGTGAGTGGCTTCCTGTGCAAGGGCTTGTTTTCACGTTGATGATTCTGAACGCAATTACTAATTTCTTCATATCAAAACCGTCAAAAGGGAACGTTCAGGGAGACAAATGGTGAGTCTAGATTTAAAGTTTCTAAGGTGGTAAATAATGCAGCAATATCAGCTCCAGAGAACAAGAGTTATTCCTTCTCCAAGTTATTAATAATTGAATTCCCAAAAACAGTTTAAAAAAAAAAGTCACTGAGACGGATCAACTTGGAGATCTTACTGTTTTGATTGATACTACTCTGTTCCAAATGCAGAACTAGTCAAAACATATTTTGTGAATTATTTGGGAAAATGTCCAGGAAACACTGCTTCAGAGGAGCTGTAAATTTCCTAGCCATTCAGTTTTCATGGGAAGTGACAGAAAGATATGAGCGGGACGCCATTAAATCTGGTAGTACCTTTGTTTTCCCAATTCAAGGAATAGTAGCCAATAAAAATAAGTCCTTGTAATATTAAGAAGCAGAACCAAGGTGCTTGGGTAAGTCTCTCGTTTCCTGCGTAATATGTGGACAGGAAGGAAACTTTGTTTTCATTCAGATTCATGCAACTCAGAATTCTAGATCCACCAGCTTATATTGCTCTTGAAAACCTACTTTGTGCTTGACTATTTAGAGCATTTTTGAGACTAAAACCTGCCTGAAGATCTGCTGTTTCTTACAGCTGCGAAGGGTTTCGTATGCCAGGAGATTTTTTGTAAATTCTGCAAATACCATCTACTGTTTCTTGGGTTAATATTCTTTGATTTCAGTTAATTTTAATAACATTGTCTTGCTATACAGTCCCACTCTATAGTGTCATTGTTTCTCATGGAATGTTTTGATCATCACCTTAGATCGGAAATCAGATATTGTTTCTCAGCCAGCTCAACTGCAGGGTTCCCACCCAATGAGAACAACAGAAGACAATAGATGAACCACTGATGGAGGGAAATCAATTTTCCTTCATCTGTGAAGTATTTCCTTTGACACTGGCTGCAGGACAAAGACAAGTGCATCAGACTAATGTGTGGATTTTTTTTTCTAATCAATTTCAGACTTTACAGATGCATTTTGAAATGTCAAGTTATGAAAACCTTTTTAATGACACTTATGAAAGTGTAGGGTTTGGTTCTGTAGTAGAACAGTTCTGCTCCACAACATTGTTCATTAAACATGCAAATAAGTTTCCACATTTTTTTTAAAGATCTTGCAGTACTAAGTGTGATTTTTTTTTTACATTTTCTTTCCATAAAGCTTACTATGTATTAAAACTTGGGGTGCTTATATCTAAACACACACACGCACACACGCACACACACACACACACACACACACACACACACACACACACACACACACACACACACACATAAAGGGAACACCACTTCAAAACACACACACCCACATATATATATGCTGTATAGTCCCACTATAGAGTGGGACTCTATAGTTGGCTACCAAAGACTATAGAAAAAATAAACAAACAGAAGTAGAGAACACCTATCTCAATTAAAGGAAACTATTATTATCACTAATTGTCATTACAAGTAGCCATATGCCTGCTCGTCTGACCCATAAGTTGCACAAACACCACCACTTGTTCAGGGTCGTCATAACAGTTACACTCCAAGGGGTTTCTATTCAATTAACAAGAGCTTCCATTATTCCAACAGGCCCTGTGGTCGAAGGATCTCGTGCCCTGCGCTGACAGCCGACTGCCTTTGAGGGGGCCGTGTTCACAGCCATGGCAGCAAATCCTGGAATGTGTCCATGTGACGGGCTCCGGACCGTTTAGTCTCATTTTTTAACACCACCACCAACCTCGCACTGCACACATGCCTCGGTTTAAAGCTCTGTGAAGCCAAGCAGCTTGTTAATCATTCAGAGGCACAATCCAAAAGCAACAAAAACTTTTTCTTTGAGGGGTGGGGTGACAGCTCCTCTGGTGCCAGAGTATGGTTTGTTGTTGCTCTTTTATTTCCACTGTGCCAGCCCTCTCTCACATTCTTTTCATCAGCTCCATGGCCTTTACCTTCACCTTCTTGTACTGCAGCCTTCAGCGGAGCGCTGCGGCCCCCACCCCGGTCCCACCGGCAAAGCCACTACAATGGGCCAGTGTGTGAATGGGAGAGACGCTGATGTCACATTGAAAGCATTCAGATTCACCCCTTCATGAAATTAGAACAATATTTGTTTAATTACAGTCACGCAGCTTCTTGTCGGTGATGCCATGCTGGGAGGAGAATTTGCAAAACGAGGGGGGAAGAAAAATGGCTCCCTAATTAAAAGAGAAGAAAGAGTGTGGCGAGAAGTTGGGTGGAAACTTTATGTAATGTGACATTTTAGATTTGTTAGCATTTTAGACAGTATGTGTCAAATCATATTGACTGCATGAAATGGGAAGTATGTTTTGACTATTGAGGTATTCCAAGGATTTGAATAGTAAAAAAAAAAAAAATTCTATCATACCATTTGTATGGTTTGAACACCATTTTCAGCCAAAAAAAAAGTGTTGGAGTGAATGGTCTTTTCCTGATCATAAGGAAAAAAGTCCACCTCCTACACACTGCTGCTCAGCTGACCAAGCACATTCTGACAGTTTCACAAAATAGTTCCAGTTGCAACAAATATCTACAGTCAGGGCTTTTATAAAGGGAACACCACTTCAAAAACACACTAAGAGAAGCATGCTAGCTAAAAACTTGACAGCAAGCTTTACCTAATTGCTGAATTAGATAATCAACTGATAACATGGAAACTACTAAACCTTTGCTGTTCTTTATTTCGGTTATTTTCAGTGACCCCACAGTGCCGATTTCCTGAACTGATCATAAACAATGTGCATGGCATGATGCACAACTGTTTCAAGAATTTTTCCGTCACGCCTTCACACGAAAAAGGCGTGAGATCAAAACGAACCAAGAATACACCAAATTATTTGTTAACATCACGGTGACTGGGACAAGCTGCACTTTTTGTTAATGCTTCTGTATTTTTTTTTCTGCTTGAAACTGGAGCCCTGAATCCCCAGGAGCTTAAAAACAGAGGAGCAGATGAGCAGGTTTTGACAAGATCTAAAGAAAGACAAAGCCTGCAATGAGGAATGAGTTCAACACAATGTAACCTTTTCTCTAAGAAGATAAGACATCCGTTTGCTGAGAAAGTACTTTTGTTTTCCAGAAGCAAGAGTCCACTGGTTAAATTGTACACCAGTTGAGAAGGAACAACATGATCTGGTAGATATGATAAGACTTCTGTACTTTTAACATTAATTCTCACTAAAAGACACTGAAACACTTCTCAAGAAGCCAGTTTCCACCATGCGCACGCCCCTTTTGATAGCAGCCATCAGGCTTTCTGCTTTGTTGGGCCTGGTGTCACTTATTGTCCTTGTGACAACACCCTGAAGATTGTTTATGGGATTTAGGTCAGGAGAATTTGTTGGCTAGTCAGGAGCAGCGACCATCGTCATTAAAGCAGATATTGGTCGTTTTGGAAGCCTGGTTGGTGAAAAGCGCCATCACTTTATGGCAATGACAGGCTTCATCATCGCCATAAAGCTTGTCAGCAGACCAACAGCTGGAGGTCTGCTGGCTGTCCAAACTATCACTGAAAATGGAAGCCTCACCCTGAACCTCATGCAACTTGGGCATGGTGCCTCTCCACTCTTCCTCCTCCACTCTCTAGCGACCTTGACTTCCACATAAAATGCATACTTTACTTTCATCCGAGAGAGGACTTTTAGACCGTCGAGCAACAGTCCAGTCCTCATACTCTCCAGCCAGGGTAAGACACGTCTACTATTGTCACTGAGCACACAGTAGCTTAACGTAACTTAACAAACGCAACAGTGGTATCCCAAAGTTCTTCATTTGTGTATGAAGGCTCTTGAAGCCCTGACTCCATAGCTGCACCTTTTTATTTATTTTTTTGTTAAACCACACTTTTTTCTTCCACTGCATTGTCCATTAGCATGTTTGGATACAGGACTCTTAACAGGCAGCGTCTTCTGTCATGACCTTTTATATGTCATGACCTTCACCGTCTTTGCCAAATAGTTCATGTTAAACCAATGGTTTTCTTCAGAAATCGAATGTCATAACAATATGTCATTTCTGTGTTAGAGAACACGATCTTGTGCAATGACGGCTGCCATTAAACTATAAGCCTAAATCGTCCAAAAAAATATATGTATAAATTACTTTGACTTTTTGAGTAGAATTACTGAAACAAATGAGCTTTCCAGAATAGCATCACTAATACATTGGAGCATGAAAGCGTCCAGTGTTGCCACATCCTCAGTACAACAATCCTCAGGTGGCTTTGACTTACCTCGATCCATCTTCGCGCCTCCAGGTACGCTTCCTCACAGCTGACAGAGGACTGCTCACGCCACTCCATCATGCAGACTTAACAGTACGAGCACAACTACCGCCTTTAAAAGTCTTCCCGTGGGTAGCCAGAAACACAGGTGAGCTCGTGATCACACCTTTCGTTCGGCAACAACAACAAAAGTTTCCTATTGTTCTTTTGCAGCAGGGTGGATGCAAGGTGAACGGGAGGTTAGTACATTCCGTCCGCATCACCCTGTCTCTGCAGCAGCTTTACCCGTCCTTTCATCCGACACACCTGTGGCTCGCTTCTTTTCTCCAAAGCTCCGACCGAAAGAGTCCTCAACGTCTTCCTGAGCTCAACTTCGTCGGCTCTCGAAGTTCAGGGCATTTGGAGCTGCAGACCTGCAGCGGGGGGGAGGCAGCTGAGAGGCAAGGTCCAGGGAGGATCTACCCGCGCTCCTGCGGCGTCCAGGTGAACACGAAAGCCCGATTTCACCCCAAGAAAAACAGTCAGGGGAGGCGGGGGGGCTGCCACACAAAACACGCCAAAGATCAGACGTGCGGAAGTTTCCTCTTCCTCAAGCGAGGAGGAGGAGGAGGAAGAAGATGATGAATTGTTGAAAAGAAAATTGCGCAAGCTGTAGACTGATGGACCTCGAAGAAAATACCAAAAGAAAAAACAAAACAAAACATTTGAACACCTGGGAAAACTGACAGCGATCGGATCCTCTCCATCGAGATTCAAGCAAAGTGCGCTGTTACAGCGCCACTCAGTGGAGGAAAGCGAGTATTACAAGATCTGAAAACTAATCCGTCGCTTTCAAAGAACGAACAGGACTGTCATTTTCACCATAAGTACAATACAAATGTGAGGCACAATAATAATAATAATTATTATTATTTTGCATGAAGTATTTCATACAATAGAAAAGAACAATGTGGTAGCAAGACTTTTGTCAGATATGTCACATCCTGAAGGTTCAATGTTCCTTTACCTTTGAACTTGCCTGACATTAACAATGTCTCTGGGGCCATCAACATTTACAGCCTTTGTTTTCCGTTTGTATCATTTTTTTTTTCAGTGCAATAATCTTTTCCTCAAACCTTTCAGATAATTCTCATGACCAAGCCACATCTCTAGAACAGGCATCTTGATCAGCAGCATCAGGTATGTCTGAGACTACCCCGATTTGTGAATGTACGCTCCTTTAAACAAATCTATACAGAGGGTTGAATCATTTTATGGGTATATAATATTAGCAAAAGCTAAAAATTAAAAATGAAACAGCTCTTGCAGTTTTTTTTTTACAACCATAACAATATTTTTGGAGCTTTTATATTAAACCTAATTTAATGTGGGAGCTAATTTTAGTAGAAACTAGATGTAAACTCGAAGATAAACAGAATAATACAGATGGATGAAGAAAGGACACGCAAAAAAAGTGCTTTTTAAATTTGCCCTTTATTTGACAAACTCATAATTACAAAAATGTAGGCACCTTTCACCCGCATGTTCAGACTAGATGTTTGTTACCCTCCGACAGTCATCTTTGTTAAAGCGGTTCATAACGCATTAAGTCATGAAACATCATCATCCTGTAAGTGTTTTGAGAGAATGAATTTAAAGCATCTTAAAACGTGTCTGCACAGCTCATCTCCATGACGTGATTGAAGTAATTGTCAAAAATGAAATTAAATAAACGGTGAATAAGTGCAGTTAGATGTCCACCCAAAAAAGAGCCTCAAACATACAGATTAAGCAAAACTATAATCCAAGGCAGCGATGCAGATTTCTGATGCCTGGTATTTTTTTTAGTTTAAGATTTGCTTGCTATACCATTGTGAGAAAAAACCCCCAAAAAAACAACAACTGTGTTTTATAATATATTCAGCACTTCAGAATGTTTGGCAGTAATGTTTTCTTTGCTTTCTGGGGTCGAAAATAATAATAAAAAAAACAACAACACAAAAGTAAAAAGAGCTTCCTCAGAACGAGTCTTTGGACAGAGCGATGATGGTGAAACGGACCTCCTGAGGGTCGCGAGCCATGAAAACCTTACAAACTTCTATGGCGTCCTGGAACACACAAGTACAATCATTTGCTGCCACTGATTTTAGGGAAACTCTCACTATCTAGCATCATAAAAAAATAACACAACCTAGAAGTGAACTTTGCATGTCATAATCTCAAGTGTGTTTAGCAATAGCTTACCTCAAGGAGTGTATCTTCTGTAGTTTTTCCATGGACAACAGGGAAAGGCTTCCGTCCATCTATGTATGAAATTAATTGTTGATTTGAACCTTTTTTTATAACCATGGCTGCAGATATATACACACATTTCAGGAAGTGGATATTTTCTTAATTTTTCAGTTGTTTCAGTAAACACCAGTCTGACTTGAATACCGTGTATGCTTGTTGTTGTTAATAGAGGTGAACCAGTTGTAGTTTTGTAGGTGATCGTCAATCTTTAACAATTCTGATCTGCCAATTCCGATTTTGACTGATACAGATTTTTTTTGTTTTTTGACAACTAAATATAGAAACAAAGTTGCTGGGTTGTAAACAGTATGGTGACTATTGTTAACCGTGCACCTGCAGACTTGACCTGGTGGGTGGTTCTGTCTGCCAGCCCCCTCTCACAACATAACAGGAAACAACAGAGGCTGATTTTCAGATCCTTTTCAGAGGTAAAGAAGATTGTTTTGGGAGATCAGCCGATGTCCCAAAATGAAAAAAAATCAGAGCCAATTTATTGGTGCACCCCACTTTCTCATTTTGATCGGCTGTTTGTGAAATAGCTTATTTGTTCCCTACAGAACCAGGAGGTTAAGGATTGTTGCATAAAAGCACTCTGGTCAACTTAAAAGTTAAGAACTGAAGCATCAGTTTTACTGTATCAAACTTTGGCTCCGTGATTTGGGGGACTTTGTTGCCCAACTAAACAAATGAATTCAAATTAACAGTCAGACCATTCTAAATTTTTCACCAAGAGACTTTGCAAGCTTGAAAGAAACATGACTTTATTGTATGTTTGTTAATACAAATATGCAAGTACCTGTGTAGTGCGACAAACTGCAATGAAGATTTATGACAAGCAGGTGTATTTAGGTATTTAGGGGGTGAACTCACCTAGTTCGTATAACTGTCCTCCGACGTTCACAAAAGCTATAAAATGCAGATTGACTTTTTCATCTAAACTCGGGGCCTATGTCAGACAAGAAATGAATTTGTTGAGGTTAATTTGTGCATATTCATTATCAAAATCAGTGCAAATTACTCTTACAAATGAACTTAAAGTTATTCCAAACCTCAGTTTGTCCCTCCTGTGCGCTAGATTCATGTGTGACACGTATACTCTGGAAGAAACAATTGAACAAAAAAACTACTTCGGTCATTTGACTTTTCTCCTGTACAGTCACTTCAGGTTGGTTTCCGAAGTTAATGTCCATCCATGCTCTCTTCAGCTTCGTCCTACCTCGTCTTTTTCCAAAAACGTGGCCCTTTCCTCTGGGGTCATTGTTGCCGTTTGTTCAAGGAACTTCTTAAGGGGAGAGTTGGCCTCTGGGAAGAAGGAGCCAAATATAAACGGAACAGGATTACTCACATTTAAATACAAAATCAGATTTAAACTATACTGCTTATTACTATAGTCAGGGTTCCTAAACATTTATGGAAAAATTCCAGATTTTTACAGATGCAACTTTTTGAAGTTCTCAATCTTTTAAGTTAAATTCATAAAAGCAAGAGAGAGAAAATACTAAAGACATTGACCAAAAAAAAAAAAAAAAAAAAAAAAAAAAAATATATATATATATATATATAGAAATAGTAAGAAAGGAGGGGAGGAAAAGAATGAGGTAAGGGTTGATGGAAGAAAAAATGGAAAAGAGTAGAAGGAAGGAAGGAAGGACAGGAACTGAACAAATAGTGGGCACAAAAAAGGGAGGACAAAATTCTTGTATGAAGAATGGAAGCACATAAGTACACATGGAAGAAAGAAAGGACACATGAAGTGAAGGATAAAATAAAGCAGATAATCTTTAATAATTGTCTCTTACTGTTTGATTCTATCAGCACAACATGAGGATTATGTGAAACTGTAATGTTCTGTTTTTTGTATTGAATCAGCTCTCAGTTTAACTGTTTGGATTTCTGATGACCGTACAATGGAAATATTCTGTTTTATTTCTTTTTCAAAGGAACACTTTTATATTCACACAAATGGTGTCAAATATTGAAATGCTTACTATTACCATTGCATATTTTTATCAAATGTTTAATATTGTGCAAATCTTATTTTTAAACCACAAAGGTTTCTTTTACCTTACAGCTATGCAGCACTTCATGTTCATCTAAACTCTCAGCTAAATACACCAAGGTTTGCCGTCGTAGTGCAACAAAATGTGTGCAGGTCCAGGTGAACTGCTTGCTTTTTGGTCAATTTTACTTTTCACTCCAATGTGAGTTTTAACATGTAGTTAAAACTCACCAAACTGCAGGTGTGCCTGGTTGTTAGCCACTGCGTGAATTAATCCGATCGTTCCACAGGCGTTCCCAATAGTTTGTTTAATAAAGTATACATCAGGGGAGACTCCGTGCCCCTGGCCTTTCAGTCTCTCTTCCTCTTCTTGCTTAAACGCCTCGTACTGGACACAAGAAAAAAAGCAGCAGAAAGATAAGAAATATCTTATCGATATTACTGGTCAACATTCATTAATAGCACATAAATTATAGACGCCTAAAAGTCAAGAGCGTCTATGTGTTTACTAACTGGACAAATATGTCATACCTTTTCTGTTACAGGGAAGAGGAGCAGCACTGCACACACTGGTCTTGGTACCAAGCTCAGAAGCTCTGGATCCAACCCGTAAACATCCCCAAACTGCCAAGATGGCCTCATGCCCAAACAGCTGACAAACTAGACGCAAACAGAGTACATTAGCATGCACAATAAGATGCACTGGCATAATCTGGTTGAAAGTACAAAATGAAAAAAAAAATATGTATATGTGGGCTTGTAGACATACATTTAGGTTGTGGTACCAGAAATGCTTTTTACAGTTAATTTATTAAAACATGTTTTCCTAAGTTTGAACATCATTTATCCACTGCAGTAATTTTTAACCGCATTAACAGCGATTTTATTTGACTTTTTTGATTGTTTTATGACAACAATACTGTAAATGTATTATCATTGTGGGCCTTGCACATTTGAACACTATTTGCAACTCTCTATTTTAAACACTATCGTTAAATAGAACCAAAAAGAGCTTACCTTGGTCATGACCTGAAAAAAATAATAAACGAGAGAAAGAGAAATTGGTAAACAAATATGATTTATTAGCAGAGCTCCTATACCGGGCTCAGCTTTTGTTCTTATAGCTAGCCACAGTAGCTAGTGCTCTCATGCTTTAGAATGAATGGCTTGAATAAAACCTTGTAACTGTGAAAATAGGCGATGGGGTACGTACTTCTGGATTGGACTCCAGAGGCAGCCAGCGTGGAGAGTCCATTTTAGGTGTAGTCTGATGATATGTTGCTGCTAACTGCGAGCTGAGTCTGATTTAGAAAGATCTGCTTGACAGCTGCGATTCGCTTCCGTGTCTGATTCGGTGCTCATTGACCTGGAGGCGAGGCACGGGGGTGGTTCGATTGTTTTAGCTCACAACAAACACCTTATTTAAGACGGTTCTGCATTTTACACAAGCTACTTTCACATTTTATTGTGTTTGTATTAATATTTTTGGATTTCTATTGACGTGTAGTGGGTACTATTACGGTCAAATTAAATATGTTTCCATTTAACACCCCCTTTCTTAAACTTATGATGGATCATTCCAGAATTTGGGCGTTGCTGGTGTGTAGAGATGCTTCGGTTTTATTCCTTAGTTTTTATAAATCATTCAGGTTAATTAGTCACGATTGTTTTTAACATTTTACCTGAAAAAAAATATATATATGTAGTTTATTGGATGTCTTTCCGTGTGTGGTTCACACCCATTCCCTGCCAGACGGGGGCGCAAAGGATTCACGCAAGTGTCGTGGAGAAGCTTTGCGTAGTCGAGGCAGCATCGTACGTCAACGCTGCCGCCATATTGAAAGTGGCAGCTTTAAAGACCAATCTTTAGCACCAAGCCTTGTTTTTGACTACTTACCTTGTTAATGACTGCTTGTTGAGCAGCTGTACCAGGTCCCCATCCCATATCTATGGATCTATGACATTTTTTCTAAACTTTTTAAAAATTATTATTCTTATGTAATTCTCCGAGAAACTGAATATTTTATTTTCAATTGCTGTAAATCATAATAAAAAGAATGAACAGAAAACTGTCTGATTTTCAGTTTTTGAATTCAGTAGAGTTAAATAGCTTTTCAATAATATTGTAATTTACTGAGCTGCCCCATGGTCGAAGTGAAACCAACTACCCGGACATGCCAAGTTTATATTTGTTTTCGACGAGAAACAGAGCAAAAGCTTTTCCTGTGTCGTAACTGTAGGTACTCCCGTGCAGCAGATGGCGCAGTGCAGATTAAAACGTAGTTAAACATACAAGAAGGACCATTAGGGAAGCAGCACTGTGCATTTTGCTGTTTTCAGTACCTTATTGAAAACAAACACAGAAAGGCTTAGACTTTAAAACGCTTCTTAATTTAAACAGTTCACTGTGAAACAACGATGCCGGCGGCACAGGAATCACACGGTGAGCTCGAAAAGGGTGGGAACTTTTCTACTGAGATAAATAGAAACACTGACAGATTTGTAGGATCTCGGTTGTAATGTAATGTGAATAAAATGACAGGAGCTATTTTTTCCGACTGAATAGAAACACTCACTCGGATCTCAACTTTGATTTCAGCCATGCATCGATACAAAACAAGGGGGATGTAGACACACTAGAAGACTTCCATTTATTTACAAGGCAGAAGACCCAGTTTATGTCATTCAATGTTAAGCTTTTCCTTGTTTCATTCTTTTGCATTATGTTAATATGGCACCTGTCAACAACAAATGTCTTGTCAAAGTACTCTACAAGAAGAAAAATACAAAAAAAAACGTACCCAATTATGTAGAGATGTATAAACAAATCAAGCCATTATAAGCCAGTCATATAGACAGGAAGCCACCAGATTGCATCAAGTCCTGCTATAAACTGCATCTGTAGGTACTTTTTCTTAGCAGCCTGTTGTTACTAGAACACAATTTGTTTAAATTTGATAAGAACCATCTGTGAAAAATAAACAAGATGACCCACTTTGAAATGCAATGAAAGTTCTGTAGAATCACGCTGCTCATGGTGGCAGTATGTTTGAGTGCTTCTTGATACATTAGTTGTGATTTTTTCTTTTTGTGGACTTTTGTTCCTATCCTCTGGTCTTTTGAGGTACAATTTGTACACCATGCAGCCATGTTTAAGCACAAGAACAAGACACACACACAAAAAAGCAGCCAAACATAAAAAGTGATCAATTCAAAAGACTGCAAGAGTTTCTGACACTTGAAGCAGTAGGAAAAGAAGGTAAATTATGTCATAATTAATGCAGTTGTCCTTATGGGGAGCTCTTCTTTTGTAATTTCAGGCATCAACAGAGCTGTAGACAAAATCTGCAGCTTGCCTCCATATGTGTTATCTGAAACAGTAAGTAATATGAAACATCTCATTACGTTAATAATTTCCGGGGGTGAAGGGAAACGACATACTTGTTGTAATTTCTTCATCGTATCATTGACATCGACTGGCACACATGCAACTTCTGAAATGTGGCGAATAAAAGCGAGGAGACTCTTAACATGTCTGGTACGATTTGCTGGATAACGTGTCTGCCTTGATAACGGCAGGATGTACACAGAGTTGAGTAATATTGATTTTTTTTTTTTTTTTATGTCAGCCGCTCGCTGCACCAACCACTCAGGATGTGGTTTTGGAACAGTTAAACTGCAAATCTTTTAATCTTCACAGTCTCAGCACATTCTGACATATCTTCAAGGCCAAACTTCTTTTTCTTTTTTATATTCTATTTCTTCTTTTTTTTTTCTTTTTTCAAACAGCCTCTAAACCGTCTTCCCCAGCTGTTTTTTATTGATTTTCTTTAAATGTTTTTCATCTGGACAGAGACTTCAGAGGGCAGGGGTAACAATTGATCATGAAGCTGTCCAGGGTATCACCAGATTTCTTCTGTTGACATTCAGGTAGGATTATTCATGTTTTTTTCCCCTCACTGGATGCAGAGTGCTAATTTTGTCTTTATTTAGCAAATCAAAATGTCAAATCATACACAGAGGAGCACCTCAGTCTGCTATCAGATGAATCATCAGGTGTTTATATCCCCAGGTCAGCTGGAAAGAACAACTTTTCTGCAGACGAACTTGTGTCCAAACTGGAGGAAGGCAGCAGCAAATGGTCGAAAGCTTCTCTTCAGATCTTGCACACGTTGTGGAGTGAACACGGTGCCTCGGTCCGTGCTCAGCAGGAGGTACAGTCCATGCTCAGCATTGGTCAGGTAAGCACAAACTTAAGAAGCATTTCCATCTAAAGAACTGCTTACATTTGGTCACAGTCCAAAAACAAACTCCAGTCTTTCTTATTGTGATTCTATCTACTAAATATGTATAAATTGTGCATTTCAAATCACAAATCCATTCAGTAAATTGGAATATTATTGAACATTCCATTTGTTTCAGGAAGTTTATCATAAATCAAACATATATAGATCAATTACACAAAGAGGGATGTTTGAAGTAATATTTTGTAAAACGATCTTTGGTTCTTCTCACGTTTTGTCAAAAAAAAAACAACTTCTTTCTACTCTTTCATAAACACCACATTTTTGAGTGTTCATCTAACAATTGTATCCACAAATTGTTCCACCCACCCAAACTGCAGATCTTTGCAGCCCCTCCCGTATACCAAGGGTCTCTTGGCTGCTTCTCTGATTATTTTGTACCTTACCAAGTTGGACAACCATGCATCTCTTTTTCCTTTTTCAGAATCACGCACCTCTTTGCCTATCATGTAAAACCCCAAATAAAACAAACAGAACTTTGTGGTTTAATGTGACAATTTGAGTTCAATCTTAAGCTTAAACAGGTCTGAATGCTTATCCAAGTGTGTCCTGGTAATCAGTGTAGATGTAATTTGTGTGTACGCTGTAGCTTGTGGATATGCAGTGGAAGCTGGGGATGGCGGTGAGTTCAGACACATGCCGGTCTCTAAACTCCCCGTATGTGTCTCTGCTGCTGAAGATTGTCGAGCCCTCTGGACAGATCTGCCAGAGGGCTTTCGAGATGACTATTCCACAGTTCCAGGTTGGTCGACATTAACTTTGATCTATATTGATTCTAAATGAATTATTCAGACGCTAATGATATTTTCTTCTTTTTGTGCTTTTGCCTCTTAAGAATTTTCACAAGCAGTTCAAGGAGATGGCAGCGATTATGGAGACTGTGTGATGGCGAGAATGTCAAAGTGTGCAATTAGTACCAGTTTATATAAAAGTGAAAGAAGGAACAGTTTGACATCCTTGTCTTTTCTTTTTTTTTCTTGCCAGGTGTCTTAAAATGTCGACGTGACTTACTGTAAATGTCAGCTCTCAGCTTGTCTCTTTCTGCAGGTTGTATAAGCTCTTGCGTGATGCATTTGAAGCCCTTTACGATAAGAGCAGCTGAAAAAGGCAGCCTTTAGGGTTACGTAATTTATTCTATTGCTTCTTCTGCAAAACACTGAGTGGTTTACTTAGTTTTGCAACATCTGTTATGTGTCCATAGTGTGAGTGGTTTATGACTAATATATTTTTATTTGTGCACTCCAGGCCATAAATATCAATTTTTGAATTTCTATTAAAGTTAAATGACTGTTATGTCATTTTATGTATACTTTTTCTGTCAGTTTTGATACCTTCATTAAAATTTTCTATGTAACCCATTATGCACTTTACAAATAATAAAGTGGTTGTTTCATTTAGTTTTTACATGTATTTTTTTTATTCTACTGCATTTTCCGAATATTGGCAGAAGTTGTAATTCCCATCCTGTTTTTCTCTTTAAATAAAAATACATTCCCCTGTTTGGAAATAGTTTTAACTGTCCTCATTTTCTAATAGAATTGAAATACCCATTATTGTCCAATAATGTGGGAATTCAAGTTTGTGGAGAAACACAAACCTGGACATTTTCTTTACGTTTTACAAAAAAATAGTATTTTAAAAACTAATATTTGTAGTTTTGTCTAAAAATAATTTGTGGTGTGGCCAAACATTCAGATCAGAGAAGTTGTCCTCAATCACTGCATTGGGGAAGTTGGTAGGGAAGAATATATTTTTACTTCATATTCCATGTTGTGGGGGGGAAAGAAAACGAAATAGTAACCAACTCAGACAAGAAGTTATTTGATTTCTCCCCCCCAATTATTTCAAACAATTGTCAGTGTAACAATTTAATGTTTGGACTTGTGAAATATTGTGATCCATAAAAATGAGTAAGAAATTACAAAAAATAAAAATAACATTTCAACAAAGGAGACGGAAAATAACAACTCGGCATATTAAATTTGAATCAGAAACGTGCAGGTTTGTCAATTTTAGACGAATTTTTTTTTTAAATAGTCCAATAACAAAGCAAAATAAAACAGCTAAATTGGAGAGAAGTAACTTAAAAGCTTTGGTATTGGGATTTAAAATTTTCTATTTCTCTGCTTTACATAAGACTTTTAAAGGTTTTTTAAAAGTCGGGAAAAGTCCAAGTATAGACAGTGTCGACGTCATCACCCCACAAGTCACGTGAGGTAAGTCGCCATTTTGGATATCCATTGGATACCTTTTCTGTTGTTTAACAACACGCGCGGATAGATAAAGGACAAGTCTTTGGGAGACGAAATGGCTTGTTGTGTCGCTGTCGGTTGCTCTAACCGATCAGACAGAAAAGACTTGTCATTTTACCGCTTTCCTAAAGACCCAGAGAGGAGGACTTTGTGGGTGCAAGCAGTGTGCCGCCGAAACTGGAATCCCACCGACTACTCCAGAATATGCAGTAAACATTTCATCTCGGGTAAATATACCAGCCTGTGTGTATATTATCATTATCAATAATAATAATAATAATAATATTTTATTACACTGCTGGATTGATTTAGTTAACTTGCTGAAATGTTTTCTATTATAAAGAATAATAGAAAACGGGTTACGGGTGTTGTGTCGAGTCTGGTTCCACCGTCTAGTTAGCTCCTCACCAGCTCTGCGCTGCTCTCGCTCCATGGCGCCCCTGCTCCGCGTTTTATGCTCAGGGGCGGTAACCTCACATTGTACACTGTGTACACTATGTGGTACCTGTAGGAATATTGTAACAAATGTTCTTGCCATCAAATGTCAATACAATATTGTACAGTACTTCTTGAATTATTGAGCAGTTTCACGTTAAAAAGTCACACTTAATAATATCTTCCGTTACACATTTTAAAATGTTATGTTTCAAATATTATACTGAAATTACTTCAGGTTTTTATTTTATTTTTAGTTTTAATTCTGACACACTTCTGCAGCAGCATCCTTATGTATTCAGGTTAATTATTAATAATGTATTAGTTTGCAAATACAAGTCTTATTTGACTTCTGATGTACCTTTATTGACATTAATCCATTTGTGTTGGCATCAGAGGTATGGGATCAGACTATTTTATATCAATTTTATATTTGATTTAAATATTTGATATTTTAGATTTGGAGGTCATATCTGGCCTCCAAGAAATGGCCAAGATATAAAGTCTATTTTGTCTTTATATCAAAATAGTCTGTATATGCACCAAAGAGACAAGTAATTTCTCAGCCAAATCAAAAAGTAGGTCAAGCTGTAGATTTCACTTTCAGTTTGAAGCATTCACCAACCCAAGTTGAGGGACTCAGCTGTCATACAGCATAATGTAGCACGAGATTAGGTAATATTTATTCATTGCTGTTATATGAATTGACTTTGTTTAGCATTAACTCTTTGATGATGCAAAATATGTCTGCTTGCAGCAGACAATAAAATAATGGGATTACGATGCATTTGGTAATCAAATTGTGTACGCTGCAGAGACAAACATGTGGGAATGTGATGCAGGGGCTTTACTTTCTTATGGCATTTTATCTTTCTATCCCATAAAAATGAAACACAAATATGGGAATAATATGACAGAATATAACTCTGTTTCATCTGACAGCTCAAAGAGATGCAAACGGAGAAAAAACGAGAATTGTAGAGAAAAAAATACCAAGAAAAAAAAAACTATTGTAAGTTCTAAAGTAATACTCTAACAAACTTTGCAATGTAACTTCCCCAAACTGGTGATTTTGCTTCCAACTGGGGTTAGATAAAGACCTTGTTAATTTTTTAAGCAATGGTTTTATTTTTTACTATTTACATCATTTAACATAGCGACTCACTTAAAACTGTGGTGTTTTTATAATTTATTACAACCAATGCCTCCAAGAAATGGCCAAAAACCTTACTGAGATGTTTAAAAAAAACTTGAGCATTTTGGAGTTTGCTCAGTATGGATAATTCAGTGTATAGATTTGCTTGTATGCAACCCGGATTTAATACATCGCTGTAAATGTGTAGAACCACGACTAGTGGGTAAACTAGTCTGTCTTTGCAGGGAAACCCGGTTCGACACAACAAATGAAAAATTGGAATCTAGTAGATTCTTAAGGTTTGTGGCATGCAAACCTCAAACCCTGACAATCCTGTTTAGTGGTATTTTAACTGAATGAGTAGACTGGACCATACTTTTGATTGTGTCCACAAATGCTTAATTCCTGCCATCACTTGCAGGACAAAAAAGCAACAACCCTCTGTCTCCGGATTATGTACCCTCTCTTTTTGCGCATACCCCAACCACTGAAAGGAGAGCCAAGAAAAGAGAAGCAGGGGACAGCGAGGAACCTGCGAAGAAGAGTCGCACCAAATCTAATCAGGTACACATCAAATATAAAAGTGATTTAAAATCGTCGCCATAAGTTTAGAGAAAAATCTCTAAATACTGGCATTGCATTTCAGACTGAAATAATAAGTGCTGCAACTGCACTGCTGGATCTCTCTGGGACTGGACCAAACAGTGGGACAGCGGATGGCAATGATCAGGGGGAAGACATTGACCTGTACGAAGAAGAGGTTTGTCAAGAAGAAGAAACTGGTGTGGATGCTCAGACTGACCTGAGCGGTGCAGATATCGACACTTTGTCATCCGCAGTTCAAAAGTTGACTTCAGAAAAACAACTGCTGACCGATCAGCTAAAGATCATGGACCTCTCCGAGGAATCGTTTAAAGATAATGATGAAAAAACAAAGGTTTACACAGGTTTACCGACATTCGTCTCATTAATGACTGTCATGGATTTGATCATGCCTTGTTTACGGAAACCAAACTCGGCCTTATCACCATTTCACAAATGCTTATTGACATTAATGAAGCTGCGACTTAATGTCAGTATGCTATATCTATCATATGTTTTCAGAGTTCACTACAGCACAGTTGCAAAAACATTTTCTGACGTGATCACCTTTTTAAATATCAAATTAGTTCCTTCTACTGTATTTTGGCCAGAAAGAGATCAGGTAAGAAGTACAATGCCCCAACTTTTTAAAGCTACGTATCCTGATTGTGTTTCGATACTGGACTGTTTTGAGGTATTAACTGAAGGACCTTCATACATGGAAACCAAAACTATAAACAGTTCACATTATAAAAGTCACAATACAATGAAGTATTTAATTTCAGTAACCCCGCAAGGTTTTATTAATTTTATATCCAAAGGATGGGCTGGCCGTACGTCTGATCGGCTGGTAACGGAGAGCTGTGGGTACCTGAACAATCTTGCTCCAGGAGATTCTGTTCTTGCAAACAAAGGGTTTAATATTGAAGACATTGTTGCGCTACGTGGCGCAAAGATGATAGTTCCTGTCATCACAAAAGGTGTCAAACAGCTGCCGCACGGGGAAATCACAGAAGGTAAAAAACTTTTATCAGTTAGAATAAATATGGACCGAGCTCTAGGCAACCTAAAGCAAAAATACCCAATTTTACAGAGCACCTTTCCTATCAAGTTCTTACTCACGGATCAAGCAGTAAGGATGTCAACGCTTGATAAAATTATGAGAGTCACTTGTGGTCTCTGCAATATATGTGACTCTGTGATACCATGTAATTAGATTAACCCCAGAAACTCCTCCACTTAGAAGATTTTCCGAGCTGGAACTTGGCAAAGAATACTTTATGCCTTTGGTATGCCGCAGCTCAATGATCCCTGCATCACAGTGATGTGAGCATACCTGTCAGGTTTTGGGCTTGAGGAAGCAGGAAATGTCGCTGTTAAGGAGACGAACGTAAGAGCGTATTATTATTTATGGAAAAATAATGATAGCCAAAACGGGAGACTTGACAGGTGTGGATGTGAACATATTCATACACCTTGAATTTTTTCACATTTGAATCAAGCTGGAACCACAAATATAGATTTATGTCACAGTTTTTTTTGTTGTTTGTTTCTTTCCTTTGTACTGAGGCGACAATGGATCAGAAGGTAGGAGTTTGGTTGCAACCGATGGGATGCAGGTTCAAATCCCTGCTCCATTTGTCACGGCTGTTTTCTGTAGCTACAACGTAGCTCACCACCATCAGTGAGTGACTGGATGTTGTGTAAGGCGTTTTGTGGTCTTCTGGATTAGATAAAGTCCATGCGTCATTTACCATTCAGTCTTTGGAGCTTGTACTGTGCTCAGGTCGCAGCCAATGGAGATGGGATATCCTAAGCAGCTGGTTGTTGTGGAAACAGATCTCCTGTTTATGCTGCTCTTCACATCAAGGAATAATAACATCATAATTTGTCTCCCTTGTTTTCTGCTTTACTCTCTTTCTCACCATTCCAGGTTTATTTAGGTCTATTCCTGATTGAGGCTTATATTTGAAAAACCTGTGCCTGTTTTATCCTGCACCATGTTCTCAACAGAGCACAGTTCCAACTGTTTTTCTTTTCAGGGTTGCTTACAGTAAATGCCTCATTCTGCTTGAAAGCAAACATAGTCGCTGTTTTGATCAACTGGATCATCGATATTTGCTAAACTTGGACTTAGGAATCGGAGTTAGCTGTATTGGCCAAGATTGTTAAATTTCACTGAGGCCTGAACAATTTAGTGATATAAAACATTATGTCTGTTCACTTGAAATTATTTTACTTTCTTTGACTTTATCAATGTAGGATTGGAGCTTGGGTACTGCATTAAAAATGTTGAATTTTCCCATTTTTTTCATGTATGTGAATAAACTGTATTTTTAACATTCTTTTGTTTTCTTTTTTAACTGCTGCAGGCCTATTCCTCTATCAGTGGATCATCTTAATTGAGCACTGCTTCCGTAAATATAAACCTTATTCGTATTTGATCTCGGATTCATTGCTTTGAGAAGTTAAACTTTTTGTTGTCTTAGCTGAAATTGAAAAGGAAATTGTTCATTTTACCTGTTGCTCAGTGTTAGGTTTTATATTTAAATCATATTTAGGTTTCGGAGCCGTATTTAATCAGAGCGGTAAGGTCTCCCAAATACTTGAACATTCAAAGCTCAGTAGTGACAACGATTTGAGCGATCATTTTTAACTGAGTGACGTAAAGCAACAGTTTCTCTCTGAACTTTGCTCCAGTTTAGCTTTGACTGTTTAAAGCTAGACAGTCAGTAGTATTTTTTGTTTTCTTTCAATTTTAGAGATAAAAGTTACATTTTCTTATGTGGATATGTCTGTTGGATATTATTGCCAGCTCAGAAATGTGCAGACTTGAGCGGAATGCCTCTTCTGTTTTAATAAATTAGCATTTTTAAGCTATAATCTTATCCAGCAATGTTATTTTCATTTTTGTTAAAATTCTAAAAAGGGAACCTTATTATTTCTTTTTGATGTCAATAAAATGCAATCCGAGATTTTTTGTTGTTTGAGTGCTTGATAAGTGATAGCCAAGATACACAGGAGGGCTCTGTGTGGGGGTGTCTAGTCTGCAGGGCCCCACTAGCTGACTGACGAGGTTATATATGGCAAAGGTACTATTTTGGGATAGGTGGAGTTCTAGGAATTATGCAGTCTGGCAGATGGGAACTTCCTGCTACGTAAAGCAGCTATGTAATACTATGATTCAGCAGGGGTAGCTTGTAAACAGTAAACCTATTTACAGTTTTCAAGCTCATTCTCAATACTCATAGGCCTTAAACACGACTTTCATTAAAAACTATTCTCAGGAATTACAACCAACGGGAGCGCAGAGGAGCTGTGCCACAGAGGCTGCAAACATTCCTCATATTGCCATGGGAAACACTTTCCATTTAACAGCTTCTGTTGGAGAGAAGGTGGAGCTCTGTCCTGTCATTTGGTACTGTGGCAAGGTGTTTTATGATTTAACACCAAAACATGTCAACGTTCTAAAATGTTAAAAAAGCAAGACAGATAATGTAAATTTTCTCGTTTATGTGTTTTGTTGCTTTCAGCTACAAGACCGTTGAATTATGACAATCATTGGTACTATATGATTTTATTTTTGAAGTCTTAAACTTCATTTAAATATTGAAGTTTAGTAAGCAACGAAACAACATTTTCAGAATATTTTCATGTATTCGGAAGCAGTTTATTTCAGAATACAAAAAGTAAATACAAACGTATTGCCTTGTGACTTATCAGCCACAAGGAGAAGACCAAAATGCTTCAGATCAACTCTAATGACAATCCTATGGAGGTGGCACAGTCTTTCATCTAGCTGGACAGCATTTTGGACCATCAAGGTGGAACCGACGCAGATGTCAAGGGAAGGGTTGGCAAATCAAGAGTGACATTCATCCAGGTTACAAACATCTGGGCTTTGTTATGGGTTCTTTTTTTTGTATCTCTTATCTGCTTACAAGCATAATCATGTTTATGTGTGACTGCCGCCAGTCATAAGCAAACAGACTGAAGCTGATTAGACTAGCCTTTAGGGAGAGTACAGATTGAAGAGAATAATAAAGGCTAAACTCGCACTACAATCTTTACCTCTCTTGGTTGCATCCCTAAGGTGAGTAAAGTGACACCCGGCGCTGTCTATCTGTTCCATTTGTATGGCGTACATGGTTTGTAACATTTGATCATTTTCCGGCACTAAGGCCTGTTTTTAACCAAATCTCATTACTTCTCAAGGTTCTGGTCAGGACCTGGAACTGGTAAATAAAACTTGGGTGGTGCACAGAGACAAAAATGAATGAACTCCAAGAGCATCCAAAGAGCTGACTGTTCATTTCCAAAGTGGAACCTGGAGGACCAAACAAAACCACAAATAGAACAACCTTTGACACATCAGGAATCACAAATTGAAGAGGTACTGGCAAATATGGAGGACATTGAGCGACGGGGTGTTAGGGCCTTACCAATAAAAATGATAAAATTACGAGACCAAACTCTGTGTTACGAGAATTAAGTTCTACAAGTTGTATTCTACAAGAATACAACTTTATTCTACAAAGTATAAAATACAAACTCATAAAATAAAGTTAATGAGTTTTTCTCATAAACTTTATTTATGAGAATAAAGTTCGATTTTGTCAATATAATATCACTCTCATGAGAATAAAGCCACAATATTGTGAGACAAAAAATTTAATAATGGAAAAAGTCATATTTTGAGAATTTTTTTTAAGTTTACGAAAAAATAAAGCAGTTATGAGTACGCTATCCTTGTAATATTATGGCTTTATTATTTTTTACATTTTCTCAGTGTGGCCCTAATTTGACCTTAAAAAAAAAAAGTTAGTTTGGTCTTTTGAATATATGTTACAACGGCCTGCCATACTCCCACCCGCTTCCCCAGCACATGGGATGGCTGGGAGGCGCTTCACAGCCGCTCCGCCTCCGAGGCGTTTTGGGAAGAAAGGATCACTATCAAGGGACGGTTCTTGAAGACGATTGACCAGCATCAATATATTGATCGTAGTGCAACGGGATTGATACGACCCCACAGGTGCGCGCGCTGCAGGGCTTCAGGATCCGGATGGGGTAAAGGCGCCGCCATCCGTACGCTCTGGAGGGACGTTCAGCGCGATAGAAAAACCAAGTCCTACCAAACGCCTTGTGTTTACACAAGAGCCATCCAAAGCCACGTTTTAGCAGGCGATCTTGAACGAAGTGCAGCGCAGAAAACTTTTAGCTGTTTATCCCGACAGAGGAGTGGAGCAGTCAAATCAGACTGCGCGTATGCGATTACTTTAAATCCCTTGAGGAAAAAAAAAAAAAAAAACAAAGAAAAGAAAAACAGTGCATCGGACACACTTTTGACATTTGGATAACATGGTGAATTGCAGCTGATCGAGCACATGTCGTGCATGCAGCAGAGCCCCGTTGTTGTTGTTGCAAGAGCATAGAGAGCGTGGACATGGAAATCGCTGCAAAGTAAACCCGACGTCGTTCGGACTGGGCTTGCAGGGAATGGTCCATCGGGGATATTTCGGAAAGTGTTTTTAATTCACCTCCCGCCCCTTTCGCCGTCTCGCCAGTTTTGTGGACGGAAGAGTCTGCTGGGTCGACATGGAGAGCCAGGAGGAGAAGGAGAGCAGGGCGGACAAGCGCTTCGCCCTCACTTACGTCGGCTGGTGCTCGCTGGACAGGCGGACCACTCTGCCCATGCTGCCGTGGCTGGTGGCCGAGATCCGCCGGAGGAGCGAGAGGGGCGACTGCGGCCCCGTCATGCAGCCCAGAGAAGTTCAGCTGCTGCTCAACCCCCCCTTCGTGCGCTGCGTCCCCTCCAACAGCAGCAACTCGTCGGTCTTCATCTTCGAGCACAAAGCGCAGCTGATCTCGCGCTTCATCCACAACAGCAATGACCTCACTTGTTTTTCCTATCTGCTGCGGGGCCAGCCGGACAACCCGGAGTCCGAGATGTCCTGTCACGTCTTCAAGGCCTGCGAGCCGAACCAGGTAAGGCGTGCTGAAAGTTTAGGCACACAAGCCAGTGGCGATCCTGGTACGAATGATGCCCTGGGCGAGCCGCGCCATATGCAGCCCCCATTTTCATCCTTTGGTGGTTAAATACACCCGATTTGAATGTCAACATGTAGAACTCATTTAGACGCGAGTCAATGTTGTGATCTATTAATGCATAAATATTTACTCTATGTGTGCCAATGAGTTAGTTCATTCTTGTAATGGTTGAATTACCAGGTTCAAGACAACTGGGGAAATCTGGGAGGTGATGTTCCAGATGTTTAATTGACTGAGCTGAAAAACAACTGCAGATAATTGGCTATTATTTGATGAGATATATTTGTGATCAAGCCGAGGTCAATCACAAAGAAAAGTTTATTGTCATAGCATCAGATTGTAATTATGTCAGTACCACAAACATGTACATTTCTAACTAATTACAATATTTTTATTGTATCTATGCTAAAATGCCGAATCAAGTTCAATGCAATCGTTATTCTCAAAGACATTTTAGATTTGTGTTAAAATGTAGATTCTTACAGAAGGCTTCCCAATGGTTTGTGGAGGAAGAGGCTAATAGTGGCTCAGTTTGCTTATGCCTTGGGCCAGGTCTGCCTGTAGTTAAATGTGTTTCCTTCAGAAACATAATCTTCATCAAACAACAAAAAAAGTCTCCAGAAATTCTGAAAAGTACAAATGAAAATCCTAATCATATCAATGTTTGGAAAAAGTGTTAGTATTGACAGGTAAATACTGATAAATAACCGTAATTAATATTAAATGTTGTACTTTACTGGTGGATGGAAGCAGCACATGATGGTCCAAAGTGTTGCACAGGCTGTAGACTGATGAATAGATGTACGCTAAATAAAGATAAATAAAAATATCTTTTTTTGTGCTTCCAAATAAAAATATACCAATTGCTATTATCTGAAAACAGATCTATCATAATTCATAATTTTCCAAACATAAGACAAGGAAGTGGAGATTACCATGGGGCGACAGACTTTGCCTTTTAATCTCACGCAAACACAGTATTATTTTAACCTTCAGTCCAAACATGTTTATCTTACTATTAAGTATTTAGGCCACTGATTGCAGGGAATAATATTTGGCAGTTAATCCATTCATTGTCCTTTTTCTGTGTAGAAATCTCCCTAAAGTCCAAATAAAGTAACATATGTGCATACACAAAGTTCTTTAAAGAATTTGCCTTAATTGCCTTTTTACACAAACAATTCTTGCAGTATTTTGTCATTCCCCACACGTTTCATAGGTGCTTTTAGATAGCAATAGATATTTCTTTTTTTTTGCCACAAATCATATTCCATCCTAATGAACTTGCTGACAAATCCTCTCTGTAACCCTTCAAAGACCTGAGATGCATAGTTTTCCAACTACATACGTCCGAGAAAAGTGTGGGCATGGTGACGCATATAAAACTGTTTTGCTCGACGCACGCATTTCAGACATTACAACTCTCACTTCTCATTTTGGGATGACTTCATGTGGTGCAAAACTCATTTGTAGGTCAGTGGTTTTTTAAATTTTTTTAGCTTAACTGTATTTTGGGTGTGAAGTGCCACAATAAGCACTAAGGATAAGCTCTAGCTTAAGAATTCATACCCCTTGATTTTTGCCACATTTTGTATTTTAATGGATTGTTGCATGGTAGACCAACTAAAAGTAGTGCATAATAAGAAGGTGGAAGAAAAGTGTCAGTTTTCAAAGCAGTTTGCATGTACAGTGACTGGACATTTTAAATGTCTTGACCGGATTTAGATCTGCACTTTGACTGCGTTTGCACTTTTGGGTCAATCTGACACATAAATAAGCTTCGCTCAAGAGCCATTGCAGTGTAGTGTTTGCTGTCTATCTAGGATTTTTGAAAAATATTTAGGTGAACTTCTCTCAAGAAATCTCTGCAACCTCTGATTTGTTTTCTTCAAGTAAACAGGGAGGTGTGTGATGTTTGTTTCAGTGGTTTACAGCCAAAAAGTTTCATTTAGGTGTCATCTGAACAGAGTGGCTTCTTCCACATATTTGTTTGCCTTCCACATGTCTTGCGGCAATGTTTGCCTGCAAGCTGGATTTTTATGTCTTTCTTTGATTAAGGAATTGCTTTTCTCTCGACACTCTTTCTTAAGTGTCATGTTTGTGGGCTGAAGAGCTCATGCTTGTCCTGGCAACAGATTCTCCCACCTGAGCTGTACATCTCTGTAACTCCTCCAGAGTTACCTTGAGTCTCTTACCCATTTCTCTAAAATACAAAAACTTTTGTATTTATTTGCAGTTATGCAGAAGTTAAATTACACCCAGTTGCTAATTATCTGAACAGAGCTTTTTAGTGGACTAAATAGAAGTACATCTTTGCAATGCAAATTGTACAAATGCAAAATGTTGACATTATTTATGATTTTCCCTAAGAGTCACAGTTCAATGAAACACACTGAGGCTCTCTGCTTGTGTTATTTGTTGCAGATGTCAGCATCCTGTTACTTCTCTTTGTTGTTAGTTTGTATTATCCAAATTGGAGCTGTCACAATCGATGTAGACGAGACATTTCTCCTGAAATCTGAACAGGCACAATATTGAGTCAGCACATTTACATGCTGATCAGCATGCCAGTCTTGAGTAATAAACTGAAATGTTGAAGACATTACAAAAACCAGGAACGTGGGAGTTGGTGTTTGAAAACTAATGTGCTATCTTGCTTTCTTATCGGTGCTGAAAGGCCGTACCGGGTGGTTCGGTCCCTGAGCTTAGGAGTTCACCCCAGCAGCTCCGGTACATGTTAGGATTTTTGTCTGGCTGTAAATTACCTATAAAAAGAATAATAATAATAAAAAAAACAATCATAAGCTTAATGAGCAATTTGCCAGTTTGTTTATGCACATCTATTCATCAGGAAGTTCACATACAATTCCTTCCCAGCCTGCAAACCAATCTGAAGCTTCACATTTGCTCGTGTTTTTCTTGTTCCCCAGTGACGAAGGAAACATTCACAAATAATCTTCACAAACTGATATGCTCGGGTTTTGCGCTTACGTCAAGTGCGCCTGTGTTGTATCATGTTTCCAGTGGTATTTGGAGGGCTTGAGCACAGAGTCACTTTTGCGCTCTAAAATAAGAGTGGAAGTAGTTTGCAGCCTCTCAGCTGAAGTCTACAGTTGGAGAGACATCATGAACATCACTATTATTACGCAACAAAAACTGGTCTGGCCACAGGCAATATCTGAAAGGTGGACTAAGTGTGATGGTCGGGTTTTTCTACCCATATGCCATCGTCGTGCACAGCGCCCTGCTGTGACTATTGTTACTGATTCGATTATCTGCCACGTGTGTCCCCTGTTTATTCAGAACCAGCTTCTTGTGCTTTTGGAAAGCTCCTGTTTTTCTCGGAAAAGTTCAAAGAGACAATGAAATATTGCTGCAAACTTTTAGCTGACAGAGTGGTAGCTGCTTCCAAATCTATTCTTAGCTGAGGACATGATGGGAACTCATTGTGTAAAGCCAGACTGAGGAGTCCTTGCATGTATTAAATTCAAGGGAAAGGTTAAATAAAATAGGGAGAGGCTTCCTGCACAGGCAAACAGCAGATCTGATTTTGCATGCATAAAGAAAAAGCTGAACATTCGGAAATGCCTGAAAGGAGGTTCTGTCTCTATACTTGGTAGGTCACGTGTCAAATCAGGTTTGACTTGAATTTCAACTTTAGCTCTCATGTATAAAGTAAGAGTTTATATCCAATCATATATCTGAGGTGTGTTTCTTTAGGAGTTTTGTCAGAATAACATCGTACTCAGAGATAGACATTCCACTGAGTTTAACGTTTCACCTCCTCAGAATCTCTGAGATTTAGTGTGGAGCTCGAAGCCACAGCTACAAATCAAACTTTGACCTTGTAATAGCATGGTTCCATTATAAAGCCAACAATAGAGAACTTGAGCCTGCCCATCACATAAACCACAAGCTCCTCCGCTTTATAAGTTGTGATCTGAAGTAGAATTGGACCACTGGAGTCTGCATTGATAATCAGACAAAACGGAGGTGGATCTGAACCGTACCTCATGCCTTTGCACATAAGAAACATTGTGGAGTGAGAAAACTAAACCAGATTTTCACAATAGTTAAACTTTGATCAATAGATCAAAGTAAGTAAAATGGGCCAACTTTTAATTACTGCTCTTTTTTTATTGAGACAATAACTGGCTATTAGTCACAATACAATAGTCTTTTATTCATTTTTAAATCACTATCAATCAGAACAAGTAGTTTCTGTGTCTAATTTTCTTACCTGCATTTAGTTGTGCTTTTTGTTCTCATTACTATTTCAATTTTCCAGAGTAATTTTGAGATGATGCCTCATACATTATGAAGAAATTTAGTATTGATGATAGAAAATGAAGGCGATGGCCTTCTGTCACAATATTTAACTCCCAATATTTATACTGCTACATTAGTTGATGACAAAAAAAAAAAACAAAACCTGTTTTGTTTCACACCCATCTTTGTGGATTATGTTGTAATCTTCCACCTCGTGTTAAGGTGACATAAGGGCCTTTCTGTTTTATGTTGGGACATGAATGTTGTTAAATTCGGCTGCCCCGTTTGTCTTGCAGACTCTTCAGTCTGCATGAGGAGTTCTAAAATAATCTGGTCTTATCCAACATAGACAATGACCCTACACATTATCGAGTTGGATTATTAATTAAAAACACCAAACTCACACTGGGAGTGTTTAGAGTACTATTTAGATGTAGTTAAAAACAACAACAAATAAAAACAGTAGTTCGACTGAGTTATGTTGTCACCAGACAATTTGGAAAGTGCAAATCATCTTAAAAATGTAGACATTGCTGTTCTTCTGGATAAATCATAACATTTCTAGTAGAATTCACCTTGGAGACATTTGGTCACCACTATCAGCACTACTTATTGAAAACAAGACACTCTATGTGAAAACAGGCACCTTATACCAGCTGTCAAACAAGGACCTGAAGACCTGAGGATTTGGGTTTGTTTTGCAGCTTTGTACCAGAGGTCTTTGCCGTGATTGAGTCAACCAGGAACTCCTCTGTAGATTGAATTATTTGGCAGTCAGACGCAAAGCAACGGCTGACGTTTCACTGAAACAGAACAATGCCCTGAAGCAAGGCAGCAAGTCCGTAGCAGAAAACGTATTCAACCCCATTCAGCAGGGTTTCATCGAACAGACATGGAGAGCTCCATGTTTCCTTCTGCTTGAAAAAATGTGAAACTGTGGCTGAAAGTGAGTGGCGAATTGGCCTTTGCATAAAGATGTCCATGGATTCTAACTGCGGAGTTGAAAGCTTGCTGGGGTTCATGAAATGAGTTAACCAACGTTGACTTTTAACTTGGTAAATATAACATTTGGACACGGTCCGTGGGCTCAAAACGTAACATATTTTCTGTGGTAAAGATGAGCGCTGTCTGACAAAATACTTTAAAAAGATAAATAAAAATCTCCTTTGAAGAAAATGTTGGTACTCTTTCACCAGCTGAAACAACTGAGAAATATGGAGAACTAACAAAGTATTGAAAAATTGGATTATTTCAGCTCATGGCTAATAAAGGATCTCTTTATGCTGTTGAAGGCATTGGTTCTGCAATTAGACTTGGTGTTTATTGAATAAGCATGGCACAATGTAGTGTTTTATGTTTGTATTTGGAAAATATGCAAAGAACCATGTTTCTTTTTGTTGTTTGTTTTAGTTTTTATTGCTTGTTTTGAACTGTTCATTGAATGTATGTTCTTGTGAAAGAGAAGCACATCTGCAGAGTTGGAAACAGTTTAGTCTTTTTTTGTGACATGAAGGTTGCAGCCTTGGCTCCTTTATAATATACCCAAAGCCTTTAAAAATAAAAGTATCTTAATTATCCTGGATCTCAAATACAGTTGAAAATATACATTTTTTTTTCATCTTTTATTCCCAGTTTTATCAAGGACTTCTAGTTGAAATGTTTAGGAGATAGACAGTCCAAGTGTCTTTTGTTTTTTCATGCTTATTGTGTATCAACCCAGTGATAACCTGTATTTTTATAAGAAATCCAACTTGGCTTGTCCGAAGAAACCATGGATCAGTGTAAATGATCTCATATTATTACAACTGACTGTGGGGAGGTCATAGTATTTCACCTCGCAATCCATCCACGCATGTAATGTTTGCTTTTCTTCTGGACTGTAAAAGCCGGGCTTCACTGCTGCCGTTTATGTCGACAGTCCATGCTCACACCCAACATCAGTGTTATGGTTCCACAGATCCAGGCAGAAATGGGTGAAAGTTAAATCAGCTTGACAATGAGTCATTATGGGGGTTATATTTTAACCGATTTTAAATGGAAAAAAGCCAATGCCAAGTCTCCTTCTACCTGGAACAAGCTGCTTTACGGGCTCTATTTTGGGTAGGTTATGAATAATTGATAAGCCCAAATGGTGCTATGGTGTCATCTTATCCATGCATAGTAAAGCAGCTTCTTAAAATCCTAAAATGGTCCAGTCATGTTCCCCTTGGGGTTTACAGAGACAGTGCTGCTTTGATTGAGTGAGGTCTTTGAATTGATTGGATCCAGAGGTGTCTGCTGTCCACTCTGTCAGACCAAAAGTTGCCATCTTCATTTCATGTTGCCTTTTGGTTTTTTTTGTTTTTTTTGCACCGTTGACGACCAGTGTCAGGAAATTGGCTTCTTAAGCCTCACAAGATGTCAAAGAATCATTACAAAGCAGTTTTGAAATGCGCCAGAAAGATAATTACAGACTTCTTTTGAGAAAATCGCTTAGCAAGCATGTCCGACCACCCCTAACTTTCTTCCTAGTTTCTACATCTTGTCACCAGCTTGGCACAGATCAGCTTTTGAAATTTTTTTTAACCCTTGCAGCCGGATGTAAGGCACAAACTCCCTTTCCCTTTCCTTGCAGAAAAATGACAAGGAATCTTGTAAGGATTTCTTGATGAAATCGGTCAAGTGTTTTGCAGGATGTTTTTGTTTCAATCCCAACCATCCTCTTCCTGTTTTCCTTCCATTTCAATTTGATGTGTCTTATTGTTCTAGTCTCACCTTAATGTGTTGTTATACATTTATAGATTACACAAATCCACTGTCTTGGCTCCCAATACTGTGTATTAATTTTTGATTTTGGTCATTTTTTTCTTTATCTTGTATAGATACAAAGCAAAGCAAATGTCTCTTACATTTGCAGACATCCCTTATGAATTTCTCTTACAAAATGTATGTTTTCCGTGTTTATATTGTTTTTTTTTTCTCCTGTATGAATGTTACCAGGCTGCTCTGAGTGTATTGATAGCACAGCCTCTTCCTCTAACACACTGCTGCACAAACAGGCTCACCTTCAGATCTCTGGTTTCTTCCAGCCCTCTGTTTTGTCTTCAGTCCAGTAACGCATTGATTTTTCCATGACTCCTTGCCTATTTCTTTTGGAGTTCAGCCTGTTTGTTTGAGCCTTGTTTTCCACCGAGGCGTTGGTGTTTTTCTTTCTTTCTTCTTGATGCATCAAGTTATTTATTGTGTGAAACGAAATTGCATTGTTTGTTGTGCAAAAATAGTGTATGAAGTCAGGAAATGTCATCTAAACATAGTTTTAGTGATTCATGTTGACTTTGGTTTGTGTTTTACTCAGTAGAGAAAATAAATGAATATAGTTTCCCTATTTTCCATCCGATAAAATAAATTTTTTTAGGCTTTAACTTCATTTTCAAATCTTTTTGAGTTGGAAAGACATTTATGTCTCTCAAATTTTTTGTGTTTCAACCATAAATTTTATTCATATTTTCTTGTGATTTTATGAATTTAAATTAAATTTTTTAAGGTCTCCTCAGTCATAATCCGGTCTCATTCCACTGTATTTACTCATAGGTCCCAGAGGTAATCAGCAGCATTCGTCAAGTGTCCAAATCGGCTCTGAAGGAAGATGCCAAACCCAAACAGGAAGCCGACGAGGCGTTCTACAACTCTCAGAAGTTTGAAGTGCTTTACTGTGGCAAGGTAGCTCCCTGAAACAATAGTCGTACATTTTCATGTTTCATGAACTTCAGGTGAAAGTTGTCTTATCTTTCCGATTTAAAAAATCCAGGTCACTGTGGGCCACAAGAAAGCTTCATCGACCCTCATTGATGACTGCGTGGAAAAATTTCGCCAACATGAGACTGAACGTAAGCGCCTGCGCCTCCTCAACGGTCAGCGAGGGTCTACAGAAACCATCCCGGTGGATTTGCTCATTGCTGGAGATGGGGACCCGCTTTTCACTTCCCTCAGCAGAACTACAGAGGAACCGGAAGCTCCAGAACTAGAAGAGCTTAACACAGGTGAAGGGGAAGAAAACAATTAAGAGCCCCTGGTCTTTAAATCACACGTTTAAGAGAGAACTCAAATCGGTTTGAAGTGGGATTCTGTAGGGTAGTTGTGAGATGGCAGTAACTTATGAACACATTTACTTTATATTTCTGCTAGGAAATGCATTTATCTCAAACAATTTCTCTGATTAATTATGCTGAACATTTTCCATGTAGTTTATTACTGATATCTGGTCATGTGAGTCATCATAATTAACAGCCGTAGGCCGATGTGATGCTGGCGCTTTGAGTTTTTTGTTTTGAGCTGAAATCTAGTTATGTAAGCTAATAAATGTTTGCGTCACTAAAATTCAATCTGTGCAGGCGAAGTTCACATTTGAGAATGAACTCCTGTGGGGACTTTTTTGATGTGGAGTGTCATTATCTTTTTCAGTTGTGGCCTTTATTGTTTGGGAGGAGAACTGCAGTGAATTAGGACAAAAATAAACACAGGAAGAGATTTTAAGACCTTTAGTTTAGTCAGTTTGTTTTATTCTGAGCATGTATAACATGTGGAGTAATTTAATGTTTTCAGGATCCACAGTGTTTGCTGCTAGTATGTTTAGATGATCTTACTCTCATTTTGTGCTGCGGAGGTAATTGGTAAATTAACCAGATAGTTACATGATTCTATAGACAGGAGCTGGTTCAAAAACACTTGATTCATTTTTACTTTTAAAGTAGCAGAAGATGGGGCTGATGAAAAGGGTTTGATAAAATACTCAAGTTGAAAATGTAGTACTTACATAGTCTGAGTTGCATTTGCATAAAAAAGAAAATTGCTGAGCACTTATCATCAAATCAAGGCCAGGCGTTTCCATGCTAAAACAAACATTCTAACAGAAAAGCAACATGTTTAAACACAGTGAAACCTGTCTGATTGGTTGCAAATCAAGCCACTCTTTGCAACAAAAAATACCCAAGAGTAACATCTAAAGGCTGAAGGAAAAGGTCATCTTTACCTAAGCAATAAGTCAAGTGAAGTTTCTCTTTTTCTGATCCAGGTAAATGTCTGCCCAGCAGCGCCAGTCAGAGCAGTCTGCGAGGATCCTTCCCCGAGTGCATCCTGGAGGACTCTGGGTTTGAGGAACCTCAGGAGTTTCGCACGCGCTGCAGCAGCCTGGCTGGAAGCCTGCAAAGGAAGCCGGGGGAGGGAATCATCATGGGTCCCACGCGTCGCAGACACGCCAGTGCGCCGAACAACGTCCAGCCGTCCGATTCTGACAAGAACCGCACTATGCTGTTCCAGGTAAAGAATACAAAATTCAAACAGAAGTTCCTTTGATTTGAATGATCTGTAAAAAAGCTCAAATGCATCTTTGCAAAAAAAAAAAAAGATGCATTTTTGCATTAGGGCATTCGTCTCGTCATCGAATCTCTCTGCATTCAGGCTGCTCAGTCTCACTCGACTGCCAAGTCATTTCCGTGCTCCCGCGCCAGGCAGGTGTAATGTACAGCCTTAAAACATTTCTGCTCCTGCTGGAGTTGGAGGCTGTAACTCCCGTCTGAAATCGCTGCTCCTGTGTAAACTCAAAGCCTCTTTATTTAAAACATGTGGGGCTGCAGCGCAAGCCAGCTGCCATTCCTCAAACATCGTGCCCATTTCCTCATGAGGCTAATTTTAAAAACTGGAGCACAACGCTCAATATGATACTCCACACAGCGGTCAATTATTGGAAAAACCATTGGCCGGCTGTGTGGTTGGCCTTGATTCAGAGTCAGCGTGGTTTTTTTTCTGCCCATCAACCAGCCATGTAGCATCATGTGATATTTTGATTTGATCTTTTTACATGTCCTTAAAATCATAATCAGTCAACAGATGTTAAACAATATAATTTAATTCGTTTTTTTCTTCAAAAAGCATCTTGAGATGTTTTGTAGGTTTTGCTTTATAGTGTATAAAGAGTTAATGTTAACTTTAATGGCCAACGTGGAATTCTTCTTTTGCCTTTTGACAACTTTGCTTTATTTGTAATGACGGTGCTATTTCTGAGAGTGTACTTGAAAATATTATTTGTTCTTTAACCACATTAAAATCATTTCCATTTTGGAAGGCCATGAGCAGCAATTTAAACTTTTTTTCTATGTAAGACAGTGTAATGAGAAAAGCTTTAAAAATTTGGCAACTTTGACTGGAACATTTTGTAAAAGTCAGTAAAGTTAGTTTGCAGCAATCACAAAAAAACATCGGCACATTCTGGGGGGACTGGCTATTGGCAGATTGAAGCAAAATTGTTCTTCTGATTGCATGCAGAACGACGTGTGTGGTGGCAAAATAACATTGCATGTCACCCTGAAGGTGCCACCCCCTTCTTGAAATATGGGGATGACAGCATTATGATGTGTGGATTTTTCAGCAGGTTGCTAAATACAGAACAACCCCAGAAGAGAACCTGTTGGAGGCTGCAATAGAGAGGGGGAGAGCTTCACCTTCTAGTAAACATGCAGTCAGGGCTGCGATGGAATGATTCGCATCAAAGTATATTCATGTGATAGGATTAATAGGGAAGCTTTTCATTCAACCTGGTTGAACTTGAGCTGTTTTACAAAGACAGATGATTCTAGATGTGCAAAGCTGGCAGTGTAACCCGAGAGACTTGGAGAAAAAGTATGAGCTCACTGGGCCAAAAGGCAAAAATAGCTGTTGCAATGTTTTCCGTCCAGTTAACTTCCATGCCACACTTTTCTGTTGGGCAATCAAAACCACAATAAAACACACTGAAGCTAGGACTTGAATCAGAGTGTTCTACCTTTAAGTGCTTTAAATGAATCTGTATTTATATGTTTTGCACAGGTTGGACGTTTTGAAGTGAACCTCATTAGTCCAGACAGTAAAACAGTGGTGCTGGAAAAGAACTTCAAAGAAATCTCATCCTGCTGTCAGGTTGGTTCATTTTTCTGTCTCTCATTATTTACACAGGAAAGCCTAATTTTTATGTTTATTTTATTTATTTTTTTTGCTGCAGTTCCAGATTTTGAAAAGAGTAACTTAATGCAGTACGATGAGCCAAGCCACAGATCAACTTGGACTTTTGTTTGTCATTTAAACTGACAATGAATTAACTCTTTATCTGTGAAATACTTTGGAAATGTGGCCCTTTTTTCATATGTATTGCATTTTGAATGCATCGAAAGAGGCTGCTATTATGAGCTAATGGACAGCCTTGGGGTTTTGGTAATTTACTGATAAAATGGGACGTGGCTGAACCATTATGCTTCACTCTGTACTGCAGTTGAATGATCATTAGCATATTGAGAACATACATTTCAAAGTAGTTCTGTTTCTAAAACGATTTTTCTTCTTCGCCTCTGTCTTCAACAGGGCGTCAAGCAGACCGATCATTTTGGATTTATCTGCAGGGACCAGACGGAGTCCGGTCCCAGTCAGTACATGTGCTACGTCTTCCAGTGCGCCAATGAGTCGCTGGTGAGTGGCACGGGGTGATGTCAGTGGGAATTACACCGAAGCGCAACAGGTGAAGAGCTTGTGTTTCTGTTTATGTATCAGGTTGACGAGGTGATGCTGACCCTGAAGCAGGCCTTCTCCACCGCCGCAGCCTTACAGAGCAACAAGACCCCGGTGCAGCTCTGCGAAGCGTGCCCCATGCACGACCTGCACAAGCTCTGCGAGAGGATTGAGGGTAAGCCCCCGTGATCCGAGCAGCACACCCCGTCATCCCTCCGCGTCCCCGACTCCTCCCGATGATCCGCACGTTAATGAGTCTGTTTCTTAGAGCGCCTTTTTCTCTCCGCAGGTCTTTATCCACCCCGAGCAAAGCTCGCAATCCAAAAATATCTCTCCCTGTTGACTGATAATGAGCAGGCAGAGATTTTCGAGCGAGTTCAAGTAAGCGCACTCTCTCCTGTTGCCATAAGTGACACATTAACGGTTTTGGGTGAGAGCTGCTCAGGTTTTCACAGCTTCCTTTTACTGGCTTCAAAGCGCACCGTCTTCTTGTTGTCTTCTTTTAAGGTGTGTGGGTGTGTGTGTGTGTTTCTCCAGAGACTGAAGCCTGCATCTGACCAAGAGGAGAATGAGTTGGCGATCATGTATCTAAGGCAGCTCTGTGAAAGCAAACAGAAATCTCATCTTCATATCGGAGAAACCCCTCAGGTAACCGCTTCATGCTGAAGAGGATCTGAAAACTTGTTATTTAAACCAGTGAACTTTACCCTCATTTATGCTTGTTGGCAATTTCTAACATTTTGTGTTCATTAGGTGGACTGAATGGTTTTCAGTGAGTCCAATAAGCTGTGATATTTGAAAAGAAGTGTATTATTTAGCATTTATGTCATACACATTTTTCTTTTTTTTTTCTAAATTAAAGCACAGAAAAGAAATTCCATATATTTAATCAAAAGAATTTAATCGAAGAATCACAAGTTGTGAAAGTGGGTCTAAAATGTCCCATGGCAGACGCATCATTTTTGTGCTTTACTTTTTCAAAAATGTGAAATCCACAGATGTATAATGACTGATACACAAAACCTCTTATAAGGGCTGTTCATGTCTGAGATCAAGGACTTAAAAATATAGACTGGGATTTTTAAAGAAATCTCTCACTGATTATTGTAACGCAGCAACCACACATCATAATTCTTTAAGGGAATCACTATAAATGTTTTAATGTTTTTATTTTTTGTTTTTAGATTCAGGCCATCAGTTTTATACCAACAGAAGACAAAAGGACAGGCAGAGTGATTTAACAGGGCTCACACTTTAGACATGTATTCAAAGCATTTCAGAGTCAGAAGAAGCTTTGAGTATTCACAGATGCTTAACAAGTAAACCTGAGAAATGTGTCCCAAAGAATCATTAACCTCACACATAACGGCGACACATTGCTTGTCAAAAATCCATCAATGATTCATTGGGATTGGGATTGATTTTCTTTTTGCCACAGAGCTGCACTTTTAAAATAAAGAAGTTGTTCCCTTTTCCTCAACTGATTCCTGAAAATAAAAATACAGATCATCTAAACGTCCCTTTTAAAGCTAACAGAAAATATGAGGTTTTGACGAGTTAAGACTAAATTAGAACGCTGCAAATAATCTATCAGTTTTAAATGTGTAGCACTGTCTTTCATCTAGCCAAATCTTTCTGATGAAAAAACAAAAAACACTGCCTCCAGACATGGCATCTTTTTCTAAGTTTATTTCCTGGTATTATTTTAGTTTTATCTAGTAAATGCAGGAGAAACAGATAGGAATATTATGGGGTTCACAAAACTACTTCCAGTTCCTAGAAAAAGGGCCCTGCAGTGGAAACTCAAAAAGAACGAGATGGGCAGATTTTCAGGAAATCTAACTCATGACTATCTGTGTTTTCCACAGCTGATAGTTTTTTTTTTTTTTTTTTTAACGAAGTGGAAAAGTTCAGGGTATATCCACTCATAGCTTTTTTGCACAGCTGACCGGCAGCTTCCAGCAACAGAGAAAGGAGAAAATAGATTTTTTTTACACCACTAGCTTAGAGAACGTCTTGCTCTGTCCGTCAGGTATTATTAAGAGAAGCCCTATTACCAACCATCGAGTCACACACCTTTTAATGTTACTGTTGACAAGTATCCTAACCCTTATAAAAAAATAAAAACAGCACTAAGCTTTGAAACTTGCAGACATTCCCTTATGTTTGGGAAAAGTTTCTGTTAAAAATGTTTCTAAATCTAGAATTTAATTGAATTTAGTCTGTAAAGTTTGGAAACTTTCGAAATGCTGGGCATAAAAAAAAAAAAAACTAGAAAAAAATGGAGTGGATGTTAACCTTGGCAACTAACATTTGCTTCTCACTTTTACACGTCTGATGCTTTTCTTACCTAAAACGGCCACCGTTCCCACATCATTTAATGATGATTTTCCTGATGTTCTGCAGAATGCAACAAACAGCACAGCTGCAGGAGACGGCTCAGCCACCGGCAGTCGATTCAAACTTGATGTTCTCAAGAATAAAGCCCGCACATCCCTCACCAGCTCTCTGGAAAACATCTTTGCCAGGGTAGGAATAAGTAGAGTTTTTTTATTTGTTATTTTTAGTTCAATCCTTCCTCTTGTTACATATTTTCTCTCCAAGTCTTCTGTTTCTTCAATTGCTCTGCACCTGATTGAATGTAGCCACCTTTGTTTTTTTTTGTTTTTGGCCCCCACCCGGCTCAGTCTCTGCTTGTTTCTGTGTCGCGCTCATCCAAAGGGATTTGGATTGACCCATATCTGCCAGTGAGACAACACAATAATTCCTTAGTGAAGGGATCCAGGCATTCAGAGAGTCTCTGCTGCCATCTGTTATTATCTCTTAGACCTTAGGTCAACAACCGCACTGAATGCTATCAACTCTGAAAACATCTGCCCTTGTTGTGTCTTCCCATTTCAGATTTTTCTTACGACTGTGCATTTCTTCGATTTTTGGCAGTTTTATCCTTAAGAATTAAAAAGAAAACAGTTACGTCATATTAACCCTAATTGTTTATTTTATCAAACACTTGTATCTTTTCGCACCGTGTCTCACGTTGTCCCTTGATATCTGTCACCAGGGTGCCAGCAGAATGCGGGGCCGCTTGGGAAGCATGGGAAGCATTAGCAGTTTCGAAAGAGTAAGTGTCCTTGAGAGAGAAACTTGAGAATTCCCAGAGCGTCTATCAGGGGATTCTGGGAATTCCCACTTCTTTTCTTTTCTTTCTTTTTTTTTTTTCAACCCGCCAGCTTATTAAATCCTATTATAGTGCAGCTTTGCCATGAGCATCAGAACTAAGTGTTGGATTTGCTTTCTCTCCGGGGCTCTTCGAACTTGAAGACGCGATTTTGCTCCGCATTGTTTCCAGATGCCTTTCAGATTAAAGGCCGCTGGCCGAGAGGCCGAGCTGTACGGCTGACCGGGAATGTGTATACGGAGGCGTCAGCGAGCTGCTTGTAACTAGCGGCTGAATTTTGTTGCCGTCATGCAGAATGTGAAGAGAGTATGAAACAAAGTCCCGTTTGCCCGTCAGTGTGACGTTAAGAGGATTTTGTCCGTTTAGCACAGGCCTGCTGCAGCTTTCAGGACTCGCATCGAGGTTGTAAAAAGCATTCAGCATGACTCGATCAAACCACAGATACAGGATCGTTACTGCTGACCTAATTAATTTAATCTCAAAATAAGCACTTAAAGCTATTAAATGATCAGATACATATGAAGAGAGGATATAAGTGAGTCGTAGTTTTTTTTTTTTTTCTTGAATTTATGACGTACATTTTAAATGTGTTTTAGTTGCACATAATGTTAAAGTATTTGCAAGTGTTAAAGTAGTTCAAAGCCTGCAGCTTGTTCTAATAAATATGACTTTATTTGTGCATGCAGGCCTTTGGTCACACTAGTCCTGATCATTTTTAAACGGTTCCTTCATTTCTGGAAATACCTGAAGGGTCTACATCAAGAGTGTCCGTTTGCGGCCTTCCGAGCAATTTTTAGGGGATCCATTCGAGAACGGGTTCATTAGAATCAAAATGGTAGTTGCAGTGCTGAACAACGGCATCGCTGAGTTGAGTTTTCCTCCTGGTGGAGTTTGTTCACCAGCGGGAGAACGTTTCTCAGAAATCTGCAGAATAATTCTCGGCAGTATCTCCAGAAACGCAGCAGAGCCTCCACTTCAGATCTGTCGATGTGACCCAGTTTGCCTTCTGCTTCAAACTCTTCATATCATATTTAGTAAAACTGGAGCTGCTGGGTTGAGGAAATTCAGACTCCATTCATTCTTTTATCGTTGCTGCATATTTTCTACCTTCTCAGAATCTGTGAGCCTCCACAGATTTATTTTAGTTTTTGCCTTGCATACTTCAGTCAGATTTACTGTTCCTCAGAAAAATCCTTCGTTACCCAGTAGAAGACAAAAGAAATGCTTTCCCAAGTAATGTTGTGCGGGTCAGATAAACCTGTTTGCATCGCAAATAGATTTATGAGGTGCTTTGCGGAGCGCCTCACGAGGATGGGATGTACAAGCGAGCAGGAAACAACGCTCAGGATGTCCATTTGTACTTCAGCCGAGATCCGTCTGTCGCATTGTCTGCTCAGCCTCATCATGACACAAAGAGACACGGGGAGTGAGTTTCTGTTTTCTGCCTTATTAAAGGGCAGTTTATTGTGCAGTTCTTGCTCTGCACTGAACTGGAAGTGGTTTGTGTTCATAGATAGGAACTGACAGCACAAATGTCACTGCATGTCCAGCGTGGTGACAGGAGTCGAGAGGGAGGTCTCTGCCGGCAGGCGGGAGCAGATTGGAGGGTTTTCGTGCTGACTTGCTACCAGTGAGGTCCTCCCCACCAATCGTGTGCGATGCTCCGAGTCATAGGACATCATCCATTAGAATACAATAGATGTGGGAGTTGTACCAGCAGGCATGAGGCACAGAGTTCAATAGTGGCGAGTAGAGAAGTTTAGCGTGGAGTCAGTTTGATCGTGAGGAAGTAGGTGAGTGCAGATTTTATTTCCAACTTTTTTATTTTATTTTTTTGTGGGTTTGTGTCACTATGCAGAGTATTTTGGCACATCTGCAACTTCAGTGCGGCAAACACGCACCAACATCTTGCATTTTGTCCTAACCAGCAGGATGAGGAGTCTCCTGGTCACTCCCCGCCAGGTTCTCCTCCCGCCTTCCCAGACGACGAGCTGGAATTCGGGCCGCAGTTCCGTCGGCGTGCTCACACCTTCAGCCACCCGCCGGTGAGGAAGCGCATCTCTTTCGAGAGCCAGCCGGCCAACCAGACCAAACAGGCGCCGCTCCGCAGGCAGCACTCCGTCAACCCAGAGCTGCTGCAGACCAGGTAAAACACCTGAAACAGTCGGTCATTTTGTGCATTATTTTTTTAGACCATTAATAAAGGAAGATGAATTATTATTATTATATATATATATATTTAGCAGGTTTAGGAATGAATCTTTTGAACATTTTGCAGTTTTCTTTTGACATGAGCTGTTGTGATTAGCTTTGAGATTTAGTTGATTTTTTTTAACAGTTAATCTCCCTAATCACTTTAAAACTAACAAAATATTCCGCTGACCTTTTGATTCCTGCACACACAATGTAATCTATTTGCAGCACTTTCATCAGTCTAAAATCTGCTCCCCTTGTCCCCCTGCTGTCCTCTGAAACAATAGATTCACTGGTTTCCTGTCAATGTTTTGGACCCACATGCATTTCTCACTGTTTTCTTTTCCTTTATGTAATGTTTGTTCATTATTTAATTTTTTTGTTGTTGTTTGTTTTCATTTTATTTGTGGGCGTTTCACGCCGGGCCCGCCCAGTCACGTGGCCGTGTCCCGAACGCGCAGCATTTCCGAGGGGGAGTCCTCCTTCAGCCTCCCCTCCACCTTCTCCGCTCCCACTTTCCTGAAAAGCTTTTACCAGGGTTCGCTGGGCTCCCTGACGGACAGTGGGAGCTTCAAGAGGTGAGCGGGGAGGAGGGGTATTTGGACCAACCGCCCCCCTCCCTTGCATAAACAGACAGCTGATGATGAAGACTATGACTTCTATGGGATGGGAACAGCTGACCTGTTGCTGGGATGGCAGTAGCCATAATCCGTGTTGGCTGAATCTTTGTAACTCGCAGCTCTACCATCCAGTCTCTTTTTAACTGGATAGTAGAACTTATTGTTCTCGTTTCCTGGATTTCAAGACTTTTCTCTCTTTTTTTTTTTTAACCCACCTCTCGGCTCTGCAGATGGACTGGCCTTCTTCCCGTTTAGAGCGGGATGTTGATACATCCTCCTTCTGTTTCATTTGCATGTGCATCTAAAGCTTTTTGCACGACAAACTCCTGCGTGTTTCACCGAGATGAACGAACGTCATTAACTACATTTCATTCTTCTGACGTGACGGTACTTTGCAAAAACACCACTGAGGCTTTTTTTCCCAGACTAAAACAAAATGTATTTTATTGTAATTTTTGTTTTGTTTGTTTGTTTGTTTTTTGTTCTTCTGATAGACCAACACAAAACGTCACATTTTTGTGGTAATGGAAGGAAATTAGTAACTTGTTTTCAACCCTTTTTCGCTAGTAAAAAGGGTTGAAACTGAGATACGGAGTCAATTCGTGTTCATTCCCTGTGACCAATACTTTCTTTTCAAATATGGCTGTAAGTTATTTTGGATTGTCTCTACCAGCTTTATCTGATAGGAATCTGTCGGGAAAATTCACTGATGAATGAGAGTCAGTTGGTGATAAGGTTCTACAAATCTATAAATTAGTGGAAATACAAATTTTCAAATCATGTTTATAGATAATTTTTAGATCCCCCCTCTTTGCCCCTCCACCATGTCAGGCAGGACAGCGCCCCCTATGACCCAGCTGCCACTGCAGCCCCACAACATAACACCCTCACAGTGCATCACCACGAAGTTGGTGACTGCGTTTTACTTCTTATTTCCAAAGTTCGGTTTCGTTCTTATCCACCTTCTTCTATCCGTTTGCCATGCCTTTGGGCTTTACATCGGCTTCATTCAACAATGACTTTTTTTTTTCTTCCAGAAAACTCAGATCAGAGGATTACATGACTAATACTTGTCCCATCACCAGATGGGCCTCGTCCAGGTCCGTTTTAGGTTTGCAGCTGTAGGCTGAGTCTTCATGATTCCTTAATATTCTCTATGACCTGTCATATTTATGCTAACTTTAAATCACATTCAGGTGAATTCCATTTATTAATGACGTAAATTTTTAAAGCAGACGGTTGCGCTAGATTTTATGTAGAGGCATCAGAGTAAATCACACCTTTCTCATTTTTATTTGTAGGATATATTTCACACCATATGCCACTTTCCTTCCACTTCACAACAGTGTAGCACTTTGTTGTTCATCGGTACCATAAAACACATTGAAGTTTTTGGTTTTAACAAAACAGGATGCAATGGTTTTTTTTGTTTGTTTTTTTTTTTTGCAAGATGCTGCACAATTCAAAATCTAACAAGCTTTGCAATTTTCTTCTTTTTTTTTCTTTCTCATTTTGGAAGGTTGTCGTCGGTAACCTTCGTCTAACCAACGAGTGTTTGGTTTGTCAATGAAAGCAGGATAGACCTGGGTGTGTCTGAGAAGTGGCTTCTGCCTCCTCAGATGTCTGGAAGGCAGAAAGTAAAGGTCAACATTTTCATTATAGATGAGATGCAGCGCAGCGGGCCGCTGTGTTGCGTTACTTCCCTGGAGGTGTTGTTTGCTCTCTGAGCAGCCAATCTTCACGGCAGCTTCCAAAGAATCAAGACGAGCTTTTATTCTTGACCTGCGTTGCTCCCAGATTATGGATCAGATATTTCACCCTTGGTTTTTGAATGTGCTGAATATGACTTGTCCGCTCTGAGGTTTTCTTTCTGATTGTGTTTTAAGACGACGCCCTGCTTGAGTTAACGACAGAGAAACATTAGAGAAAATGTGTCAAGGGAAGAATTTTAAGGAGTGACTGGGGCATGCATGGCCAGATTGTTTGTGTCAGTGACATTAGTCTTGTGCCAAGGTCACTTCCTGTCTCCCATTGCTCACATGTTCAGGCAGGTTTTTATATTCTGAGACTGGTTTTTGATTGCTCAAGCATTTTGTGACTATCAGCAAGAGGTGGAAGTAATTATTTCTCTTTGTTAATTTTCTTTTTAAGTTTTGGAAGTCAATGAGCTGTTTAACCTTTCCCATTAAGGGCTTTAGTTATTTTGAATGTTTGTCGCTCTTTGAATTCATTCTTCAAAAACCTTATAGTGTCAAGAAAAATTATTTACAATGTATAAGATTAAATAAAGAAACAAGAAACTTGACATTTAACATTTTTAAATGTATTTGCGCAGAGTAAATATTGTGCAAATAAATTCCTTCATTTCAATAAAAGATGCATTATGGCATTCAGTTCGAACATTTGACCAGGCGCACACTTTACAGGACCTTCCCCTATGTTTTTTGCTATGCCAAAGACCTCTCCCTTCCCTCCCATGGTCTTACAGGAATGGATTCATAAAAGTTTTTATATAGTCTAGTAACCAGGATTGTGAAAGTTTGCGTCTACCCACTTCTGTCAGACTGTCTAGATTGTATTTCTACAGCTGCGATGTCTGCAAACAGGTTGTGAATGTAAAGCTTTTAAGAAACTCTCATCACTGGTCTCTTCTCCTTCGCTGACAATCACCTTCTTTTTCAGAAAGAACAGAAATGCATGCGCCTCAGCCGTGCCCAAAGTCTCTTCTGTTTACTGCTGCTTCATTAACACGGACACTGGGGAATCGGTGTGTGGCTACTGCTTTTTCGCAGGGTTCAGCTTCACCACTTATGAACTGAACTGTCCAGAAAGCCGGATGAGTTTTCCTGTTGTGCGTGTGTTTGGTTTGTGTCTGCCATTACTGGAGGGGTTGAAGAGAGTTGGCGTAATGTGACACCTGACCCCTTTATCAGGTGTCTCTAACACATCTGTCCTTCCTTGTAGCAATGGAGAAGGCAGAAAAAGGACGCTGTCAAGCTGCAGCAACGACTCTCTGAGCGGAGGTCTCCATCTGACCCCACGCAGGGTCTCCTGGAGACAGAAGATCTTCCTGCGGGTCGCCTCACCCATGAACAAGCCATCTGCATCTATGCAGGACACAGGTGTGGTAACATAATCCTTTAAGCTGTTCTACAAGGAATCATTATGTGCAACATGTAATCGGTGTCATTTGCTCTAATGAATCTGACCAATGTGCCGACAGGAAACTGTTGCATCATGAATATTGTGTGCAAATGTTGTCGCTAGAGTTATTGAAATATTTGTTGCCATTTCACTCAGTTTCACATCAGTTCTCTGAGTAGTGCCCAGAAAATGTTTTCTGCAATACAAAAGTTCTGATTTTAAAGAATATTTTGTTTTGCGTCTCGGTGAGATGTCCTTTTGTAAATCAATATGAAATGAAATATAAATAAATTTCTAAAACTTCTAAATTTGATAAATCTGCACGTGTTTTTAAAGACTGCAATAGTAATTCCAGTTGAATAAATGAACCACAGCAGACGTCTTTGCAAAAGATTATACATTAATGCAGTAACTACTGACAAGGAGTTAACTTTCCTCCCTCCCCTTCAGTGTCTCTAGCCACTTGCAGACCTTGTAACCAAATAGACTCTGTGTGGCAACACGAAGAAGACCACAATGTCCCAAAAAGAAACATACCTTGCCCTAAAGAATTTGAAACACTGATAAAAAACAAAGTCATCTGTCGGACTAATGAACCACAATGAGAGTCATATCCATTATTGTTTGTCAGTGAGACTAGGCAAAAATTAAATAAATCTCTTTCTGATTTTAATTTGGTATCTTGTCTGTGTGTCTTTCCTCTGGATTCTGAAAACATACTTGTTTATTTCAAAATGCTCCATTTTTTTCTGTCAGTTTTGGAATAAGTTAAATTCTTTTGTGTGTGTGAAAGCAGGTTCTTTTACTAGCGGAGAACCACTCCAGACAACTAATCCTAAGTTAAAAGCAGCTATGTGGAGCTGCACTCACTATCCTCTAAAACCTTCTGCGGACTCAACACTGCTAGCAAATCATACTTACCGTTATATGAATTTTAATCACGCGTTCTTCTGTTAACTAACTTTTGCAGACGGCTCTGATGCCACGGAGCTGCTGCCTCTGTCTCCTCGTGCCTCGGACCCAGGTCTGGACCCTCTGCGGCGTCTTTTATCCCCGGCATCTGATCAGCCGGCCGACAAGAAGCCCAAGAAGACAGGAGCCGATTACAGAGCTCTCTGGAAAACTGCCATCCACCAGCAGATCCTCCTGCTGCGCATGGAAAAGGAGAATCAGAGGCTGGAAGGTGAGCGTAAATCTCTTCTCCACCGCACCAAAAAGCGGCATTTTAAGCCTGGAGTGCATTCTTTGCTGGTCACATGAAGGACACATGGTGCTTATGATATCCTCATACTTGCTGAAACTGGAATTACACTTTTGTGCGTATTTTTTCCCCCCTTCACTAATAGTTCTCTTCCTGTTGTTCAGCTTGTAAAAAATCTAATATGCTATATAAAAAGTTTCACTGCACCAGCACGGCTTAAAGACCATAAATCATCATACTTTAACAACCTTTAAACTCTGTTTAGGTTTTATCTTATTGTTAGCGTAATAACATAATTGCCTTAGTACCAGGACTTAGGCAATATATATTTATACTCACATTAATTTTCTTGACTAATGTATGAAAAAAGCTTGGAAAAAAGAGAAGAGCTCGCCTAAGAAATTAGCCGATGTTACCAATTTGCCATGATGTGTTTGAGATCCAAACCTGGATATCAGGGCTCAGCGCAACAACATCCTAAGAGGAAAAGTATCAACAAACTCTCCAGCTTGAACGTGAGACCATAAACTAAATATTTACAACCGATGTTTATTATTCAATGAACGTAGATATTGTTGAAAAGGTAATTTATTCAAACTCAAAACCTTTATTTCTGACAGTTGTGATGATTTTCAGCACATAGGTAATGAAAATGTCATTCTTGAGGTAAAACATCTAAGAAATGGTGAAATAGTGTAGAAATCTAACAGATGTATGCAGTTATTTCAAAACGCTCTGTGGCAATCTCAGTCAGCCACTGCAGTGAATGGCCCCTTGAGACAAAAGAAGAAATTCAGGTCAGTTTGTGTAATTTGTTTGCTCTGGTTCTGACCGGCATTGTTACCCTTAATACGAATCATTGTGTTTCTTCTCAAATTTGTGTCACTGAATTACAGAAATCATATGGTGAATATTAACCTGACGGCAGTGATTGGAATCACTGCCGTCAATCCGAAAGTTGAGCTTAAACACAACAGAAAAATATTTCTGAATTTAAGGACACAGTTGCTGCTGAGGTAGCACCAAAAACAAGACGGTTAATCTACATTATTCGACGGATTGATACGAAAATCATTGAATTTTTGTTTTTAGGATACAATCCAGCTCTCTAAGATGCTGTTCATCAAAAATAAATGACATCTTAGACTGCACTTCTCGATAGACGTATGCAGAATTAGGTCTGCACTCCTCAACAGCATTGAGTGTCTGAACATAATATTTTGATGCATTCACATCTCAAAATACACAAACAAAGAAAAGAGTACATCACTTTAATGCACTTTAATCCAACACCAACACATCTCTTCTTGTTTGTCTGATATTTTGACGTCAATGCTGGTCTGAGGACCAACCTTACAGTGCAAAACGGTTTTCTATAGAAGGTAAGCATTATAACAGAAGCCTTTGGGATCAGGGAAGAGGTTTTGCATGATGCCAGTGGCTAGCTGCAAGAGTCATTCAACTCATCTTTCCTTTTTTTCCCCTGCATGTTACAGTTTTGGCAGTTGGGGTGATCAGCTTTTTTTTTTTATCCTTCCGTTCCCTTCATCACTACGATCAAGTCTTTAGAATAATCCGGTTTCTGTTTGGTGTTATTGTGGCTTTTGTGTCTTGTGTTTCCATCTTAGCTAAAAGGCTTGATGGTCTGCATCCTCTCCTGGCGGTTTTTGCCTGTCCTTTTCATGCCCTCTTTCGCGGAGCGATGTTCAGTCTGTTCCCTTATCTGTTTTTCTTCCTCCCAATTCGACTGAAGCGAGTCGAGACGAGCTACACATCCGCAAAACGAAGCTCAACTACCAGGAAGTGTGTGCCTGCTCCAAGGAAGCTCAGGCGCTCTGGGAGAGAAAGCTAACAGCTCCAGGCCGAACCACAAACCCGCAGGACAAGGAGGACATATACAGAGCCATCTGCCAGGGTGAGAGGGAAGTGCATGAGTTTGTGAGCGTGGACTGAAATGCACTTTAAAAGGCTAATGTTATTAAATGTTACCTCGATTATACTTGATTTATTTAATGTGTTTTTTTCTGCAGGAGTTCCAAAGAGCAGACGCGGGGAGGTCTGGCTACTCCTTTCCCATCAGCATCGGCTGCAGCACAGACTGCCCCAGCGCCAGCAAGCTCCAGACACCCCCTACTACGACCTGCTGAAGCAGCTCACCGCACAGCAGCACGCCATTCTGGTCGACCTAGGTGAACTTGCTCACCGCTATGTGACCTTTTCTCAACCACACGGCCCCCTCTAGGGTTGAACACAACAAAAGGGGAAATATTCTCATCAATGCCCCACTGCAGGCAGAAGCGACCGGAAGACTTAGGTCCTCTTCATCAGAAAACAAAACCTATCAGAGACAGAAATAGAGCTTTCTGCGTGTCTTGTTTAGAAAGTTATTGTGACCGATTTTCCTTGCGGCGAGTTGTGCAAACATTTCTTTGCATTAGGAAGAAAGGAAAGAGATGCGAGGAAGTCGGATGACAGTTGAGCGTAGCTTTCAGAAGCACCTAAAAACAAATGAGGCACATGGAAGTTGACGCTTCTCTTTTTGCTACAATTACAGGAAGAAAGGCATATTTTTTTCTACACATGGAGTGGATAATATGTTGGATTGAAAACGCCAATTCAAATCTGCTGCTGAGCTAAATTCTTGAGTATTTAATTTAATAATTAAATTATTTAACGTAATTAAATCATTAAATTAAATACAACGTAGTTAAATATATATAAATGATTATTTTAAATAATTAAATAACAATTTAGTAGTTATTTAGTTTTCCTTTGGGATTAATGAATAATTTTATCATTTGAGTTTGAAGTAAATTTGGATGCCCCTTACATTTCTTAAGCTGAATACTTACAGTAGCAGAATACAGTAGCAGACATTTTCTCAAAGTTCATACAATACTCCAACACATGGTTTAAATTAGAAATTAAATTCTTTCCAATTCTTTGTCTCAAATTTTCTGAAGTGCTTGTCTAAAATTTGCATGTCTACTTTGCGTTTTGATTTGTTGACAATGCAGCTTAATTTAAAAGTTTATGAACTTAGTACTTGAATTTCACCACCATGAGATTTAAAAGCTCGTGTTTCAGCTGCTTTTTGTGCCACTAGTCTTTAGACCAACAGCTGCTTAGAGGAAGGTGCCGCAGCCAATATAGTCCCTCGCATTATCTATAACAATAAAAGGGTAAAAGCCACTTATATTGTTAGAGATTACCTCGATTTGTTAGATAAAAAATTCAACAGTCACTTCCTACATTAGGCCTGCAAACTGTGCACTGTAAAATCGGCTTTGCTGTAGAACAAATTAAATGGAAAAACTGAAACTGAGGTCCGTCTGCTCAGTGGTGCATAAAATTACAAACTGCGAATAGTTTATGAAGATCTCACACGAAGCATTGTTTTTTTACAACAAAAGTTTGTAGTCGTAAATCCAACTCCCTTCTCAGGCCGGACCTTCCCCACCCACCAGTACTTCTCAGCCCAGCTTGGAGCAGGCCAACTTTCCCTCTACAATTTGCTGAAGGCGTACTCTCTGATGGACACAGAGGTAATCCTGCAGTCCTTTTTGCTCCCCTCACAAAAAAAACCTTCAAAGTAAAGAATCTCTTCAACCTCATTATACATCGTCCTTTTCCTATTTATTCTGCACAGGTTGGCTACTGCCAAGGCATCAGCTTTGTGGCCGGAGTGCTGCTGCTCCACATGAGGGAAGAGCAAGCTTTCGACATGTTGAAGTTCCTGATGTACGACCTGGGCATCAGGCGGCAGTACCGACCCGACATGGTGTCACTGCAGGTCAGCGCGCACACTGATTGGCTGCTTTGACATGCCTCTCGAACAAAAGCCAACTTATGAGTGCGCAGAAATATTTTTAACTGGTGAAGACTTTTGCACTTTAGCGTTATTTTTTCATATTCTCCTGTAGCATTGTCTGCATGTTTAGAATTTTATTTTACTGTCATTAAAGCAAAACATCTTGAAGAACATCAACTATTCTCCGCCATGCACTACTTTGCTTTAGTCTTTCACATAATAAATACAATTGATCAAAGTTTGTGTTTGTACTGTAACGAACTTAGTGGTCATTTTTAATTTCAAGGTTTGTAATTGATTGATCACAATTTAATTGAAGATCATATATTGACAAATTAAGCGACATCTTTAATTCAAAGACCCATTTTGCGGCTACATTATTGAATAGATATAGACGTAGAAGCTGAACATCAAATATATTTGTTGCTTTCAATCTGTTATTTGTATTATTTAACCATCAGGTTCGAGCAAAGCACTGTTATATCTCAGCATTCAGGGAACATTGAAAAAAAAAAAAGAAAAAAAAAACTTCTTTAGAAATCTGCACTGTGGACACTCGCATTAGCGTTCGGTACGTCGATGCTGCTGCAACATGTTTTGCATTTAAATGGCATTTTAGGTTTGAGTAGCTTTGGTTACAGGCCAACTCCTTTATGCACAACGTACACACAACAGCAGCCTCTTCCAGACTCATACTAATTTACTTATTGAGGCAAAGATGAATCCGCAGGGGTCCAAGACAAGAGGCTTCGTCGTCTTTTGCTTTGTGTGCGGATGTTGCTTGTGCATCACATTTAGGGGCATACCAGAAACGCAGATATAAAGTTTCCAGCAGGAAGTTTTTTTTGTAAAACTAAAAAAAAAAAAAAATAATGAGTAAAACTATTTAACACGTTAAAATCTATGTAATCAGTTAATCAAAATTAATACATTAAAGTTCTGGCCCGAAAGAAAATAAATAAAAGAAAATGCTCCAGTGGTATAAATACTTTTACAAAACACTGCAGTTGGGATGTGAACATCGCCAAAGGGTTCTGGTTTTGACCTGTCCTGACCTTCCTGCTTGCTGTTTGGCCACTTTGGACATTTTGTCACAAATACTCGATAAAGGCTGCTGATGATATTGATCACAATAGAATTAAAACTGTAATATTTCATGGTATCATTGAACAAAATAATTTTCCCTCAGTAACAAATAGTGCATTTAAAAGCACTAAGCATTAAGCATTTAAAATTGTTCATTAATGAAATCTATGCCCAGTTCTCCATAACATTGTTCACAAACACATTAAATGCTTAGAAAATAATAGACAGAACCATTTAAGTCTTTATGAGACTGAGGGAAAATTACTCCTTGTGTAATCAAATAAACATTTAACTACTTCTTCGCTTGCCCCTGCATTCATTAAGTGGAAAAGGAAAGGCACAATGTGGTTTGCATTATAATCAGTACTGTTATCCAGTAAATGCACATGACTTCAATTTATTTTTTAAGAATAATGTGCAGTTAGAGCAACATAACAACAGCCCAGAACCCGAGTTTGCACCCCAGCAGTGCAGACCTGCTGCAAAGTTTAAATAGTTTATTCATTATGCCATGAATAAAACCCTGAAATATTTTACTGTAAGAACTACAGCGCCTGGTCCTTTCTATCACCAAAAGTGTAGAAAGCAGGATGACGACACACACCGTTGAGTTTTCTTATGTAATGCCATCACGAGTTGGAGGATATGCTCTAATTCTTTCCGAGTTGATGTTATTTTAGTTTTACTGAACATTTGTCGACTTTGTGGCATTAGTATCATTTTAAAATACTTTTTTACAGATTTGTCTTTATTGGCTTTTTAAAAATTGCTTTTGACAGGAGTGGCAGGTCCAGATTAAATTTTTGTGAATGTGTTTTGAATGCAGAGACACGCAAACAAAAACACATTCACTTCCTGTTTAAAATCTTGCACAGTGTACTCCTCCATTCATTTTATAACGGTCATCTGCCTGCCACCTTTTTGTTGGTGTGACCTACTGTCAGCAGCATGTCTCCACCCCTCCGTCGGACCACACCTGCTCTGTTAGCTCCAGTTAAACATCAGCTGACCTCACCATAGATGAAGCATCGACAGGGAGGGTAATGTTTAATCTCCTCCAGGTAACCGTTCAGTCGAGCAGAAACCTGCTGTTTCCCTCCCTGCAGCGGTTTTGGTCTTTAAAAGACGTTCCCTGACATATTTGTGCTGCTTTCTTTGCGCTTCGGGGAGGAGGTTCAGGTATTGCTTGTCTTCTTTGTTACTTTGAGGAAATTGTAAAAGCAGAGAGTCTAATTTTAGCCCGAGCTAACTTCTGCTTCTCCCGTCTTTGCTGTTTGCTGTCTCATACTGTAAAAAGAGTTATTGCAGCTCATCAGGCGCACGGCCATGTCTGAGCAAGTCCTTAAAGCAACACTGCTTTCACTTTACCAGTGCTGTGGTTAAATGAGGGAGAAAAAAAAAACACCTTCATTGATTCTTAGATTTCTTTTGGAAATCTTGTCTCTTCCTGATCCAGTTCTACCAGTTTGTTCTGACCTGAGGTTGCCTTTTTGTCTCCAGATTCAGATGTACCAGCTGTCCAGGCTGCTGCACGACTACCACCGGGACCTTTACAACCACCTGGAGGAGTACGAGATCGGGCCGAGCCTCTACGCCGCGCCTTGGTTCCTCACCCTCTTCGCCTCACAGTTCCCCCTTGGCTTCGTGTCCCGTATCTTTGGTAAAGCCAGAACACTGTCTTTACCAAAGCTCTCTGATTGCAGCCAAATGCCTCAGCAGAATTACATCTGCTTCACCTCTAGTGTTGTCGATTACATTGACGCTTTTCTGATGCTTCTTCTTTGTGTTTTTGTGGTTAGATTTAGTGTTTGTGCAGGGTCCTGGGGTGATCTTTAAAGTGGCCCTCTGTCTGCTGAGCAGCCATGAGAGGGAGATAGTGGAATGTGACAGCTTTGAGAGCATCGTGGACTACCTGAAAACTACACTCCCCACGCTCACACAAACACAGATGGAGGAGACCATAACCAAGGTACTGTAAGGAATTTAAAGCAATGCATTGATGAAATCATTCCCACAGCATGATTCGGCCACCACAACACTTTACTTTGGGTCCAGGCCAGAAAGCTGAGTTTAGGTTTCATCTGCTGTGTCTCCCAATGGATCATTTTATATTTTCAGTAGGACCCGTCATTGCTTTCCTGGAGAATCTTGAAAAGTCTTGACTGTATAAAGTCCAAAAGAACAATTGTTGAGGTTTTTATTTTGGTTTACATGCAAACTGCATACTTTACCTTTAGCGTGACGCCCATCAGTAGTTTGACTGTGATTCAAAAAGAGCAATGTCATATGTTTTTGGACTTTAGGCATCTTTAAATTCAACAGGTGTGTCCCCCAAAAATCGAATGTTTTACAAACAAAGTAATGCTATTGCAATACACATTTTATCTCCAGGCTTTATATGTCTGAAAGATTGGCGCAAACCAAAAATGTAGGAGAAAGAAAACTGTTAAGAATAAACAACCTCACTGGAGCTTATTCTGGATCACTAGGTTATGGAGATGGACATCTCCAAGCAGCTGCATGCATATGAAGTTGAGTACCACGTCCTGCAGGATGAGATGTTGGACGCCGGGCCGCCACCCGACGACTCGGAGCGCCTCGACAAATTAGAGAAGACGAACGTGCAGCTGAAAAAACAGAACATGGATCTGCTGGAAAAACTTCAAGTAAGGAAGATGAAGTACAGTGTCACATGTTTAAATTGTAAACTGTTGAGAGGATATATTCTTGTGCAAAGAGTCACGATTTGCTGAAACGACGCCAATTTGTACAATCTAGAAGCTGTGTGTAATTGCATTACCTCGGATTGCCTGCAGATGGCACTGATACATCAGTGGAAAACAGCGGTAAGGAGAGACTGTTGAAGACACAAAAGGCCTGAGAGCTGTTATGTTCTCCACGTACTTCAGTCATTTCAGTGAAGTGTGAATCTGTGGAGGAGGACTGATAAAGTCGCACCTGATGAGCTTCATATCAACAGAGGTTTAAAAGTTCTTCAGGTGCTCTCATGTCTGATTTAACGAGAGAAAATCACTAGAGGCTCAATGTTTTGGAAGCTGAAAAGCGACTCCTATAAAACTCAATAAGTTATTTCAAGACTGTGGATGAAATGTACATTTAGATGCATTACAGTGATTGGTGACATAACCCTCCCAGGCTGCGGTGCGAAATTGCACTTCTTGTGTTGTAGTCATCAAGATTCTCAGATTTAAGTGTCCTTTTTGCAACAGTGTCGACTGAGGTGCATTCTCTCTGTCCTGCAGGCTGCAAGACAGAAGATTCAGACTCTGGAGACGAGCATGGAGAACTTCCTCTCTCGGGAGAGCAAAATGAAGCACATGATTCGCTCCCTGGAGCAAGAGAGGGCAGCCTACCAGAGGACCATTGAACGCATGCGCTCCAGCCTTCCCCCCGACACCCTGACAGATGTGGAGATGACCCAGATCAAAACAGGACCCAACGGGAAAGCCAAATCCACAGCCAAGAAGCCCTGATGGCAACAGGAGGGAGTAGGTGGGGATGGAGAGAGGCGGCGGAGGGGGGTTGGAGGCGGATTGGCTGCTTTTGGGCAGATGCAGCGACTCCGATCCACAAACTGTGAAGAGATGACTGCTCAGTGGTGGAAAGCTGACGAGTTCCACTTTACTTCTGTGATGAAGTGCGGCTGCGTTTTGTAAATGTTTGAAGTCTTGAGACAGACAAACTGCATGGGGAAACATCTTGGTTGTGTTTGATGAGCAGATAAAAAGAGTGGTGGGAGGATGGTTTCAGAAAAGCCAGTCTTCCTCTCGTCTGATTCATAACCAGTTAGGAGGCAGAGTCAACGGCCACACCGTCCTGCGATGGTCGAATGTTTGGCTCTATTCATGGGGGAATTTCCTTGATCGCACTGCCTGGAAGTATTTACTGCCTGACAGCACAGAAGCTGCCTGTTGAGACATCATTTTTTTACAGCCATTACCAGTGTCTTGATCTGGGGAGCGTCTTGTTCTTTTACACTTTTGTCTCCAATGAAAGCTTGGCTTTATTACATTTTAATCATTCAAAGTTTTTTTATGAATGTGACGTCTCCTCGTGGGTCGTTCTAACCCCGTTCATTCTCTCACTGCGAAGGTCGGCGTTGCTCCTCAGCAGAGCTGGAGTGCAGCGTCGCTAGAGATCGTTCAGAGGGCCGTTTTCTCAGGAAACGTCTCTTCCAGATCTCAGGCAGGATGTGAGGTCGCCTGCCTCCTCTGCTTCCTGTAAGACGCCGGCCGCGCCAGCCGTCTCTCTTTTAGCACCGCCTTCAGACTTCGAGGCAGAGCTCGTGCTCCCCGGGAGGCGCAGACTAAACGGGCCGAGTTGGAGACGGGATCTGAATGTACACGCTGTCGCACTTAAGAAACAAAAGAAAAAGCTCTGCGTGGCACCGCCGCTTTAGTTTCTGCAGCGCCTCTCAGAAGTATTCACAGCTGTCGAACTGTTTCACATTGTCTCTGTGACAACCGCAATGTATTTTTTCACGCTTTAATTTGACATATCAATGCATACAATTGTGAATTAGAAGGAAATTGAAGCATTCACCCATCCAACTCTCCTCCCTTGTCCTGGCAGGGCTGGAGGGTGCAGTGTTGGGAGTTTGGTGTTGGTGACACACAGGACAGACGATTGACATTTGACCTAACAGTCATGTTTTTGGACTGAGAAGAAACTGGAGTACCTGAATAAAATCCACTTATGCACATAGAGAACATACAGAGAGCAAAACCGATCCAAACTGGAAAACAGTTTGGATCAAGTGAAAGGTGCCATTTGACAGAAAAAAAGTGTGTGTGTCTGCAAAAACATAAAATCTTACAGAGTATTGTTGTGTAGTCTAGTATGTCTTAGTACGCTTGATATAAGACAAGGTATTGGAGTTTGTTTTAACGCAATAATTCCTCGACCAAAACGTATTCATTACACAAGCAGATTATTTCACATATAATAAGACATTTTTCCAATCTTGTAAGTGAAATAAACAAATATTGAGGAATTATTGATTAAAAATAAACTCCTATATCTCGCTAAAAATAGTTGTAAGATAGTTTTATCACATTTTAAGAGATACTTGCACTAGAAATTAAACCAAAAGTACTGTGTGAGATTTTGTGTTTTTGCAGTGTAGACTTTGTTTGCTCACATTCCCCTAAACGAACTGCGGTACAGCCAATCCCCTTCACAATCACAGAATTAACAATCTGTAGTTTATCAAGTATGTAGCACATTTTCCTGATTTTTATGAATCAGCAATTTTAACAATCACTTCGAAATTACCCTCTGCCTTGTGTTGGTCTGTTATCTAAAATCTGCACCATAAATTGAATAAATTGTAGTTGCAACATGACAGAGTACAGAAATGTTTGCTGGGCATGAATACTTTTGAAAGGCACTTTATTGTGCTCAAGATTTCAATCAGATACGTTGTTGTCCGTGCACAATGTCCAAAAACTGGAGTTTAGTTTAGCAGAAAAATAAGAAGGAGCTAAAATGAGTCTGAGGGCACTTGAGTTGCCCTCTCGACGGTAATGAGTCTTGGATTTTATATACTGCATCTACACACACACACACACACACGCACACACACACCCTGCAGTGAAGTGGTTGACTGCATGGACAGATGGTTTATATGCTTTTAAAGCTCTGTCCCTGGCTCCCTCTTTGATTTTGTTTTTCTGCCACCTCCAGGTCTGAATCACATTTTATTCAAGTGAAAACTCGTCCTCGTCCTTTAAAGGTGTGTGTGTGTGTGTTTGGGGGGGGGACTCTTTACTATTAAATTAGAGTGACTTCTATCACGAAACGAGGGTGTTCATCAGTCGTCCTGACCTTGGAGACAAGTGGCACATTTGTGTTGGTTTGAGTGTAAAGTTTTTATTCTGCTACTTCAGTCCCAGAAGATATATGGTAATGGCAGCCGGTGCAATATGTTTGTTTGTCGATCTTACGCGCGTCTTTACATGCGAGTGGTATCGGCTAGTTCGCAGGAAGTGTTTTTAGCTGTCATGTAATTAAGGCCGTAAATTTCCCGGCTAAGACAAACGTCTCATTTGTTGAATGAGTTGTTGAAAAATAAGTTGCATGGATTTATCCCGCAAAACATATCAAATGGCTCTTTTTTAAAAAAAGAAAAAAAAAAACAACTTTTGATGGATGCATGCAGTAATGAGGAAACAAAGCCTTTGTCTGAAGTTTGTACTACTGCAATACTTGTGCATTTTAGATGTATGACCATTGAACCAAAGATGTGCTTTATTTCCTGGAAATACATGAACGAATTCATTCAAAAGGCACAGCGTTTTATATATTTTACAGGTTCTTTCCACAAATCTGTCTCACTTCTTCTCCCCCCCCAAATGTTGTTTTAACCTGAAGAAATGCCAAATATTGCTCACAAAAACTTGAGAACGCGATTAAAAAAAACAGCATCAGGTCTTTTTATCATCATTACACATTTGTTTAAATTACTTTATTTAGCTATACAATGCCCTATATGCAGGGTTCTTGGTTCTTGCGCATTTCATGTCCAAATCCCAGGTTTTAATATGGAAGTAAAGAAAAAAACAGGATGGATGGACAATCAGGTGAATGAATAGAAAGGTGGACAATCAGAAAAGCAAGAGGTCAAAATTATGGAAGACTGACCGGAAGGATAGATGGCGAAAACGAATGGAGAAGTGCATAGTGGGTGGATGGGCTTATGAAAATACATTTCATACTTTTTCAGACTGCATTGGAACCCTGTGTGTGATCTGTGGAGGTGAAGTGCCATCCTAAGAATGTCACTGTTTGGGTCAGCATCTCGACTGCTAACTAGTGCTTGTATCACTGTGCTTAAACTGTCAACATGAGGGCTACACTGAAGCTAAGACACTGTCCTGAATACATCAATAAACCACACATTGCCTTGTTTTCCGTCTCCGTGTGTCCCATTGTATTTCCTTCCCATCAGGAGCTCAAATAAAGAAATTCTGTTCTTATGCCAGCTTACGCTGGTCTTTTAAACATAAAAGCTGACATCTACGAAGAGCATATATAAAGGCTTTTTTTTATTTATTAGGAGTTGTTCTTTTCTCAGTAACTGTATTTCTGAAAGTATGAAAAAAAAATCTCAGTTGAAGTCAAAGATTTAGCCTTGTGCACTTTTAAGATTGAATCAAATAGCTGACTTCCCTTCCCGACCATGTGTGACTCACTGCTCTGTACGAAGCAATGAGTTTCACGTGTTTTAAGTGTTAGTTTGTGAGAAAGCCCTGTCACAGAGCGCTGTGAAAAAAGTATTTTCCCTCGCTTGAATACGTCAGGCGAACCCAATTTCACTGTGGAAAACTAAAAAAAAGATAACCTGATTGAATACAGATTGTTGTTTTCAAACGACGCTTTGATTGGTAAGGGGAATAACGCAATGTGAGCCAACAGGACCTGATGAAAGTAATCACAAACCTGCTGTCTGCTTCCATTATTTGTGAGTCTTTGTCATCGCCGTGTTTTGGGCCACTCACCTTTGCAGAATTGCTTTAATTCAGCCACGTTTGGAGCTTGAAATGAGAGCTTAAAGTCATGTGAGGTTAAGACTCCACGAAACCCTTTGAATGCCTTGTAACAGCAAAGTTGATTAATGATTATTCCAAGTGTTGCTGGAGTTTTCACTTCACCGGCTTGTTCCTCTCCATGCTCAGAATCAGGTGAAATTGTGAGGCAGATTTCACCAGTTTGGATAGAAAACTGTGAATATATCGTAATTTCTCTAAAGGAATCGCTATTTAATGTGGATTTGTATTGCTTTACTGTTTGGTGCCTCCTTCCTTTTATGCAGGATGTGGCTAGTTGAGCTTGTTTCGTAAAACATTTTCCAACGCTGCATCTCAGTGAAATAGACTATCCTTGAAATGTTCTTTTCTCTTGGTAAATAAAACCAAAACAGTAAAAGACAAAACTATGTTTGCTTTCCCCCCCCCCCCATAAAAACATTTAATTAGACAAAATAAATAAATATTTTCTTCTTTTTTTTTTCCATCTAGGCATCCTGGGCAGTATTTTCAGTCGATTAAAATTCAGGCTTTCCCTTAAAATGAACAGAAATAATTTTGTAAGATCAGTGCCTGAATATAACTTTCAGACTTTGGAATAACCGAACACTTAAACGTTCCCAAAGACGTTCTAATTTATTGGGAAACACTGTGTGCAACTTATCAGTTATGTGCTTCCCACGCCTGCAAACATTTATCACCTTATCCAGGACAGGCCTTATTCCATCTTGAAAGAATCTCTACTTTTTCTTTTCTTTTTTTTTTTGCCATGCATCACTTCTATGTGTTTTCTCGCCAACAAATCTCATGCTTGTTGTCTTTTGAGAAAAAGTGAGCAATAGCTTTATACAACTGCTGAAAGTCAAGACCTTGTTTATAGATTGGTTGCTTCTTATAGTCAGCATATTCCTCATACCCTGCTGTTTTAAGATGGACATTCTATTTTTATTCCGCCGGCTATTAAACATACAATTTAAGCGTAAAATAGCTTCAGGAGTACATCCAACCTTTGCCAGGAGGGCATTTTTAAAAATCTTGGACTACTTTGTTATTAGCAGCATGTTGTGCAAACTCGCCCCTCTCTCCCCTCACTTTCAGGTTTGCTGTATCCATAAAAAACAGCCAAACAGTGTTTCAGCAGCAACCGAGTAACTTCTATTTATTTAGATAGAAACTCGCATTTTTCAGCACAATGTGCAGTGTGTCCTTGGCGAACCTGAAGAGACAGACTAGCTGCAGACGGATGGAGAAGCGTCAAGTTCTAAAAACCTTCATACTGGTGGAACATTGTGGGAGGTGTCAGGGAAAGGTTTTGAGTTCTTCTGGCTCTTTGGGGGGATTCCAACTAAAAAAAAAAACAAAACAAACACAAAAAAAAGGCTGGCAAGCTTTAGATCCCTCCTTATTCATTTGTTTAAAGTGTGGTTTATAAATAATAATAATAAAAATAAAAACAGAGAAAGCCCATCATGTGTCTCACTGGCCAAGGAGGGGCTTTGCAAGATAGCAGCTCTGAGCTCAGTCATCGTTTTCCCAGGAGGGCCTTACCCAGAAAGGACTGTTGGAGTGTCGCTCTGATCAGACTCTGCCAAGCCTGGAGCTCGTCACACATAAGACACACAAATGACCGCCAACCAGAAGCCTATCGCACGCTAAACAAAAGGGGCCGCATTCCTTGTGTATTCCCAGACGAGGACACATCCTGGAGCAGGGCAGCAGTGGGATGCACGGTCTCCATGGGGGAATTGGCCCAGAACAACACTTCCTCCGCTGAGAGCTTATCAGCTCTGCTTCTGTTTTTTTTTTGTTTTGTTTTTTCCCATTATCTTCATTCTTCAATCCATCCCTGCCTCCCACTGCGCTCCCACTCTCCTCCGCCCATCCCACCAGTGTCGGTATTGATCACTTTCTGATGCAGCTTTAAGAGGAGGATGCTTTGACACTTTTGATGGCGAACACACATCTACAACTGAGCTTTTGATTTGGACTTTGTTTCATAGTCATGTACAGGACACAAATTTGTTTGCTTGTTTTTGCCCGTTAACATAATTAGCATGCGTCAAGGTCTTTCTGTAAAGAACCCAAGACAAAGTCAGCTCTTATGTAATGATTTGAAGATATTGTGGAGAATACAGAGCAATGTTTATTCTAATTTTGAAAAAAAATGTTCTTAGTTAAACTAGACGTTGAGAAAGCTCTGACCATGATGCTGTCTCCACACTAAATGGCTCATGCCCAAGTTTATTTTTGTGCACAAATGTCTGGTACTTCACTGAATCCCAGTATGTTTATTTTTTGTATCACCAGTTGAATATAGTACTGTATAGCTTCTGTTTCAGCACGTAAATTAGGGAGAAATATGTTATTACCAACTTGTATTGTTTGCGAAACCATTGCTGGGCAACGTCATAAACATGTGCTTCACCCTTGGTCTCCCCCTTAGTGGCAAGAGAGCAAGAAAGACAGTCAGTTGTATGTTTGTCACACGTGATGATTATTTGAAAAGGCAGCCTTTCAATTTTTATTTTTTTCGGTAACACTTTATTTGACGGGTTGTGAATAAGACGGTCATGACACGGTCATAAACATGACGTAACATGTCTTCATGAGCAAGTCTTCATGAATATATATGACCGTTGTCATATTGGTCGGTAAATCATGACACTTAGTACAAAGTTGACATTATTCAAAATGTCTTTGTTATCACAACTTGACATTAACCAAGAAATTGTGATCTGACATAAATTTGTCATGAAAGTATCACTGATTAAACTTTAGTTTAATAACATAAAACTACGTAATTTTTAAACTTTAATCAGTGATACTTTGATGACAAATTTATGTCAGATTAATGTTAATTGGTTAATGTCAAGTTATCAAAACGAAGACATTTCTCAGTTTTCATTGCAGAAATAACTTGTGCATTTCATAATTTATCTAATTAACAAAATCAGTCAGTCATGCTCCGTAGCAGCAGCACAGATTAAATGACATCTATATGCAGTGGCTAATATTATTGCTGATACGACGACTGCAAAGTGACCTTATAGGCAGAGTTGGATGGGAGCTACCCACATGAAATATATTGGTCTTCATTAAAAAGGATGTGAAAATATCTGCTCAGGTCATTTTGAGGTCAAGCCGTTTTTTCTGTGTTGAGTGATGTCTAAAGTATGAATGTGAACCACAGCTAAAAACACTCTGGCCTCTTTATTAGACACACCAGTTCCACCTACTTGTTAGCACACATAACAAATCCCTGCCTCAGTGCATTTAGACTTGCTGATCTTCAGCCCAAGCATCAGAATGTGTCCAAATAGGACTTAATTGACTTTGAATGCCAGTCAGTCGCGTCAAGTAGCATTGCACCTGGTGATGTCAGTTTCCCAAGCTGCACTTTCCTTCAAATATTTTTGATGTGCGCTGCAAAAAATTCTGCAAATGGGCGGAGTTTCTGTGAGTAATTTGAAGTGCTTTGCCTCAGAAAAATCAACGAATAGCTGAATCCATCCACAAATAGGCAGGGGTCCTCCATATGTTTACAGTTTCTTCTCATTTTTGTGGTTTTCTGCAATACCCAGTCACCCACTCACAACAATCCCCATATCCCAGTAATTTCCTCATTTGTACCAAGTTGACCCTCTATTCAGATGTGTTGCGATTTTCAAACCAAACCTTAAAACCGATGAGTATATAAATACAGCAGGGGAGGCGTCTTAATAGTGGAAACAGATTAGCTGATTCCAAACTAATTGGAAACTGAAAATATCTTCAATAAACATAAAGCTAAAAGTGCGTCAATCTCTGAACTTTTGAACCCATTTAAGAACGAGAGTCTGACCTATGGGAGAACAAACCGTATCTGGTTTATAACGGCACACATTGAAGCAAGCGCTGGTGCTCGACAAACTGTTTTCAGCTCTTTGTATGATGTGACTCTGTTTATGTGTGTGTCTGAGGGAGGTTACCATATGAGCTGGTTTCAGTAAAGGAGTTATGGGTCGAAGGAGGGAGAGGAGAGAGAGGAGGAGGAGGTTAGGAAGGGTCTTCCTGCCTTATATGGGAATTTATACCACCGCGCCTGTGGAGCAGTCTGCAAGCTGGAGTGAATTCAGTTGAAAACACATGGCCACAGACATCGGCGCAGAGTGTTACAGGTCGTGGATTATCCCAGCAGCTGTTCGACTGCAGCGTTCCAACATAGTTTTCCATGATTCAAGACAATAATGTGGAAGAAGCTCAAACACTACACCACTACATGTCAGAGGGCCTGGCTGTGAGGTGCCAGGCTTGTAGACACAGGCAATCAGGAGTTGGTGTGACTGATGGACACTGGGGGTGAGATTTGAAGGTAGTTAGTGAGTGAAACAGCTGCCAGGGTGG